ACGCCTTTGTAGGCTATGCCTGGTAAGGCACCCAAAATAGGCCCAACTTCCAAGCTGCTCCTGAAGCTCTAGAGTCCGTAGATACTCGTATACTAGCGTCAACGCCGTAGAGCGTCGTAAGCGAAATTCTCGGATGTATGTGCCTTTGTGATAGTATTGCTGATCAGGGCACTACTTTGTTCAGGGCAGCCAATCCCGTAAAAGCGTCACCGACTCTGAAGCTGTCACCGTTTACTGCATTCTCCATACTCCGTACCTTCTCACACAAATATACATCGGGTGGCTTTCGATAATCTTTGAATACATTTCAAATAGGTGTACTCTGTAATCCGTATAATCCTAGTCGATAGACAAAAATGGCCCCCGACCGGGCGAAAAAGCAATGTGAAACGACAGTTAATTATTTCTCCATTGTGGCCCGGCCCGAGGGGCCGCCAGAGTGTACCTACAGAACGGGGGCAGCCCTACTGCAGTTGGGCTTTTATTCCTCTCCGCTATGTTGCAGGTGGAAAAGGTCTCCGTGGAAGGAACGCCAGTGGGTTTGCAAAAGGGTATTGCAAAACCACAGTGAATTGATTAGATTGTGGTATCGTAACTATATCCTTATCGAGGCCAATTAATATTCTCCTCGATCCCGACAATATCATTGACCCTGACGGGTGGCTGCGCAGTCCCCAAAAATCGGTACGCACAGAGCCCAGCAGCGTGGTCATGACACCTGGCCCTTGCACAGTTCGCACTTTCGGGGCAGCCGGTCGGGTTGGATTGGCTAAGCTGGAATAATTCTTTTCTTTTTTTTTTTTTTCTTTTCGAGTGCACTGTTCGCGATCCACAGGTCCATTGTTCGTCTGGACTCGCTTGGCCTCGAAATAGGTACAAAGTACAATGTTACTAGTCAGGAGACCGCCCTTGCATCAGACTGAGACGGAAATGATAACCGCTTAGAATTTTGTTTCATGTGACCAACGTGGACGTCATCTACATCAGTAAGGGATATCATACTACTGTCAACTACGTGGTATGGGGTATATACAATTCAATGGAAGTATGTACAATGTAGGTATAAGTCTACTTATCAAAATGGAAAAATGAACCATTGGGTTTCCAGTTCCTTGGTTAAGGGAATAGCTACCAAGAAGAGCTGCGCCAAGTGGAGTAGCCCCCGGAATTGACATCATACGGGAAACAAATCCCAACTACCTGGAAACACCAAATGGATATATGAATTGGCTCGTCCAATCTCTCGTTGTTTCGAGCTTTCAGAGGTCCTTGCGTGGAACTTCGTGCTCAAGCATGATCCAGAGCCAATCGTGTCCTCATGTTCCCCCGTTCTTGAGAAGTAGCTAAGTCCTTTGCGACGATAGTGCAAACCTTCTTGACGGAGCTAAAAACTTCCCCGGGCCCCTCTTCTCTTGAAGCTTCTTCTGTAATCCACATAGCGGATCATACCTGCGATCGCGTGCATCACGCCTCCCACTTTTCATGTCCACTTTGCTCTCCAAGCGACAGTCTATCTCCCGCTCCCAGTAATCTAGCTAACCCACCAGCCTAGTTTCTAGCGTCCGTACTTCCCTCCAGCCGCGGACCAATGTCACCATCTCAAATCATTTTCCATCTCCTCCCGTGTCCATTCTCATCTGCAAAGACGGACAAATTTCCCGAAACAGCGCGCTCCAAGATCGTCCCTGAAGAGCCGTGCGAAATCCCGATCGAGTGGTGGCTGGGAAGGTGTCAGTCTACTTTGAGGATCGTCTACATGATTCTATATTCGGGATCCAGTGCGACGGTTAGCGAGCCTCGGGGACCGATTGCACTCCAAGGCTCTCACCGACCAACTGACTAGACTCTCTTTGCTATTAATCCTACCTTCCAATCCCACGGACTTGGTTCTTTTGTAACTCAGTCTAACCCCGAGAGAACACACGGTCTCCACGCAAGTCGATCAGTGGCTGGACATGCGAGTTGACAAATATCTCCATAATGCTGTAACGTACTTTGGCAGCCCCATAACTGGGCGCAAGCCATTATTACCCACTACTGATTGTGGACTTCTTCCCATATTTAGTGTGTTGATGAATACACTCATATATGATTTCAAGCAGAGAAAAAGCCACTCTATCCAAGAGCCCCATTAAATTAAATCGGTTTCAAATTTATCGACGCAAGGTGTCGTCTTGTCCCCATATTCCCACCTAGGAACTCAGCTAGATTAACCAGACATTGGATGTCTGGAAAAAGCCCCGAAATGCCCCGTTTCCAACCAAGAAAGCAAACTCTCTCCGCTCGTAGTCGATGATCTTGGCCCTATGAATATTGCAGTTCTTCAGCTCCGAACCGGGCCTGAGCGTCCGGGAGCAGTTCCTTGACCCGCCACATTGGTACTCCGTCCATGGCCTGGATGAACAGTGCGCAGTACGGAGTACAGGAGATCCTTCTCTCTGAATTTTGCGGGCATACCCACCGTGGCTGGTCTCCCCAGGGCTGAGTCGATCCCATCGTACGGAAACATTATCCTACACCTGATCATTATTTCCAGTGGTTACCATCATCAATTGACGAGAGTCCAGCGTAGATCATCCAAATTTCTGGGACTCTCCAACGTTTTCTTATAAGCCCTTTAAAACAAGCACAGCCCTGGAGGCTTGTAGAAATACCCTCACAAAGTCCAGCTTAAATTCCCGCCCATGGCATCATTGTACAACACCACCTACTTCTTACTAGTAAGAACAGCCCAGCCCAGACGATCCATGAGGGGTATTATGGAGCAGGGTTGCCGATTTTGGAGCAGGTACCATGCAACCCGACCTTAGATCATATTTTGAGCGACTCATTTGTGCGATCACTTTAGAAGAGACAAACTCCTCCGTACGGAGTACAGCAGAGGAGCCACTCGGCTGCTGTAGCGCTGGAAGTGGAGGAAGGTCGCAACTCAACAAAAAACCTGCTTGCGTAGATTATGTTCCAAATTGCCCACTTCATAGCACCTACATATGTACGAGTACGATCATCTGCTCGAAAGCGGGGGTACTATCCGGGCTTAGGCGGAAGGCTTACAATTATTAAAAAACTGAGAGGTTTGTTCGTAGAAAAAAAAGGATTGTGGATAATGGCTCGGCATGACACTGCATACAACATCGAGACCTTTGGATCGCACCTATGAGCGAAGGAGGCAAATGCCCTCCGGTCGTGTCGACTGGGCCGGAAGTCAGTTTCAATTCTGATGCGAGATCGATCTACGGATTATGGAGTATGGAGTACGGAGTACTCAGAGGGCATTGCCTTTTCGGTCGAGATACGCAGCTTAAGTTGATCTGGGATCTGAGAATCATGATTCCCACCGGCGTGATTGGCTCATCGAAGCTCCATGGCCCATTGAACAAGATTAAGGGAAACGCTTGCCGCTTCCGCGTTATGCATCATGACTATTTGAGATCATAGTTACCTATAGGTTGTTATATCCCTTGCCTGGAATCTTGATAGCTGAAACAGCCTGCTGAACGCAGGTCCGCGGCCAATTAGATATGATGCGCACCTGTTGTCACCGTGCGATCAGGATCATTGATCATTGATCATGATCAGACCTCATTTTCCACGTCTCTTTCGTGTGTAGAACGATATCCTGTTTTGTGTCAGAATCATTTCAGATCTGACACACAATAGTCGGAGTCTTGACGTTGCCCCTCCTTGAAATCTTTCCCCCTCCTGTCAGATCGCAAGGTCAGCATTTTCTATTTTAGACCATTTTCGCCTCTTTCTCCTTATACCTACATATCGGTAACATATACCGAGGTAATGCAAGTAGATAGAGTCACAGCCGCGTGGGGAACCTTGGAATCTGTTTTGCAGGGAGCAAGGAGGTGGCTCGTATCTCGTATGCTATTGAAGGATTAGAAAAAAGGAAAAAGGATTTCGATTTTTGCCCCTCCAAACTCCTAATGTGATCCTCGAACCAAGAAAGATTGTGGCGAGGTACTCTGCATTATGCTCGTTTCACATTATGCCGGGATGACAATCTTAAAAATATCACCTAACACCGGCACTAAAGCAGACCTCACCTACAACTATAGAGATACCTAGGTATCCCCCGTAACTGCGGACTAAGTGTTGCGAACAGACGCCCATGGCGGGCAGCCAAGTGGCATTGGGCTTTCACCGCTACAATTGAATGGCTCTGATGGGATATCAAAATGTCACCGCCACGTTAAGTAGCAGACGCTACTGCAGATAATCATGTTATTCAGGATGACTTTTCATTTCGGTTATGCATAGTTACGTTTGACTCGCCGTTCTCCGAGGTCTAGCCAGCTGGTTCTTGTTTCCACGAGCACTGAGATGTACGTAAACCTCATTAAGACTGCATTGTCCAGATATAAACAAGTGTGTCCACCAGGATGTTATGCACAGTCACAAGCGGAATATATAGAAAAGTCCAAAACTTGAAACAATTGAATTAATGAAGATAAAGCAACTCGCTTTTTTCTACTGGTTCGCCGTTAATCCAATCGGATATGCCAGATACTACAGATTCGAGGCAAACCATCCTCACATGAAACATGAAACACAGGCTCAACAGCAGATTAGTCTGCATCAAAAAATTCAAAACACTCTAGCCACTCTCCACTGTTTGTTTGACCTGCTATCCCCTGTCAGGGGGTCCAGGAACTGTGCAAAAAAAAAAAGAAAAACACTTTTCTCTCAGTTACATGTACATGCAGGTATGCACAGACACACCCGCGCCACACCAGAACCACATCAAAGCGCGTTTAGGAGCAGCCAGCCAGCATCAACAGGCATAACCCATGCAGACAGCATTGAAGATGAGCAATGAGCATCCAGAGTCTACTGGGATCGGCCCGAGGCACCATAGAAACCCCGGGCCCTCCGAGCCATTCAGGTCTGCATGAGGCTAATTCAATGTCGGGTTGGTTGGCTGGCTCAGTGAACTCATGCTATAAACAGGAAATGCGGGGGCCTGGAACAGCTGCGACCGTTTGAGTTTTTTACAACGCCTGCGAGATGGAACCGTCGCTGTCAAGCAGACCGGCCTCCTTGGCTAGCTGGTAGAATTTGCCGCCGCGTTTGATCAGCTCTGCGGGTGTGTCAAACTCAGCCACTCGCCCCTTGTCTAGAACAACAATGCGATCTGAGTCAATGATCGTGTTAATGCGGTGCGCAATTGTGATGATTGTTCGATCGGAGAAGACGCTGCTGCGCAAGGTGCGCTGCAGGAGTGCGTCAGTCTCTACATCAACGGCAGCCTATCGCTGTTGTTAGCTGAAACTGTGAATCAATGAGAGGGATCAAAAGTATCTCACAGTTGCCTCGTCTAGAACAAGGATATTGCTAGGAGTCAAAAGGGCGCGGGCGAGATTCACCAGCTGACGCTGTCCTTGACTCAAGTTGGAACCTGTCGAATCGTTAGGAATCTTGCCTGAGGCGAATCTTCGAGTGCTGGTGTCAGCTTACCTCCTTCTTGGATCTGAGCGTCAAGCTGCCCTTCCATCTGAGATACATGGTCCTTCAATCTTGCGTGATCTACATTATGAACCAGTCAGTCACTGTTTACCAGGATAACCAAAACAAGGGTACAAGTTAGACTCACCCAATACGCTCCACAGTTCAGTATCATCGTGGACATGACGAGGGTCTAAGTTGTCGCGGAGAGTGCCTTCGAACATGGCAGGGTCCTGAGGGATGATAGCAAGGCGACCACGAAGGTCAGTCAACCCGATTGTGGAGATGTCGAGGCCATCAATTCTAAGCTTTGTCAGAAAAAAATAACACAGGAAAAGATCGAATGCCACTTACCCAATGTTTCCATTGACACCCTCAATGATGCGGAAGAGAGCCAGAGTGAGCGAACTCTTTCCAGCACCCGTTCGACCAACAACACCGATCTTCTCCTTGGGTTTGATGTCCAGGTTGACATCCTTGAGCACAAGGTCAAGACCAGGGCGATAGCGGGTACTGTAGTCATTGAAAGAGACAGCACCCTGAGCTGGCCATCCAATAGCAGGACGACGCTTGAAGATCACATCAGGGGCTTCGCTTGGCAGATTGGCATACTCGAGAACTCGCTCGACTGACACGATGTTAGTCTCGACCTCGACCGTCTGGCGGACAATCCAGTTGAGGGACTGAGTGATCTGAAGAGCGTATGACATGGCCAGACCAACCATGCCTGACGAAAGGCGACTGCCAGTAGCAACAGACATGATGGCAAGACCTGCGGAGGCAAGAATAATGATTGAACCAATGAACTCGAGGCGGACAGCGAGCCAGCGGTTAGCGCTAATGGATGGGAAGTATGCGCGCAGGTTGGCATCCATGCGCCATTCGTTCTCAAGTGTAAAGCGATTCTCCTGTCGGTAGGCACGAATGGTTGAGATGCCACCCAAGGACTCCTGGAAATGGGCGAAGATTGGGCTGCGGGTGACACTGTCCAGGCGCTTCAACTCGCGGGAGGTTCGAAGGTAGTACTTCTGGTAGCTGAGGTAGATATAACTCAGCGGAATGACGAAGAGCAGGAATGCCGGGGTAGAAGTGGCGATGACGACCATGGTGAAGATCGCGCGAGCAGAGTTTGCAAAAAGCATGTTGAAAGTGCGAGCAAGTACCTCGTCGACTCTGTAGATGTCACTGGAGAAACGGTTAAGGATTCGTCCAGAGGGAGTGGTTTCAAAGAAGCTCATGGGAGAACGGAAGATGGCGAATGCCATTCTCTCATGAAGTTTGCGGGATGCCTCGATGGAGCAGAAAATCCAGAGAATCAGATTTTGGAAAATGACCAAAAGCGATGAGCCCAGACCAAGGGCCAAGTAGACACCAATGAACTTGCCAACGTTGGCATTGCCTCCGCTTGCTTCATTTGCTTCGGTCCAGCTCTTCAGCCAGAAGTTGCCCACAACCTGGGCAGTTTGGGCAGCCAGCATGGCAAAGAGATAGAATCCAACAGCCGTGATGTTGCTGTCCTTTGCATATTGGCCGTAAACACCCCATTTGACCTTGCCTTGCTGTGCTGTTTCTTGAGTCTGCTTGGTTTTAAGAACGTTCTCCTCATCTCCCAGCTTGCGTCGGGGACCCTGCCAACTGACAGTGCTTGCGCGACGCAATGTAACAGTGGAGGTCCGTCTACGAGCCTCTGTGTGTGCGCCGCTGCGGATAGGGATCAAATCTCCAGGCTGCTCCGCCTCTTCGCTGTCCGACGAGCCTCCATTTTGGACGATGGTGGTTGTGACAGAGCTTTCAAGGCTCACAAGATCTTCCGAGCCACTAGCGGTGCCTTCGTCATCCGAGTCAGCCATGGTAGTACGGACTAGATTGGCAATCTCGCCCTTCATGGCCATGAGCTGTTCATAGGTTCCTTCCTCAATGATAGTCTTGTCCCGCAGCAGACCAATGAAATCGGCCTCCTTCAGTACAGTGATTGCGTTTGTTGCGAGAATTCTGGTCTTGCCACTAAGCAGACCAGTCTTTCCGAGAACCTTGTTGATGATATGACGTCCAACATGTTGATCAACTGCCGATAGAATATCGTCGAGAAGATAGATATCGGCACGGGCATAGACAGCTCTGGCGAGAGTCAGTCGAGCCTTTTGTCCACCGGAGAGCGAGATTCCACGTTCTCCAACTTCTGTTTGATCACCATCAGGCAAATTCTTGAAATCATCAAGCAGAGCGCACGCTTCAACGGCAAGATCATAGAACGCTGGGTCCCAACGATGTCCGAACACAATGTTCTCCCGGACGCTGGCATTCATAACCCACGGTGCTTGTGCCACATATGCGATACGACCGCGTACGACGACCTCACCCTGGGTCTTCCACAGGTCGCCCAGCAATGACTGCAGAAGGGAAGACTTTCCGGAACCAACCCTTCCAACAATACAGCTGAGCTCACCCTTGCGTGCACTGAGATCGATGTTCTCAAGCACATTGACTCCCTCGTGTCTGTTCCAAGTAAAGGAAGCGTCACGAACGCGAACAGACTCGTCACCTGGGTGCACAACGGGGTCTTGGAAGTCAACTGCGTTGGTCTGCAATTCCTCTGCGGTGAAATAGTCCATCAACCGCTTCACGGCGACGGACGATTCAATTATGGATGTGATGACCATGGGTAAGATGGAAAGTGGGAAAGTCAGCAAGTTGAATAGCGTCAAAGCCGGGAACACAATCTCGGTAGTCAGAGGCTTGTCGCTAGTCAACACAAAGACGGTGAATGTAGAGCAGGACACGAGGAACGGAGTGGACTGCCAAGTGAAGTTGGCGATGGACTGAGTAGCTCCAATTTTGCGAAGCGTGTTCAGCTCAAGATCATTTCGGATATGGCTGAGTTTGTTCATGAAAGCCGTGTTCCAAGCGTAGAGCTTGATGCTCTTGATGTTGTTGAGAATCTCGGTCATGAGTCGGGTTCTCGAGTCCTTGTTCTTCATTTGAACAATTTGCAGCTTCTTCATGGCCCGAGCGATGACACCATTGAGAGGGATCATGAGGATCATCACACCAACACCAGCAAACATGCTAGGTCCTACAAGCTGGTAGAGAGAGACCATGCACAGGGTGATTTGGAATGGGGCAGAAATGAGCTGAGTGCCGAACTGGGTCAAATCTGACAAGCGCTGTTGATCGACAGCCATGTGGTTAACGATATCGCCGGTTGTCTTGGTCGACCGTCCTTCATTGGACAACTTCAATGCCTTAACGTAGATCATAGCGGTCAGGGCAGATTTAACTCTCATGCCGGTATCGAAAGCACGCTGGAAGTACTGGTGAAGGAAGCTGGTCTGACAGACGGAAACGACAAACATAGACAACGCAATCGCAACACCTCTAATGACAGGCTGGGGATCGGGTCGTCGATACGAATCAATGAAGGAGATAAGAAGCCGAAGAAGCTGTGGCTGCACAAAAGCAAGCATATCACTCCCAGATTTGATGATTGCACCGCGGACATAGGGACCACCAAAGGCCTTGAAGAGTGCGATCCAGAGGGAAGGCTTTTTTGTCTTGAGCTGTTCTTCCCACGAGGCCTTCAAATCATCTCCCGTGACTCGAGTAGTGTCGCGGCGGCGAAGATTCCAAAGATCATCCTGAGTGAGATAATTGGTGTATCCAAATTTCATCATTGGGGTCATCCAACCAAATGTGAGAACGGAAAATATGTCTGCATAGTTGTATGGACATTCATCCTCATCACCAAGAGCATCATATGCGCTTTGCTTCTTGGGGACGAAGTACTCTAGCACAAACTCGAACATTGCGAGTCCGAGGGCCACATTGACGCAGACGAAATAAGGAAGTTCGCCGACATATTCCTGACGCGCGACCAAAGAGCGCAATTTGACCGCATATGCGATGATGAAGAAAAGCCAGTAGAATAGTACAACCCCGTTGGGCTGTCTACTCCGCCAATGCTCAAAGTATTGCACAGAGGTTATCACACCGAGTGAGATGATTGTCAGAATTGAGGACCAGAAGCGGAAGTCGGCGTGGAAGGCTTTCGGCTCCGATTCGACTTGAATAGCAGCTTGGAGGGCTGTGACGGCGATGATAGCGGCGAGTACGACCTGTCACAGCAAAAAAAGCAAATCAGCAACTCACTCATGACGTATGCGGGGATATCCGATGTAGTTACCAGCTTGGTGTAGAAGTGCCAGTTCTTCGATACCGGTTGAGGAATCCGCTTCTTCAACAGCAGCCACAAGGCACCCAGTCCACTCAGTGTACCCCAAACAGCCACTACCGCCACGATCACGTCAAGGAAGCATGGCGTCAGATCGAACCTCGATGAGCTGAAAGGGCCCCAGCCCTCGCTATCGGTGCAGAATGGCTGTCGATTGGACTCGATTGCCGATCCAAGGGAATGCAGGAGGTCCCCCGGGCGGGAACCCTCTAGGACCACCTGGGATTGGCCATCCAGCATTTTTCAAAACGACTATACCCAATGTACCTTTGCAGGAAAGGATACAGAAGCAAAAGCAGACGGGGGGGAGGAGTCAAAGCACCTTTAGAAAGCTAGGGTGCTTACTAAAAGCCAAAGGCGGCTCCTGGGGTCCCACTTTTTTTTCGGGGAAGTCGGAGCAGTCGACCGTTTGGTGTCGGAGTTATTTCAAAGCAGATCTTTGCCACTGGGTATAGTAGAACGAGAACTTCTGAGCGTCGCACAAGAATTAAACTACGTTTTTTTCAACGCAAAACACAGGTAAAGCTCCAGATTTGTCAGGTTTCTCTTTTTTTCTAGCCCGGTCACGTGGGAGAGTATTTCGTAAGCGTCATCCTCGGGAATAAGCCCTAAGACCGAATGCGCCGGTCTTTATCACCAACTTCGTCAAAACTATAAGATGATCTTATTGCCTTGATGTAATCATTTTGCTCATGCTCAACCTTGGGATTTAATAGATAGGGCGTGTCTTTATTTCATCTCCAGGGCTATAAACGCTAACATTGGTACTTTTCCGGAAGTTCCGAGGTCTCACTGTAATATATTTCTGCATGACGCTGACCTGCGCCTTTGAGAAAATACAGACTTCGCGTCCCAATATCATAGAGGAGATTTGTTGAGGCTGATGAACAGCAATATAGATTAGTGTATTAATGATGACTCAGGTAGCTGCTTTAAAGTTAATCATGAACTTTAGAATATAACAAGGACCGTGGAAAAGTTCACATGTATCTGGGCACTTCTGTCCATGTTAGCTCCTATAGAGATGACTTCAGGACCAAACAGTGCAAACAGCTTCAATGACATCATACCCAAGAGCGCTAGCCTGGGAAAGTCAGGTACCAGTTTGTAACTAAGCCAATATGGGTACCTAGGTATTCGTGGATGCATATTATACTTACTTAAAGAATGTCGTGCCTTTCGTTAATTTGAATGGCCCATCAGGCCAATAGAAAAATTGATCGTCTCAGTCCATTGCCCAAATTCATTAGCAACTTGAACTTCCTAAACGGGAGGCCGACTCGTTAGTCTCAAATATCACGGGACACAGCCCACAGGATAAGCAATTGTTCACGGAGAGTTGGGAGACAGTTGTGGCTGAGCTAACAGCAGTGTGACTCAATATTTCAATCAAATAGAGAGGCCAAGGTATAAAAGACGAGAAACGTCCAAGGACTACGTCTACTGCCAAGGTGAAAATATTGCCCGCATTATTCAAAGGCGGTAAGAGCCAATTTACCAGCGTCATTGGAGGGGCACAGCAATTTCCATACAGTGCATTTTTCCCAGCGCATCATGGGGGATACGACTCGAATGGAGGAACTCTTGAAGAGGCCTCTCTATGGTAATCTTCCAAAAGTTCTACGCTGATAGTACCTCAGACTGACCTTTTCAGTGTACGATCTGCCGCAAGAGCTTCTTGCCAGCTTAACGGCCAAAACCACAGGACAACCTGTCGCCGAAGAAGCCGCTGGCCCCTCGGCGGAGGAGCTCGAGCAGGCGGCTCAAGACTCTGCGATCGCAACTTCCAATCTGTGCCCTCTATGTAATGTCTCTTACAGCACCGTGCAAGACCAGCGCAGCCACGTCCGCTCGGATCACCACCGATATAACGTCAAATCTCAACTGCGCGGCAATGCACCATTGGGGGAGCTGGAATTCTCAAAAGCGGTTGGAGAGCTAGACGAGTCTATCTCTGGATCCGAATCTTCAGAGACAGAGGAGGAGGATGGAGACGGAGCCGCCGAAACCACGCTATCAGCTTTGTTGAAAAAGCAGGCCAAACTATCTCACCCCGACGAGGATAGCACTGCAAATGTGGCGGGAGTCCCGAAAAGCCCACTCCTGTGGTTTTCAAGCTCGGGCCTACCATCGAGCAAATCTTTGGGTATCTACAGGGCCATGTTCTCAGCCGCCGAGCAGGAGGATCCCAGGCATCTTGTTGACACCATTCGCCGCAAGCAGTTGGCACCCATCAAAGGGCGCACCAATAACGCCAGCAAAGCGCAAAATCCAGCCGCCTCGGGCCCTCATATCTTCATGTGCATGATCGGTGGTGGTCACTTCGCGGCTATGTTGGTCTCTTTGGCACCGGAAATCCATCGAAAGCAGGGAGGCGTTGAAGACCGACAAGCGAGAGTGATTGCGCACAAGTCTATTCACCGTTATACCACTCGTCGAAAGCAGGGTGGATCGCAGTCTGCCAGTGATGCATCTCGCGGTGCCGCTCACTCTGCAGGCTCAAGCCTGCGTCGTTACAACGAGGCCATGCTTGAGAAAGAGATCAGAGATACATTGATGGAGTGGCGAGACATGATCGACAGCGCAGAGCTGCTGTTTGTTCGAGCTACAGGGAAGACGAACCGTAAAATTCTTTTCGATAATTACGATGGGCAGGTTCTGAAGAACAAAGATCCCAGAATTCGAGGATTCCCTATCAATACTCGCCGCGCAACTCAAGGAGAGCTGCTACGGTGCTTCAAGGAGCTGACTCGTGTCAAGGTCAGCGAGGTAGATGAGGCCGCGCTGGCTGCGGCTGAAAACAAGCGCGCCGGGGTCGAGGCTAAAGCCTCGACCCCGGCGCCGAAACCGCAACCACAGAAGCCAAAGCTATCAAAGGAGGAGGAAGCTGCCCTGCTACACACAAGTCAATTGCAGGCTCTGATCCGCCGCTCTAAGGTTCCTGCCTTAATGTCATACATCTCCAACAACTCAATACCCCCTTCCTTTGTGTTCACACCCACCGACTCTCCCCAAAATTTCCGTTGTCCGACACCTCTACACCTCGCCTCAAACCTGAACGCCCCAGCGGTGGTCACGGCACTCCTAACGAAAGCAGATGCCGACCCTGGATCTCTCAGCAGCGAAGGTAGAACGCCCTTCGAACTAGCCGGCGACCGAGCAACTCGCGACGCATTCCGCGTTGCACGCCATACTCTTGGCGAGTCAAAATGGGACTGGGAGACCGCCAAAGTCCCTGCAGCAGTCTCCAAAGCTGATGCCGACAGTCGTGCCGAGAAGGAACGCCAGGCCGCAAATGAGGAGGAATCGAGTCGTCGCCAGGCCGATCTGGATCGTTTGAAGCGCGAGGAAGCGGAGAAATCGGCGTCTGCCAGAACCACGAAATCCGGTGGAAGGACAGTGGGCGCTGTTGAGAAGTCGATTGCCGAGAAGCGCGAAGAAGAGACTCGTGGAATGACACCTGAGATGAGAACGCGGTTGGAGAGAGAGCGGAGAGCGAGGGCTGCCGAGGAGAGATTCAAGAAAATGCAAGGAAAGTGAGGCTTTTCTGTATACCCTATGTCTACCCGGGCAATATTCACATGTCTATTTGTACATATCGCCATGATAACCTTGTGGAAAATCCCATTTGCACGAAAGGCAGTCAATCTTCAACAGTAGGGTTGACCTCCATGATTCAGCCATGGAGGCACATTGTGAGAGAGGACAAGGAAGCCAGAAAGCCGATCCAGTCTTCAGTAGTCCAAGAAGCCTCGCAAAGGTTAGCACGTGGACATTCACTGTTTCTTAGCCAGTTCAACACTGGGCCCCGGGGGCGCTACATGAGCTCCGAGGTCGCCGAAGCCCAAAGAGACAAGGGCATTAATTTTAGATCGCCACTTAAGGCCCCTCGCCAGAGGCAAGTGAATCAGCCAATAGTCTTGTTGATCAAGGGCTCATGGGTCCAAAGGCCCTGGTAGTATTAACCTTTGATCAGGTAAGTACCTGGATACCTTGTACCCAGGTACACACAGGGGAGAGGTGCCTCGACTGATTATTGGAGAAGCTCATGGAGCAGGTGACCCGAGCCCATCCCTGTGCTTGGGTTGAGGTAGTACTGAGCACGACATTGGTCCTTTGTTGTGTAACAGTGGCCAAGGGAGCTAGCGATGGAAGCTATTGATACACGTGCCCTACGAGTAGAGGGGGCCAGAAAGAGAGGAGAGGTCCCGGAGTGATCGCTGATCGTTGGGCTGATTGCTGGGATCAGAGACATGGTTTCACTTATCGAATCGAGTCTTCAATACGGGGACTGGACTGAAACATCTGGAGGGAACATGAGGAACCCTGAAAAGAGTTGGGAGTTCAAGAGATTGCATGTTTGGAATTATCTCCACGAATGGTAACATCAAGCCTGCTAACTATATCCTGCCCAGGTGTCTGATGGCTTTGTTCCCGAGGTTTCAATTTGCCGTAGCACTCGATTGGACACTCGGGACAACGACTCGTACCAGCAGGGACAAGGAGCCACAATCAAAGTACTACTCGTAGTACAGGGCTAAACAAGATCGCTCCCGCGATCGGTCGATCAAAACAAGGGGATTGTGAGAGTAAGACAACCAAAGGCCCGTATGACACGATGTCTGAGTGCACGAAGACATGAAGGTCAAGATCTGAGACCTGAAGGAGATCGAGGCCCTAGCGGGCCGCGGTTGGAGGGGCAACATTCCAACGCCACGGACAAGAACGAGTTGTGGAGATGATCTGCGCTAGTGCCCGCTGTGGACAGGGATATGTCTTGCATTGCCGATGCAGATGGTAGAACCTTGGATATCGCGAATGATCCTGAGATCGCAACATTGGTCTTTGTCGGTTGTGTAACTCTGCAGCATATAGCCAATTCTGAGTTTGAACACAATCGATATGCTACAACCCGTAAAGCATGACCTACCATTATCTCACGGGCGTTTGGATGACACGAAGCCTCGAACCCCTTGCGTGAGATCGGATTTCAGCCGGGGGCTGGGGACCGTGGGCTTGAGGGCGAACTCGTAGGAGCTCCCACCCTGTATGGATTAGTCTGTATGGAGACAGGAATAGGATTTTGGGGGCAGCCCTGGGCTTGGAGCTGAGTGGCTAAGGTTCAAGGAGAACGCGACCCGTGCTAGCCTCCTCAATGGTAATTCAGCCTTTGTTTGAGCGAATCTGCCTCATTTTGCCCCAGTAGGATCATCCGCCAAGTTCAAGAATAGCTATTTCAGGGACACCTGGAGTAAATGATTAGATATTCGGCCCGTCGCAGTGGACTCTGCACCCCGCAAGATAGGTGCAGCTGGGCTCTGCAAGATAATGCAGGCCATATCTTTGCACGAGACTGAAAAGGGAGCAAGGGGCATCTATCCAGTATTACAATGTAAAAAAACCTCCGATGTCAAGGGCTTGACGCGTTGAACAAGGCACATGGCACTCTGAGCACTGACCCACGTGAGATTCTAATCACTCCTACTGCATTGGGTATGGCCTCTGACATTGGAGTACTCCATACATCGAGGTTACGCCATATCCATTGTGCTCATTCTAAGGTTGGATTAGGGCATGGACTCTTGGCACGCCGCAACGCGCAAAAACGCGTGAAACGCGTCCACGCGTCGGCGCGTGAAAATTCTAACGCGCAAAATTACGGGAGTCGACCTTGATAGGGGACATGGGAATACACCTAGATCAAAAAGTCCTTTGCCAGTCCTTTGCCAGTCCTTTGCCAGTCCTATAGGGCAGACTCCTGGGTCAGGGTGAAAAACCTCCTCTCTAAGAGATTATTAAAACGCCACTCGCCCCGGAGATCTGAGGCCAGAGTCTATGACATCGTGGTCATGCAGGGCCCAATGCACGTCCAATGCACGTCCAATGTGCCATTGACATTACAGGCTGGGGTTTCACCACAGACCAATACAATACACACGGACGCTGCAGAATCAAAGGAACTGTATTCAAACTGTACCCAGGATGTCGATCTACCACCAAAATAGGAAATGTAATTGAAGAAAAGTGTTGAGCCTGATGTCTCAGGGGTCTCTGCCTCGTGCCTGTGCTCTTTGTGCCTTGCATGTAATCCCTCTGTTCCTGGGCTCCTGAGAATTCTCCTGTAGTCTTCTGTTTCACTGGGCTCTTGAGAGTAGAGTAGAGAGAGTATCTAGGTATAATAGAAGAGGGTTCCAGGGTCTGTAGTCTTCATCAAGTCACTCACTCTTGAACATTCCTCAGGAACATTCTTCAGATATCCAGCATTCTTTTGGTATTCTTTGAATCTTCCAGGAAATATAATTAGCCCATTCTTTGTGACGAAAATAACCTGCAACATTCGCTTGACCGTTTGCGGCCCGAACTTCTTTTATCTCAGGATTTGCCGCCCCGCCAAATCTTCTCCCTAACAACACACTCGCTCTCAACACCAACACAACAAAATCTTGTCGCATCCCCCGGAATACCTGGAAATCGAATCGCATTCTCACCAAAACCTGGTCCTTTCTTTTTTACAACCCCAACTCCCTCGTTGCGCAGCACAACTGCCTCCGGCGCAATCGCACATCGCGCGCGCCCCAACTTTTATCTCTTCCCAACCCTCAACTTTAAGTCGCCCACATCGCGCATTACTCTCACCATGCTTCTTCCATCCGCTATCCCATGCGATGTGCGCCGGTCGTCTCGCTCCACCCCCAGTCGCCTACTTGCAACTCCTCCTCCATCCGACGCTGCATACCCAGCCAGCAACGGTCTGCTCGGTACATGTCGCGCCCTACAATCACTACTCAGTGGATCTCCCACGCCCTCACCGCGTCGATCAAACCCCAAACGTCTTCAAAGTCCACTTCCAATCAACACACCCCGTCGCTCACCGCGATCACACAAGGTCGCGCGCCCCGTATCACCAAGACAAACACCACCACCCAGAACCGCTGCTCTTACACCACCACCTCCCCCATCTGCGCCAGCACGTGGCGCAAACAAGCGCTTCCGCGACGTGGAAGAAGAAGAAGACAGCGACATGGAAATGAGTCGCGATCGTTTCGCAACTCCCAAGCGTCGCCGTCACGTCCCCTATGAAATGCCTCTCGGACTTGCGCCAGCCGATTTCTACTCTCTACACTCTCCCCCAGTCACTCAATCGCCCCCTTCTCCTGCTCGTCGCATGGCTTTCCAATTTGGCCCAGCCATTGATCCCGATGCACCCCTGCCCTCTGTCGAAGTGACAGAGGAGCCTTCTCCGGTCCAGGGTGCCTGGACTACGGAAGAAGACCAACACCTTATCAAAATGGTCCTTGAAAAGGCCAACCTATCCCAAGCCCAATGGGACGAGTGCGCGCGCCAAATGGGCCGTACCCATGTCGGCTCCAGGTGGCAGTCCCTCGTTGGCGAGGGTCGTGTCGGCCTGCGCCGGCAATGAAATTGTTCGCAATTTCCGTGTTTCATTAATGTATTATATGACCTGTCCCACCTTGCGACTGGCCCTGTTGGCCTGACTTGTCTTTTCTTTTGCTCAAAAACACCCCTGTATTATCATTTTCCTTTCGGTTCTACGTTAACCAGCACAAATTGTTTCTGCTTTGGAGTCCCGGTTTAACGGGCTATGTGAATACGTTCTGCTTTTTGATCCTCGATGATCGTTCATATCCTGTCTTTTGTGATTTATCACTGCACATCTGCTATATCTTTCCTTGGATTTGATCTATGCTTGTTTGGACTGTACTACTATCTACTACCAACTTGAATTGTACTTATATCTGCCACTATTTGCTCTTCCTTGTAAACCAAAGATTGCCTTGGAAAGAACAAATCCCGATACCCATTGACCGTCTACAAGTATCAAGTATGTTGAGATGTAAAGAATGATACAAAGAATGAGATTGGAAGCTTCTGAAAAACCCAGTATGTATGTGCGGACCACCAAACGCCAGACACCCATTGTGCTGCGCAAAGTAAAATAAATAAGACAAAAGCCGGACCCAAGTCCATTGATATCAACATGCCCATCAAGCCCTTGGGCAGGCCCAAGACCAGATCAGAAACTACCATGCCAGAATAATCAGAACCTAAAGCAACGTCAGTGAAAGAGCCCCAGATTCCCGAGTCAACAACATACCGAATCTCATAACTCCCCGCGCGAGTCATATAGCGCACCCACTTAACAGAGCTGTAGTTACCCTTCTCAAAGACCTTGAGGTATCGCACCAGCAGACCAGAAGAGGTAAACATAAGCAAACTAAACGAAAGACTAAGCGGCGGTCGACTCCAAGCCTTCTGATGCGTCATGGAAGTAAGTGTCGCCTCGGCATTGAGCACAAACTCCGACTGCCCCGAGAATCTCGCAATCTTCCAAACGATATTGTTCTGCTCTGGCTCATACTTCGCACGGCCCTGGCTGGTCCGCTCGGTAGTCTTGGCAGTGTTCAGCGGCGTAGGAATGCGAATGACAACATTTGTCGCAAATAGCTTCGAGCTGTAATTCGCCTTAATCGCAACACTGTACTCAACCTTCGTTGTACCAATCTCCCTTACAATCGGATGAACCTTGAATGGCAAATTGACGTTCTCGGTCGCACGGTAGCGCATCAATTCGAACTCGCCATCCGGAGGAACGAAGGAAATGATCCTGTCTGCATCGAACCGGCCAAGCTTCACACACTGGTGGAACTGGCAGTCTTCGAGGGTGACAGAGCCAGCAGCCGCGCGCGTCGCTCTCGATGTGCCCAGTCCGCTGTCATTGCCGCGTCCACCGGAGGATGATTCACCGGGGTCGAGAAGGAGGCGGTCATTGAGGCCGAATTTACATTCCGGTGTGCCGCTCAGGTAGGCGCGCATGACGATTTGACCGTTGACATCTGCGCGGAGAACGGTGCCTGTTGCGGACATGAGGAGGTTGACGTCTTCGATTACGTCGACGAAGGCTTCGTTCTTGCGGTATTTTATGTCGGCGCGTCGCCAGGATTGAGCGCCGGTCGCTTGCTGCGTGATTCGAGAGGAGTCGGTTGGGTTATTGGTGATGGCGGATTTGACGCCCTCGGTCGTGATGTACATTTTCAAGGTGTCTGGGTCGGTATTTTGGGGGTATCCGAAGTCCAGAATTTCTATTCAAGGTACATTAGACTTTGAATTGTGAGAGTAAGACCACGAGCAGGTTACATACCGTCGAGCAGCTCGTAGATCAACACGAAATTGTTCTTGACGGCTTCTTCGTCGAATTTCCCAAAATAGCTCTTCCCCAGCATAATGAGCCGGTAGAGGAACTCGAAGACCAATGCGGCATTGGCATTGCTTTTGGTAACAGCTACCAAGTAGATATTCTCATGCTTGACATGGCTGAAGGTCGTCGAGCCCAGGGTCAGGATCGGCGAGCGTACTTGCGGATTGGAGATGACCTGGATCCGGAAGATGTCGGCAAGGCGCGGGCGGCAGTCGCTGCGGAAGGCGCGAAATATGAGGTTCTCGCCCTTCTGATTGAACACAAGAATCCCTGATAACATGGTGCTTGTTGAATCGTGGAGTTGGAGAGAGCTGCGGAAACAGGGGTGGGGTGGATCGACACCGCCTGGGAGTATAAAAAAGGAGGTGCATCGACCACTCTGCATGTTTGGCATCAGATCTAATCTCTATAAAGTCTACGGAGTACAAAGTATGGACTACGAAGTGTGGATTATTCGATGATCTTTGGAAAATTGAGTGAGAATCTTTTATGTGTCTCTTTCCCAGAAACACATCCCAGAAAGCGAACATTGTATTAGGCGAGCCCGACATGATAGTCAAATATGAACAAACCAGGTCAGATGGGTATTAGAGACACCTGGATAGGGTCCAACAAAGTATATGTGAGTATGACAGGGGGAAGAAAGACAGTGAGTGGTATCAAATCAGGAGAAAGGAAAAGATCCTCGCGCAACAGCGAGAAGGTATAAACGTGGAAGAAAGTCTGCGGTATGGATATCATGCAGAGGTCCGGAAGATGCAACAAAGAAGAAACATGTACAAAAGGAAACAACAAATGGCAGTAGCCCTCAGGCCCCAGCTCCAATACCTGTGCTCGGTCTAGTATTGGAAGCCGACGGAGCCTCACTAGGTACGAGACCGACCTTGGGATCAGGGATCTGGATATCAAGCGACATATAAGCCGTCCGCCTTAAGCTCCAGATATGAACCCCATCCTTGGAGCCAACTTCTCGATTCCACTTCTCTATCCAGGCCTCGAGATGCTGTAGCTGACTTTTAGTACCAGGACCGTTGATATCGTCCCATACCCAGCCAGTCAACAACCCCAAAGCACCATCGAGCCAATTCCTGAAACTGAAGGGGTCGAACGCCTTGACAATCCCATCATTGACAGTCGAAATGACCTTCCGGAATTCCTGCTCCGACAATAATGGATCCAGAATTTCGGGATAAAGATTTGAGAAGGTCGGTGCCAGATCACCTTGAATCATCCAGTCCCGTCGGATGCGAATCACACGCGTCGTTAGATGCTCGTGTGACCCAATAGGCACATGCGGGTTGAAATGAGGGAAACACGGATGAGCTGGGCCCCAGGCTAATTCCTCGGCGACGTCAGCCGGCGGCTGACCAGTGTGGGAGGGCACGGAGGCGATCTGAGATTGCGAGCGCAAAGAGGTCTGCGACGCCGCATGACGGGGCCGGTCATCCTGTCGAGTGCCGGCTTGCGTTAGATGAACGGCCTCGGGAGGCCGCAGATTCTCCGTGTCCCGCGCGGCACTGCCCGCAAACGCTGCAGCCATGTCAGCGGGTGAATATTGCCCGCTGCGTCTGTGTCGAGGAGGTAGGGCGATGCTGGTGCGACCACTTTCCGTTTCCCCCTGACTGCGCTCGACGAGTAGGCTGCTTGGGGAGGGGGTGAGTCGACTGCGTCGTCGCTCGGGGACGCTCAGGAGTGGATGGGCGTCTCGTGAGTGACCGTAGCCTAGTGGAAGACTTTCGTCTGAATGCTGTGGGGGGAAAGTAATTGGGGTGATGCGGGGGACGTGGTTGACCGGGTTGGCTAGGCGGACTGCTGGAGGGCGGAGAATGGCTAGCGACGGTGGGCCAGGAACGCACTGTCGCCGCTGGGCGCGAACGAAGGGCGGAGTGGACTCCACGGGGGCGCTCGCAATTGTTAGGGAATGTGGTTTCGGTAGAGAGTTGTTGATCTCGAATGACGCCGTTTTGAAGGAGAGGAGCGGAGGCGGAGATCGGCGAAGAAAGTCACCGTGGAGGCTGAGAGGGACATGCAGTACAACGAGAGAACTTGGGATAACTCCAAGGGACAACTGAATAGCTGGATCTGATCTTCAATCAGATCGAGCAGTGTGGTTTTGCGTCGCTCAATTTTGAGACCCAGGCAGGTTCGGCATAGACGCTTGGCTCCACTGAGTATTTGATATCAGGTCTCGGATACGAAAAGAACTCTTTCACGCTTGAATGTACTCTGTACTCCGTACTGTGCGATCAGATTAACACTTCAAGTGAAGAGGGTGATATGCGACAAGTCGTTTGTCCCCGGTTTCACTGTGATTAATCCACCGCGATCCCTTGTTTCATCCTTTATTGGGTAGTATATGCAGAGGGACTACGAGTACTTGCTGCAAACGCTATTAACCTATATGCATTGACGCCAGTATTGGCCCTGGAGACTCAAATTTAATCGCACTGGATGACGGAGTGGTTTCAATTCAGTCCAGGTTTCGGCGGTGTTCAAGGAATGCTAGTATGGGCCTTGGACCCGGGGCAGATCTGTATGCCCTGCGTATATGGACTCCAAGACTGGTCACGGTTGGGCTTTACCGACATATCTAGGCAAACTACTCCATAAAGTCTCGGGTATTGTCGGGCATGTTAGTAAAGAGCCCTACGTCCAGTATGGGATTATAGATCTATAAACATTTTCACCCAGCTCCAAGGCGGATTTTGAACACAATTCAGGCCGTGTGTGAGGTAAGACCTGAGCAGAACAAACGTTACAAACCATATAGTTACTTCCAGAGTTTGTACTCAGAACAACCTCTCAAATTCCTTCATATCTTCCAAGGTTTGTATAGTTGTTTATTGGGAAACGTCCCACGCTTTCCTCAGTCTTAGAAATTGGTCAATCTTGCAAACTAGACCTAACATAGAGCCCACTTCGAAGGAGTGGCCGCTGCAAGGGTGAGAAAATAATAAAGTCCGGACACGGATTTGGGAGCTGATCCTGATTCTAAATTGCAGGCTCACCGGTTGGGAAATGCTGCTTGTGAGTAGATAGCCCTGGAGATTGAAGACAGAAACTCCAAGTTTTAATGACCACAGGTCGGATTTTCATTTGCTTGGAGCCTGATTCACATGACCAAGGCACTTATACTTAAGTAAATGCTATGAGGTAGATGTACAAAGTAAACCCTTGAGAATTTGTAGCCTTGATTATTTTTGAATTCCAATCTATAGATGGAGTTCGCCCGAGGCAACTCGATTGAAAAGCTCTATATAAAATAGTTCCAGCCCACGGAAAAGAAGGTACTGAATAAAGTCCAGCCTGTGACGGTATTAATTAGGTAGTAGCCGAAGTGAATATACATTATCGAAGATGATAAACATCGCAATAAATACTTCATAAAGTCGTGTAGAAAGCAAAAGGGTATAAAGTCAACAATAGACAATCACAGCTTGCGGTTCGCCGAAGCTTGCATGCGTCGCATCGCCTGGCGATGGAGATCCGTCATGCTGCCCCGCTGCATACCCTCGGCAATGGCATTTCCAAGCTGGGTAGAGGAGGCTTCCCGCATCTGCTGCACAGAGCCCCACGTATTGCGTTTATCGATGGGACTCACGGGGCTGATGGGCGGCGAGTGAACATCACGCTTTTGGGTGATTTCCTCGCGAATAGACTGTCGCCATGCTGCCATTCTTGAAGCAGACCTGTTCAGGTCACCGGAAGGAGAAGGCGGGGATTGGATTGGTGATGCAGCCTCCACACTGTGGAGACTTGTTGAAGAAGACTGCATAGTTTGACGTTGAAGCAAGGCGCGACGTTTGGAGAGGGGGATGTTGTCTTCGTCATGAGGACCATGGTACTCTTCGTCCCTTTCTTGCGGGGCGGAGAGTGGGGACATTGGAGAAATGGGAGAAATGGGAGAAATGGGAGAAATGGGGGAGATGGGGGACGCGACATTTGGAATTTCAGGTAAAGACTGGCGGGATTGATTGCGGGAAGACCAGGGATCGAAGCGGTTGGATGTTGAGGACATGCGGTTCCGCACCATATCCTCGCGCACGGCAAGCAGGGGAGGTGGACCACTCCAGCGTGGTGATGGTTCGGTTTCTTTTGGCTCATTGGGCGTGGTAATTGTCAACAAAGGAGTGGATGCATTACGCGAGCTTTTCAATCCTTGCTGCTCTTGAACTGGCGAGGTTGGACCAGAAGATGACCGCATCATGGGCACTGCAGCTGGTGACTCGATTCGAGTGATAGGAGGTGGGATTGCTTTAGTCGTCAGACCCTGAGCACCAGTGCGTGTCTTCGACCGGGGAATTTCAGGGCCCGGTGTCGACGAGATATATTCATACGGCTGTTGCTCCAGCTCTGGAAGCTCAGGCCTGTTCACGATGGGGGCTGGTTGGGCTGTTAGCGGCGTCTGGAGAAGGCTGCTAACATCGACAACGGCTGGGGCCTCGTGAACTTCATCAGATTCCTGTAGCTCTGGCTCCGGATCGAACTCAATTGGCTCCCATTCGGGGGTATCAGCATCTGCAAGGTGTTTGGCCCACTCATTGGTGCGATAAGAATGGATAACTCGTGATGTCTGTTCGGGAAGTGCCTTGACTGTGCTTGCATCCAGTCTTTTGATCACTTCGACCTTTGGCTCAACCTTTGGCGGCTCGATCTTTGGCTCGGGAACCGGCTCGGGAGTTGGTTCAGGAACTGGCTCCTGGACAGGCTCCGGCGTGGACTCAGGCTTGGCTGTGGCAGCAGTTGTAGGCCGACTTTCGCTAGTATTCTTCACGCTTTCAACCTTTTCAACGCTCAAAGGCGAAGGCTCCAACGTCGGCTGAGCCTTTGCTTCCGCGGCCTTGACAAGTTTGGCCACAGCATTGGGTTGGGCGTCCGTTGCGGGGACATCAGGTGAAACAGGCTGCTCGGCTGCCTTGGATGTGCCCGAGTCCTTCCCGGAGCTTGCGGCTGCGACAATGCTCTTGACAGGTTCTGACTGCGCAACAGTTTGATTGGCACTCGCTTCTTCGGAGACAATTTTCTCGGCAGCGTGCTCATTTACAGCACTTTCATTCTGAGCATTCTTGTCATCCTGAGCAGCCTGTGAGCCAACATTGGACTTGGCATCGATGTCGACAGCCATGGTTTCCTTGTTTACCGATTTCTCTGAAGGTTCTACCTCACGCTCAGTCACTTGGATGGGATCTTGAACGTCAGATGCAACACTCGGACAGCCCACGCTTACGTCGTGAAGGTCATCCGCTACGCCTTGAACGGACGAATTGGCATCATCATGGATGACCATGGCCTCCTGCGAAAGCATCGATGCTCGGTTGGTCATGTCTCTGCCCGAGAAACGTTTTGGGCGCGGTGTTCCAACCTCCGAACCGATGATGGCACCATTCTCGGAGGCATCGTCACGGGCCACGCCAAGGGCATGGGTCACAGGAGTTGTAGGTCGGTGGCCCTTGGGGTCGGTTTCTGGGCCATGTTGCGGGTCTTGATCTCCCTCTCGTTGTTGATCTTGAGATGACTCCTCCGGAACAGGCTCCAATTCCCGAGAACCATCTTCGCCAGTGCTGTTCTTTTCACTGCCTGAAGCACTGCCGGATGAATCCGGGCTTCGCACTTCCTTAAGTTCAATGTCGGCGCCCTTCTCGTTGTCGGAGGAGGTATATCCATCCGAGCCCCGGCGCGAGTCACCGACTGCGGTCTCAGAAACGGAGGCTGTCTTAACATCGGCTCCCTTGCCGTTGCCATAAATGAGTTCCCATTCGGCGCGCTCCTGGATGTTCTTTTCCTCCAGGCGTCGACCGGCCTCAGCATCTTCCTCTTCAATCTTCCTGTTGTGCTCCTTTCGAATATCCTCCTCCTTGGCTCTGCGTTCCTTGATAACATTCCATAGTCTGACCTGGGAAATTACGCCCAGGATCGCGACTATGATGGTTGCCGCAAGCTCGACCCGAATACCACGCGTCACAGGATAGGTATTCGTTCTGAGAGGGAACACGTTGTTGTTCAAACCTAAATAAATCAGTATGTCGAACAGTACCAGAACGATCTTCAAGCTTACCCCAGATATAGAGCCAAAATTCTTTCAATCCAGCTCGGCTGTAGCAATCGATTCCGAGCACCAATGCGGTTGCACCGGCAAAAGACGTGCAGCCAATCAAGCCGTAAGGCCGGGTGTAGTGACTGAAGCACAAGGAATAGAACCCAGCAGCGAATGCAATGATCATTCCAGCCTTGGGACCACTCTCCGTAAGCAGACCACCAGGCCTCAGGGTCAAGAACCACATGCTCAGACAGAATCCACCCAAAAGGCATCCGAGCCCTTCACAAATCTCTCTGAAAACGAGGGAGAGACCACCAAAGACGGCACCGGTGAAGAAAATTGCAACCAAATAGCCACCCTGCACGGCATTGCTGACAGGCGGGCTCATGACATAGATGATTAGGACCTATTTGAAAGTCAGTCGAATGCTCCACGATTGGCCAGTACACAACTCACAGTGACTCCCAATGCAGTACAGAACCCAGTGGAGAGGAAGATTTGGACCCTATTTCGCATTCAACTGTTAGCATCGGCAATTGAACGATCCAGTCATTTTGCCTACCATTGTTTGCGAACACCAATAAAGGCCAACACGGCTCCAAGTGCCATCAATATAAATCCTCCTACTCCAAACGCCGGCGTGATCTTGGGCGTGATAGGAAGGCCACTGGTGTATGTTGGCCTTGACGAGTCTGACCCGTCGGACTGTGATGAACTTGTCGTTCCATCGAGCGAGGGTACAGTTGAGGTGGCGGAAGGCGTCGACGTCGTGGCAGTGGCATTCTGTGTGGCAGTCGTCAGGGCATGAGTACCTGTGGCCGTGGGCTGTGCCGTTGTTGAGGCATCCGTTGCTGTGGCCGATACATCTGTCTGCGTTGCCGTGACCGAACCCTCACTGGCACTGTTCTCTGCCGTTGTCGGGCCTGCATCTTGTTTTCCTTCTACATCGGCAATCTCATCCCGTCGGACCGGGCCCGACGCGGGTGCTGCCAGTGCCCCCAAGAGCAAGCATGAGATAATCAAGGTGATGAGGGTAGACCACCGCATTTTGGCTCGGATTCACAAGAGGAATCAGAGGCGAAGAGCGGGAGAGAGACACCGGGTATCGTACTCCGTAGTTATGAAAAGATCGGCGCCCTTTCACATACTCTTAGCGCGCGATATCAGAGGATCGGACGCGAAATCAATAGAATCCACGCGCCAGGCAATATTAGTTATTATCAGAGCCCACAGTATACAGTGAAGACGGGGGGGGAAACCAAAAAAGATGGGCCTGAATAGCGTCAGGAGAAAAAGCAAACGGACCTAGGTCTCTCCCCTACATATAAAACCCACTAGAACAATGGCTCACGAAAAAGGAAAAACTCTTCCCATGCAGTATTTGAGTTTCATTGGCGACAGGGAATACAGGGACGTGTTTATCACTAATTTGACTACGAATTGGACTAATTTGACTAAATTTGACCACGCGAAGCTAGTGGGTTACGAGCTATCTACTTCGACCCACCGATCGTGCAAATTGCCGATCTAGCAAGGATCAACTAATGACTAGCTTCACTTTGCAGGTTCCTCACGGACCAAACACAGTCCAAGGTTACGGGCTAGTGCAAAGATTTTCGCTGGACTCGGTGCTTTTACGCTTAACTTCCCAGTCCTCCGGAGTCGGCGAATATACTGCAATCAATTCTCAAACCCTACAAACCATGGATTGTTTTGATTTGGTCAATTGATCTGGTTATTGTTTTTGGAATTGTTTTTTCTTGGCCTTTTTTCCCCTTCTCGACCTACAAATTTCACTAATTCCCGTCTCACGCGAGACTGGCATCAGATCTGTCATTTTCCGTGCCTTCACGTATTCACCGTCATTTAGTGCATCAATAAACCCACTTGGAGAATCGCGGACACCGTGAGTACGAGTACGCGAATACCGCCTATTCTCTCACCTTTTGACGGGTGGCGCCGTAGGGGCTATCGCAGCCGATCTATCAGATATATCCCGACGCCAGACGCATTGTCCTGCAGGCCCAGAACCTTTTGGTTCCTCGGCCATTGTTGACCAACAAAACGCCCTTTCTGCAGCATCGACGTGGTCGGGCCGCTAATTGAGTGTATAGCTGCAAGCCCACGTAAGGAGTCAGCAATGCATCTGAGACAGACAGCTATCTTAATCTTACACTGGGCTTTGGCTCGCTCAATCAGCAGTGGCCTTTGCAGCACCCGCTTCCTCTATCCTCATTCTGGTTTAGCACGGTCTTTTGTCTTTCTCGATCTCCCTATGGGTTGCCACTTTCAGGATAGTAAACGGGCTGCTTTGTACAGTTGGCCGGGACAGTCGGATGTGATTGTGATGCGATTGGGTTGATCTTCCGTACCTTGATGTGATTCCTCTCCAAGGCTGTTCCTGGCCTGAAATGGCGTCTATCGAGAATGCCCCATCAAGTTAGACTTCATATTGCTTTTGGTCCATTTTTGCTTCTTCGGGTTCCATTTATATGACTTAATGACTCGGGACTTGCACCGTTGAATTTAGAACCTGGGCATTATAGCTGCTGGTTTCCCCAGCTTGTGCGATGATCTCGCGCTGTTGCGTACTAGTTCCCTTCAAGCCCTGGAGACACTAAGAACAAAATCCCCATTCCAGCTTCCAAATACCCAATCTCAATTACCAGCTAGAGAGAACCATTTCCAATCCAACCATCCCAATAAATGCGAACGGTATCACATCTGTACTAGGCGGAAGTGGATAGGGGTAGATCACATGACCCGTCACCACCTTCGAACCTCCAGTCAACTCTAGTCGTGTCCACCCATCAACAATTCCATACACAACCATGTCGTTCCTCTCTTCTCTGCGCCCTGGCATGCGCCTGGCCAATGCTGCTCAGACCGCTCGCGCCTTTAGCACCTCCCCCGCTCACTCCCTCGCCCGCCTTACCCTCACCGGTCGTCTCGGTGCCGAACCCGAGCTCCAAACCACCGCCAACGGCACTGAGGTCGTCCGATACAGCGTCGGAACCAACCACGGTCGTGGTGATAACCGCCAAACCAGCTGGTTCCGTATCTCGAATTTCGTGCCAGAGGGCGCCCAGCGTGACTATATTCTTGGCTTGCAGAAGGGGTGAGTCGGAGCTATTGTTTTTTGTTTTTTTGTCTTCCTTTTTTATTTCTTTTTTCCTCAATCGGGGTCGCGCGGGTATACTCGTTCCATTGGGGCTTGTTTACGGTGCTGCTTTCTCCAATTCTTGCCACGATGGCGCAGTACGGTGTCACCCAAATAAAAGCTGGCACAGGAGCTGCGGGGAGCTCGATCCATGCCAACGCTGCCTGTCGGATATAATTGGAAAACACATCCACCCCACGAGACTGTCCCACCATGCTGGTCATGCGCCCTCGTCCACGTTCCATGCTTGGGGGCCACCTAGCTTTGCGCATCTGCGATGCCCAACAACTGCAAGCTCAAGAGAGAGGCTAACTAGCGCCACAGAACCCTTGTGTTTGTCGAGGGCGATGCCAAGATGAGCACCTGGGAAGATGCAGAGGGCAAGAACCGCTCTTCATTCAACGTCGTGCAGCGTAAGTTACCCATTCTCATATGCGCATGCAGCAAGATCGACCAGGAACTAACTTGACCAGGTACCCTTGAGGTCCTCAAGCGCGGCGAGAGCCGTGAGAACGAGAACTAAATAGCCTTTTAAGAGCTCTGTATTCAATTGATTTTTTGCTGTCATTTTTTGGACATTGATCATACGTGATCATCGTGCTACGGTTGGCTTTGGGGGTGCTTAAGGGGTTCGTCACTGCAGCTTTCAGATCCTGGAATCTTTGATTTCTTCTACTTACTGTATTGTTACTACATTATGCCCAATACACCACGTCTCTTGAGTTCGAACTTAATCCCTCATGCCGGGCAGCTCTTGGAAGTTTTGCGTAGCCGCCTGGCCATCTGCAGTTGGCTCTGGGTTTGGTTTGAGTTCGAGCTTTGCAGCTGGACGAACGTGCCCCTGCTTCCAAGACTCCAAGTATAGATCTGCTTGTGCGGTGTAGAATGGGGAACCTTATTGTACTCATGCATTCGCCTAATGTTTTACATGTCACATCCTAGAACGTCATGGGCGCTTCTGTAGATCTATGAATGTACTCCATACGCCGCACAGCCCTACTCCAATGCGCTGAGAACGATCACAAACGCACGATGGCTTCCCCTCTGTTGATCTCTTGGCGTGGTCTATAGCTGCGAGGGCAAGGTGTTGAATCCGAGTATATATGTCTATCCTCAGATTCTGACCACTCCCCCTTCTTGCTCTAGGTTTACCAGCTAAAGCAAGCACATTTTATCCGGGCATTTCTATCCACTGATTCCAGGCACTGTCATTAAACGCTTGGCGAACTATCGAATCACACGGCGCATGATCGCCTCTGCAGGTCCTCTGGTTAAATCTGCAATAAGACCAATAGATGCATTAAGTTAGAAGATAGTGATTGGTAGGTATGGCGGCTCTGGATCAAGACTTCCAAGGTTGCATATGAAGACATACCTAGGCAAATTGCGTGAACAGCTAACACCGCCAAGGCTGAACGTTGCAGTAAAATCATGATTCCATCCATCTGGTCACGATTGCGCCCCCAACTTTGGAAATGTGATCAGCATTGAAATCCTGGCAGGGCTCGCCATTTCCTTGAATAAAGATCATATGTGCTCCTCGCACAACCTTGGAAGTACTGTAGATCGGTGCAATACAATTTCGACCTTGCATATCCCCTAGGTACCTCCTATATTAGGACTGTAGGGAGTCAATGTCGAATTTTCAATCACATTTTTTATCCTGAGCCATACCGACTCAGATATTAATAGCTACTTAAGTATGGTAGGAGCTAAGCCTATTCCATATAAGGACAATACAAAAACCCATTATTAAAAAACATAGCCCGCAACCTTCGATGATCAAGTGCAAGCTAGATGTGGATCTCACTCTGCTGGCTGATGACATGCTGCACGTGGATATTATCCTTGTTTGACGTCGAGGAAGTAGGACTTCCGAAAGTATCCTTATCGTGCGGACTCGCCCAGGCATTAGTGAGAATGGTGTTCCCTGAACCAGCAACCTCCCGCAATGCAAGTCCTTCCTCGGTCATAGAACGACGAGGATGACGGGAACGACGTCCAAAAAGAGATGACAGCCATTTCCACCGACGCGCAGGCAGGCCGTGACGGGAGGAAGAAGTGCCCTTTTCGATATCGTTGTAGGTACCAGTAGTCAAGAAGGTGCTTGTGGAGCCCTTGCGACTGAAGAACGACTTTGCGCTAGAAGTGATGGTCCCAACAAGGGTTGTTCCGGACTCTGCACCTGGACTTGTTGCCTGGGAAGGAGTAGTGACGGGACGCTCGACACTCGAGAAACAGTATCCCAGTCCGAGATACCAGAAGATGGTGCGGTACATGCGAGTGGCGTCATGACCGAAGCCGAAGAAGATGAAGACCATGAATCCTGATACGATGGGTGTCCAGCGGTCAAAGAAGACTTTGTTGCCCTGTGGGACTTTGATGATCTTGGACCAGTCTTCACCGTGGGTTTCACTCCATGAGTATGGGTGCCAGGGAAGTGCCAGTGTGATGTCGGTATACACGACGAAGCCTTGAAGGGGCAAAATGCAGACAAGCATTGAGAGGGCGAGGAAGAAGAGACGCATGAAGCGAGACTTGCTGAGATTGCTGCTTGATGCACGCAAAATGTTGGCAAATTCATTTCGGTATCTGCGGACACGGATGAGGACCAGGCCTAGAATTGTTAATTTTGGTGTTCATTCGGGGAAAGGAAGGAAGGTTCTCACAGCAGTAGTATGCTGCAATGACGCAGATGATGGGTGGCCAGATGTAGGCGAGGACAAGGCTGACCCAGCTCTCGTCGTAGTTGTTCACGCATCCAGAGATTGTAAAGACGTAGTAGCGGCTCTTTTGGTAGACGATGTGGGTGGCCATTGCGATGAGAGGAGCGACGACACAGAAGACGATGTCCATGAATCGGTTACGCCATCTTTGACTCCGGCTCGGGACAAGGGTTGCACGGTCTGTGTCCAGAACAATGGCCAGGCTGCGGAAGATACAAAGGAGAGCCCCCGGGACACCGATATAGCCGGCCACCATGACTTTGACTTCGATATCACACAGGCCGGAGCCGTCCCACCACGAATCCACGTCATCATTGGGCCAGCAGAGGGCATTGATGATGTTGAACAGATTGAGGATGATTGACCAGGCGATGAGATTGGCGGCAGGGTAGTTTCGATTCTTGGCCAGTAGAATCAAGGGTGGGATTCCCACTGCAATGGACAAGAAAGACAGGGTTGGTAGGACCACGGCCACTGGATACCGATGGCGTACATCCATACCGTCGGTGGGTGTATAGTGAGTTGGAAATTGCACGTACTTGCTGTGAAGATTGATCATTGGTTGTGTCACAGATCCAGAGATGCAGCAAGGATGAAGGTAAGAAGTATAAGAAGGCTAAGAAGCCATCTCCTGGTATATATCAAGACCAGCAATTGAGAAGTTTGGTCTTATTCGAATCGGGATCCGAATCAGGAGTATCAGTGTTCAAGACATGACTTGAATAAGGTGAGGAATGTATAGGATGCAAAGGCAAAAGAGCCTTATAGTCCATACTGTTGAGCATGTTGAGAGTTTTTGAATCGGTGAACCATTGGGTTATTGCGACACAGCTTCTGACAAGCTTGAATAGGATCAAAGAAGATGAACAAAGAAGTGAGTAGTCGATGTGATTGTAAAGGGCGAATAAAACACGAAGATGTGAATAGCAGCAGGCGGATCCTGTCCGCATTTGGGGCTCAATAGATCCCGCGGGCTGGGCATTCTTATTCATTTCCGCTGGTGGCGGCGCCATCCGTGATCTTCTCTGCAGTCGATGACCAGTGCAGTTGTAGTCTGGATTCGAAATAGTTTTAGTATGGGTTCGTGCGAGTACAGTGTCGATAGGAGTGTGTAGTCAGTGTGTTGGTGAGTTCTAGAGTTGGGCTGAACACGAGACTAAATACCATAGTAAATACTGTACTTTGTACAACTCATATAGACAGTATTTACGTATTTACTTGGGTACTTATTAGGCAGTATCTAGTATTCAATGCTCAATATTAATTGTTCTGATCTGCTCAGAAAACCAATATCCCCAATTTCTCTCCACAAACCGGTTCTCCAGCTTCTCCACGTCTGCCTCGGGAACCAAAAAAAGCAATTATGCTCTGAGCCCCTCGCAGGATTCCCCAACTACTCCTTACTACTCCGTACGACTCGTGTATATTCGCATCGCATAACCATGACAGACCCGGTGAGCCCCTTGAATCGATCTTTCGATCGCCGGAACTCCACTCTGTCCGATTCAATATCAGAAGCGCGTAACTCCATCCGATCGTCAACAGACGACCTGTTTCTGCCCCGCGTATCCAAAGGCCACGATGTGCAGCTCGAGGAGTCGCATTGGCATTCAACACCCCTCGGTCTAGCCCTGCTGCCAGCGATCGCGGGCGTCTTCTTCCAAAATGGCAGTTCCATAGTGACCGACGTCACCTTATTAGTCTTGGCTGCCATCTTCCTGAACTGGTCTGTCCGGTTACCCTGGTAAGTTCCCAATGCCCACCTACAAACTGTGATCTAAAGAAAACTAAATCTCATCAGGGATTGGTATCGATCGGCCCAAGCAACCCGAAGTGGATTTGACGATCAGACCCCCTTCGAGGAAGACTCATCTAAAGAGGCCGCCGCAGCGCGCAAAGAGCTCCAGGTTCACGAGCTCGCCGCCTTAACGGCCTGCTTCCTCTTTCCGCTCATCGGTACTTGGCTCCTACACGCCATCCGAGGCAGTCTCTCCCGTCCCTCCGAAGGTCTAGTATCAAACTACAACTTGACCATCTTCCTCCTAGCCTCGGAAGTGCGTCCAATCGCGCACCTCCTCAGACTAATCCAGAAGCGCACTTTACACCTACAACGCATTGTAACATCCGAACCATCCACAGACCCAAGTACCTTGGCAGACTTGACCAAGCGACTCGAAGAGCTAGAGGCCCATGTCGCGGACACAGCGACCCGGGAGAAGAATGTCGCAACTACCGAAACTGACTCCTCGCGTGTATCGCAGGCGGCCGCTGAGATGCGCAAATCCGTTCAGCCGGATATTGAGGCTCTCAATCGCGCTGTGCGGAGATACGAGAAGCGCTCGGCGCTCTTTGCGATGCAGACGGATCAGCGGTTCGTGAGGCTGGAGGCGCAGTCTGGGGATGCAATTGCTTTGGCTGCGGCGGCGCAGAGGAGTCAGGCTGCTAGATCGGGTTATGCTCTTGTTTTATTGGAGTGGGTGTGTGCTTTGGTGGTGGTTCCGGTGCAAATTGGGGTGTCGGCTGTGGGGTTGCCTGGGCGGGTGGTCTCGGGGGCTCTGGACTCTGTCAAGGGTATGCTGGGATGGAAGGGGAAGTCCAAGTCCAGACCCAAGGGGAAATCGGGGACTGGGTCGTCCTCGGCGCGACAGGGAGTGTCGGTGCAGCGAAGGCCCGTGAAAAGTAATTAGGCTTAAGAATATGTATTATGATTCCATGGGACACCGTGGAGGACATGGGAGTTAGTGGGTATGAATTACTATGGGATGATATTAGGCATAAGTGATTATCAACACGAACCTACGGCAACTAAGAGAGTTCTAAAGTTAACTTGAGAGAAATAAGTTATACTTAGTACAAGGTTATTTCACTGGTGTGCAGCCGCAGGGTAAGTCTAAGTCAAAAGTACATGTTCTAAAGCCTCTAAACAAGATCAGATTCAAGACCGACCTCCTGACGGTCCTTTATCATCAACTCCAATCATCTTCAGGAATGGTTCGATAATTGACCTTCTCCGCTCGTCAGTTGCGCGACGTTCCTTTTCCTTGGCTGGCATAGAAGCCGAGGCAGATATAAGGACACGCGCGAAAATTGATGCCAAAGCAGTCTCAACTGCTTGCCGGCGTGCTATTGAAGGGTTCTGAGGAGCAGCGTCCGGGCTGGTGGTAGATGTGCTCGGGGAGCGATTCTTGCGACGGAAAGCACCGGTTGAGATGAAAGAGGCAGAAGCTGGAGTAGGGGGCTGTGTCTGTTCCAAACTTATGGGTTCAGGCTTCCCTGCTGACTCGTCGCCCTGTTTGGGCGGTGGCTGTGACGAAGCGGACGTAACTGGGGCTACTTCGTTGGCAATACGAGCAAGCATGAATGTGACGAAGGTAAATGAGACACTGTGGGCTGGTGAATAAGCGAGGCTTTCAAGGACCCATGCTTGGGTTTCCTCCCACGTTCGAGCTGGGGTTTTGGCTTTCTCGCGTGCAATCATCTGCTGCTCCATCTCTTGCCATACTGATGCGGTCACGATGCCGTCTTTGAGGGAATTGAGGAAGGTGAGAAGAGTCTCAGAGAGAATCTCCAAGCGCTGGATAGATGGAATCTCGGGAGGGAAAACTGCGACGAGAGCTTGGTTGGTGTCCAGGGCTTCATGAACACAGTTTTGCAGCGAGGAACGTTCTTCTGGATCTTTCAGTGTCCATGTATCCGGTTGGAAAGGCCATGCGCCTCCAGAGAGGTCTGTTGCCCACGGTGCCTTGTGCTCTTCAGATTCACCGTTTGTCATGCTCCATTCTGCCACGGCGCGTTCTGTCAATTCGGAGATTGCCTCGGTCAGTCGGAACAGCTCTCTGGGTGCCGACAGGCGGTTTGCGGAAGAAGACTCAGTGCTTGATGGATGCGGAGCGTCAGATTGGGCCAAACTACGGGCACCCTCTTCTGGCATACGCGTCAATTCATCAATAGTGCAGCCAAAACTCGTAGGTAACCAATTTCCATGAACAGAAATAAAATGATCACGGCCGCCGTCCACATGGAGGACTAGAATATCTTCTAGCTTGACTTTTCTTATGTTAAGTAACCGGACATGCTCAATGTTGCGAATGTGAGCGATAACCTCAACATTTGCTACTTCCCCCGGGTGCAAAGAGTGATTGCCGGAAGAAGAAGCGGTGCCTTGGCCGTGGTCATCAGCCTCTGACGAGTGAGATACATTGACTTCGAGCCATGAAGGGATAGATTCGTCCTTGTCACCATGTCGCTCGGCAAATGAGAATGTGGCTGCACTACCGCTTGTATTGGCGATTGTCAAGGATCGATGGACTGGCACACCGAAGGCGATATCACCAAAGTCGACAGCGTTGGGATCTTCTTCTGATTGCTTTTGATCGCCATGTTTGTCAACCACGACTGTCAGATCTGGACGTGCCTCGTTCTCTGCCTTGTCTAATTCGCGGGCTACCTCTTGGTGAATCTTTGTCTTGAGTTGGGGGTTGACGGCGTCGAAGCTCAAAGTAAAAATAGCGTCCAGGGGCTTGTGGTCTGACGACAAGATACCTTGGTGGGACAGATAATGGTCCAAATGGATTGGGTCTTGGAAGGAGTCATGTGAGGCAGCTGTGGCCGCGTCTTCGTCCGCTTGGTCTTCATCTGATGCATAGTCCTCGCTTTGAACTCCATCAGTGTCAGGGTCATATTCGAATAGGACATTGTCGTCAGCAACAGCCTTGTCCAGCCCACGAGCTTTCATTTCCTCGTCCCTTCGTCGGGCAATTTCGGCTTCTTGGTCAAGTTGCTCATGCTTTAGCTTATCCCGCTTGGTGCGGAACAAGATTCGGTCACACCAGCTGGGCCCCCGATGCTTTTCACTCGAGTCAAACATGGCAACACTCCCAACATCGTATTTGTACGTCGGTAAAAATGTTATTTGACCCTCCCGCCATCCTTTATGGAACGCTGTTCCCTTTTGTTGCTGAAGCCGTAGCTGGTCATGGGGTAGAAGTGAGGAGATGGTGGTCTGTAAAGACGCCGGGTCATTATGAGGGTCAATCTCTTCATCGGTGACTGGGTTTGTTTCATCCTCTCCGAGGGGAGATGGCGGTGGCGATTCTTCGGAATCTGGAATTGAGTCCTGGGCTTTGCTTGAAGACTGCTGTTTTTGGCGCTCTTTATCGTACGCGTTTTCAGTATGCCGCGCGAGGACTTGACGCACGTCATCCCCAGGGATGTCATCCAGGCGGTAGTTGAGGTCACCAAACCAGAATGTAAAGTCCTCATCTCCAATTCCGTCGCCCAAATCATCTGCTTCGCCTTCTTCAGAGGGTATCGGGTCAAACTTAGCACGCTGAACAATCTGGGAAGAGTCCCAGTTGCGTCGCTCCAAACTGTTCCTGTCTGACCCCGCAGCTAGATGAGAGTTGATGAATACTAGACGGGCCGTTTCGCCGAGAACAAGACGAGCTGCCACTGCGCCCTTGTTACCCATGTAGCCCATCAAGCCAGTGCCAACGGAAGTGGTGCTGACAGATGAGATACTATCTCCAATGGCGGGCGAGGCATAGACCAGGAGCAACAAACCGATCAGTTGGACTTCAGAGACAAGCTGGTACCCAGAAGGCAGCGACTGGTGCACTGCCTCTTTCCATCGCTTTGATGGCGCCGGGTCCACGTATGGCCGTAGAGCTTCCGCTGGGGAAGAAATATCGACCACCTCCTGCAACCCCAGAACATAGAGATCTATCTCTTCGGGGCTGCAGTGGAAAGGCGCGGTCTTGTCTCCGCCTGAGCGCGACTGGTCCTGCTTGTTATTTTGAGCATCAGGCTCCTGCCCTTGTGTGCATTTTGACCCGGAGAGTTTCTCGCACACTCCCCCTCCCTGGACGAACCACTTTCCAATGTCTTTTTCGGTGCCGGAAATGGCGGCAACGTTCCACGTGCCGACCTTGACTCGAATATTTCGTCGATGCGTGTATTCCGCTTTCCTCTCTTTGACCGCTCGCGATAGGGACAGGATATCGAGTCCGGGATTCTCGATTTCCTCCGCATACTCGGACTCGTGATCCCTATGCTCCGATGCTGGCGCTGATGACGATTGCGAATTTGCGCTCATGATGTATGTTCAGATGCGACTGACTCAGAATGTGGTACGTGGTATTGCTTCGTGGTATAATGAATCAATCCACTTTCGGTCGTCCGGTATGTATGTTGCGCGGTGTATGTGGTAGATGGGCGCTGCGGTTCTCTATCCCGGTCGTAGATGATGCGCGAAGTGTCGTCGCAAGGTTAGCGCCTGGGCGATTGGGCTATCTTTCCCGGTATATAGAGAGCAATGAGAGGGTGGTGTATTGCGACAGCTATCCCACTATTCCATTGTATAGGTCCTCCCACCAGGGCTTAGAGGGGTATTATCCTCGGAAGGTGACGGAAAGCAAAAGTCAGAAGCATAAGTGAGAGTCTAGTGGATTGCCCGATCTTCGTGGGATCAATTGTAGGAGAAGTGAGAAGAGACCTGAGTGGGACGGAGAGGGCGGGCAATGACGCACCACCCAGAAAGGCCATTCTCTTAGACCGTCTTCTTTTCTGGTTTCTGTTTTTTCCAAATGTTCTCTGGTGTATTTGGAGGAAATTGGAAATTACCTAGGCAATAAATTATCGTTCATCAAATTCAAAAGGGAAATACATTGATCTTCCAAGGTTGATCTGGTGAATCTGTAAGCATTTCATGTGCGGAGCTTCCGCACAACAGAGGCCGCCTTGGAGCTTCTCCTTCATCCACTCGGTTCTCTCGATCTTCGCGATCTTCTGACTTAATCTTCATTCTCCTTTGCTCTTTTCCTTTCTCCCCTCTTTCCTTGCGCTTTCGCTCCTGCCTATCTCTACGTACTCCGTCGCTCTCGCCACTCCGCACGAAATCATGGCTGCCCGCAAAGCTCGTCGACAGAACAATCACAACCCAGTCAATCTCACCGACAATGAGTCTGATGTAGCATGCTATACCGACATGGTGCAACAACTTGCACCAGCTCTGCGCTCGAACGAGGAACTCAACCTCTCTGTCATCCGCCGCCACAAACCCTCAGTGACCAACGTTCTCTCCCTCGCACACTACTCCGTCATCTATGTCTTCAATCCAACCTCCAGCCAATGGGAAAAGAACGGTGTAGAAGGAAGCCTCTTTGTCTGCCAAGAAACGCTGGGCGAGCTCGGCGAGCACCGCTACACTGCCTTCGTGCTCAATCGTCGCGGAATGCACAACTTCGACCTCCCGCTGACTGACGGCGAGAATGTTGAGATAACAGAGGACTTTGTGATTATCAAGGCGGATGAACCTGCCGAAGGGGTAACCGGCACATCTGCCATCCCCGAGACCCAAGGGATTCCGCGCATCTACGGTATCTGGATCTACTGTGAACCCCCACCCAACTCCAGTGCCGACAACCGCACCGTCAACGCCAAGATGATCGAGGATTGCGCCGCCCATGCCGGATACAGTATGCAAGTGGCCCGCGAGAAAGTTGAGAGCATGCGCCAGAGCAGTCTTCATGCTGCTGCCGCCGCCGCCACTATCCAGGCAGCACCCTTGGAGGAGATTCAGGCTAGTGAGCCCATGGGCCGCCAGATATCCTTGAAAGATCTGTTTGGCCAGCAGCGTGCCCAAGACGACGGTTGGACTGTGCGTGCGCACCACCTCGCCCCCGCGCAACAGGGACCTCCTCCACAACAATACACTTATGGGGGCATGATGCCCCAACACATCCCCGCACCTCCACCCCCACCGCAACCACAGGTCGACGTACTGGGAGACTTGTTCCGAAGGGCAGGGCTGGCCTCCCAAGGCCCACCAACAGGGCAATAGGGACAGACAGTCTGGGGGTAGGAACCCCAATGAATCATTTTATGGCGCCTGGCTTCATTAGATATCCCAATTGCATTTTGGTTCTGCTTTGTTTCGGTGTATTTCTCGCCTAGTTACGTGTGAATGAGCCCGTATCTGTTAAGATTCCCCTTGCGATGTACGCGAACGCTCCACTGGTCTCTGTCGTCTGTCTATCTCTATTCTTTGGCCTGGACAATCTACGGCCAATGACCATGATAACCTTGGGAGCTTTATACACCCACAATACCCCCAATCATACCAGCAACCTTCCTCGCCATCGTATCGCTATGTTCTATTCAAGTCAGCCAAGCACACATGAAATCCACAAGGGAAACACCAAAAACTCACTCAGACAAAACGCATGCGGCAACCCTTCTTCACAGACAACCATCGTAGGACCACCCTCCCTCCCCCGAAGCGCAACAATCTCATCCCTCGTCTGCTCTGCCACCCAATGATCATTCCTTCCAAAGTAGAAAAACAGCTTAGCGACGGGTTCGCGCGCAGCACCCCAGACATCATCCCCCCACTTGTCCGAGGTAATAGTGCGCATTTCATCAGCAGCCATATGTCTACACAACGTCAGCAAGATCCCATCAAAAGGAAGAACACATCATACAAAGCCTGTCTGACGCCACCCCGACTCTTTAGAAACAGACACGTAGTATCTAGCGCGTGAGATGGTGGATCATTCATCACGGCTCGAATGACAGCCCGAAGAATCGAGACCGGGAGCAAGAATGTCAGAAGCCGCGCGAAGAGACTGACTATCAATGCCAAACGCGGTACTATCGACAACAAGGTCTGGATAGGTCAGTTTAGCTCTCCAATTTCAATAAACGGGCTATGCGGAGTACAAACCGTTAGTTTTTGCCCGGAAGGCGAAGCGGCAATATCCTTGACGGTTGGGAAAAGCATGACACCACCGATGATATCGAAGGGTTGATCGCGATGTCGATTCAAGATCTCCATGGCCATGTATGCGCCGACAGAGTGGCCGATCAATATGACCTTCTCTCTGGTGGTATTTCCATTGCTGTCTTTGGGACTAGCATTGTTCTTCTCGGTCATTAAAGCATTGAGGTTCTCTTGCACGAAACGGATCTGATCTTCGAGATCAAGATCCTTGGGGGATTCTTTTCCGACCTCAAACCCACCCAGGGAGCTTCCGTGGATCCGGAATGAGGTCTCCTTGGTGAGATATTGGGCGAGAAGGGAGAGGAATGGATGATAATAGCCGATTAGTCCGGGATTTCCGGATACGAAGAAGATTGTCGTTTTTGGTGCAGGGCCTGTGGTTGTGGAGAAGGTGTTTGGGGTTATTTGGGAGGCCATTGGATTTGCCTTGTGAGAATTATGCTGGCTTAGTCTATATGGGGCGTGAGGACTCTTGGAGGCGCGAGATCTAATCAATACATGTGGTAATGACTCTGGATATCTTCTAAAGAGAAACGAATCGTTAATAGGAGGTGACGTTTGATTCGATGGTGGATCCCATACTGCATTCTGGCGAATAGACGGTGACTTCACTATAAAGAACAGCCACGCTTCCACTGGGGGCTTTCATGAATCCGCAAACCATGGACTATACGAAGACGGGTAGTATAAGAACCCAGAGCCAGAGGAGAATTTTGGAAAAGACCGAGTTCTAAAGTTAGGGGTCAGGTTGTTCTACTCAACTTAGGCATGTAAGTCTTTACAGGGCAACGAACGCCTTGAATCATACAATACACTCAAAGCTTATATACTGTCTCAAGTATAACCTCGGGAACCATGAGGGAGGAAAAAAAGGGTAGACAAGAAAAAAAAATCAGGATATATTTGCTCCATTCCCGGATCCAATGCATTTCCCAGACGCCAGAAACAGACCAGAAAGCCAAGAGGGCAATCGGATAAATCATCCATGCATCACCTGCGTCTGGTATCTAGGCCAAAGGGATAAGCATACAAAAACGCCTGGCTGATGATATTTATCCTTCATTGTCGCCCTTTTCATCGCGGTTCTCCTTCTCGCTACTTTCCACGACTGCAGAGTCTGGTTTTGACCTGGTCGTAGCGCCGATGTTGATGGCGATCCTCTTAGGTGCTGCGCTCGCAACTCCAATAGCCGTGTTCTTGTCTGTTGAGGAGCCAGATAGACTCCTTTTCCGCAAGACGCTGCCGGCGCCGGAATGACTGCTCGTTGAACTTCGTCTCTTGGGGCCTGCTGCAAGCTTAACCAACTCATCTTCGTCTTCTTCTTCGCGGCGGCGCTTTTCAGCAAGTCGTTCGAATGGAGGTGTCTGGGCGGGCGAAGAAACATCTGAATCGGCTGTCGGTTCTGGTTGTGCGCCTTCGGGGTTGGTGTCCATGAGATCCTCATCATCGTCGTCATCCGGGTAATCAACCAACGATTTCGTGGCGGGACTGGATCCGTTGGGGGTTTCAACCGCAATAGCGACGCGGTCTTGGGACCACTTGATCTTGTCTTGTTAGTCGTGTCTTTTGCCACTGCCAATTCAAGTACTTACTTCATCCTCGTCATCGGAGGTATTAAAGTACTCCTCTTCAGTGGTGTCCATTTCTCCCGCGCCCTGCCAGCGCTGACCATTGATGGGAATCCTGCGCGGTGCAGTGCCTTCTTCTTGGCCGAACAATGCAGAGTCAGCCTCAGCCTCAGCCCCGTAACCCTGCAGCTGGTCATATCGCATGGTCAAGATCTGGAAGGTATCAACGTAGGTGATTTTCTCGAGTTTCTCACGATATTTCTCAACGACGTGAAGGATGAAAGGTTTAATGTTTTCCCGCCTGATGAAATCGAAAAGTTCCAGACAGGCCGAGTTCAATAGATTGTCGCGAGGCATCGTTTCATAGACAATGTCTATGATCAACCCGAATGTGTTGTTGTGTGTCATAAGCGCTTGGTAGAAGGTATCTTGGAGGCTCATCAAAGTGCGGAAAAATTTGAGAGCGACTAGGATTGTAAGCTATTGCCTTTTTTTTAACTGAGCGTGCACACTTACCGAGTTTCAGGTGTTTCTGAGGAGCTTGCAAAAGTTGGGCGACACGAGGCGCAAGAGATTCACTCTGGATGGAAGTGCGGGTGCGGAAGAGGTGCTGGCGGACAAAAAAGGTGAGGATATCAACAAGGTGGGAGTAGAGGGTGACCTCTTGGAATGTCAGGTCATTAACTGGGACAGTGTTAGGGACAAAATCCACGAATCCAATTCAGCATCACTTACGGGCTGCGCGGTTCGCAAGCTGTTTGAGGGGTTGGAATAGCCGTTTTGAGGACTCGTCGAAATGTTGCTGGACAAATGCATCGGAAAGAAGGTTGTTGGTGCGAACTTTGAAGTAATCGGGTCCAGCCCGACCAAGCGGATCCTGCAGAGGAATCTGAGGATCGAGAAGAATCTTAATGGCATCGGCGAGCTGGGTTTTAACGCCGAGGTCGGTCTCCACGTGCAGTAGGTCAATCAAGGTGTCTGTAAGGGGGGTCTTTTTCTCATTGACGGCCTTGAGCATGTAACCTCGCATCATGATGGGATCGTGGTCTAATAAAGCCACCAATATATCAATGCCTGTCGTCCGCATCGACGGGTTCAGGTGCTTGACGGCGAAAGCAATCACTTGAAATAGACCATGGCCGATAAAGTTGGCGAACAATTGAGCCCGTGAGGGTGCCTGCAAGTTCTTCGCGATGCCAGCACACTGGTGAAGGAACTGCACGGCATCATCCTTGCGTCTCTGGTCGAGATTCCTAGGGTCGAAAACACTAAATAGCTCTCGCAGGAACGGTGCGTTCCCTTGAATATGGTTCACGATCTCCATTTGGTTGAAGAAGATCAAGGAGTTGAGCACCGAAAATGTCGGATCGTCTAAAATTCGAGCCAGCACCACATCCTTCAAGTATTGCAGCCTCCAGGTGCTCCGGATCTTGCGGCGGATGAGCGGGTCCTTGATTGGAACGACTTCTTTGTATCGTGATTTATCTGCGAGGTATTGTCGGTGATTTGCCTTGTGCGTGGGGAACTCGGGGTCATCTAGGTCCAGTGTTAACATATAAGCCTTCTGAGGGATATTAGCATCAAGCATACATTCCAGAGCCCCGACCACTCCCAATATGACATGATCCGAGACAACAGTCTCGATTATGGTGTTGTCGTTCAACAAGATGAGCGACTTCATGATGTTGCAGAGGCGATGCAGGTCAACCAAGCTCTCCAGATCTTCTGCGACAGACACGATCGGTACCAATTTGGCAATGTATTCGTCGCGGATGATGAATTTCGACAGCGCGTCTCGGCCGGCTTGCGTCATGCTCGCGGCTCGTGTGATCTGCTCGATTTCTGTGAGATGGCCGAGGTCGGGGGACGGTAATACGATCGACTGATAGCTATCAATATCATCGGACAAGGCATCATCTTGAAGATAGTTAGTGCTGCCAGTCCCCGGGCGCGCGACAAGCTTACCAGCCGAAGTCAGACTCAGGAGATGTGTTTGGACGGCATTCACGAAGTCCCTGGGATGGGGGTTAGTTGATGCGCGCACCACAGTGTGGGAATGAATCACCATATGACCGCACAACCCTCCGCCTCCTGAAAACTGAGCGCCATGTCCGTCCCATTCGATTCGGTCCAAACGATCAACGTCTCTGATTGCGCGATCTCGTTAGTCACGATGACAGATATGCGGTGTCGGATCCGGTACCTTGCTGTTTTTGGTACCCATCGTCCTTGGTGATCTTTGTTTCAAGTAATACGCGATTGGGTTGGTCTTCCGATTCGACGAATATACGGGGTTCCTCCTACAGCGATGCGATCAGTGTTGTGTCGATGGTGAATTGTGGCGCGCGATAAAACGTGACAGCCATCGCGCACTGGGACGCGCGACTCACTCCCAATATCTGACCGGTACAGAAACCGGTTCCTCGGTCAAACCAATCATTATCCCTCAGTTCATAGACCTTGACACGTCTGCGACCGTCGGGCGGCTGAACTTCCAGCGCCATGGTCGGGCGGGAAAGGAGGCGTCTCGTCACTCCAGGCGTGAGAGCCGGCGCGAGAGGAGAGCCGAAAGAGAAAAAGGTAACAGGAGAGAGAGAGGGGAAAAAAAAGGGAAAAGGAAAAGAAAGAAAGAAACCCTAGATCGTTTGGGTAGGTGTTAGGTGGAGATCTCGAAATGATGAAAGAGTCTGCGGAGGGGACGATCGGGGAGGTCCACCTGACGGCCTCGGCAGGTTCTGTTTAAAGGTTTTTAAGATTTTCTCCCCCTTGAGCTCAAAGTTTGGCAAGCTTCTGTTGCAGGATGGAATAACACGCGACCGGGAATAAAGTGGACACTTCCGGGTCTTCCATGGCATGACTCAATATTTATAGCGCATTCTTGTTCTTCCAACTCCCGTACCACCTATTGTATCTTAGTGCAGATACTCTCGCGTCTCTCACTTCTTTTTCATATCAAAGTCATAGTTGTATCAGGGGCTATGGCGTCACTGTCCCTAGTAGTTAACTATAGAAAAAGCCCCGAATTGCCTACCTCAGTACTGAAGTACACGAGTAGGGCGTTGTACGAAGTACTGTACTTAACACTGCCAGAGACCTGCATACATATGTACAAAATACCCGGGACAAACCTGTGGAATGGAGATCCAATCTATCCAAGTTAAATCTATAAATATTTGCTGCATACTATCCGAATCAACGGATCTCCCGCATAAGTGTAGTACGGAGCACGGAGTACGGAGTACCCGGGCGAGACTTCCCGTGAAGGGAGCTAGACCCTCTGCCCCGAGGTACTGCCAAGGTACCTCGCACCGCCTACGGCCCCGCTGACATAAGCCAATTTAGCCGTTCCAAGGTTCTACGGTTCCGCCGCACGGACACTGACCGCCCCCACACTGCCTTTCCCCTGATTGGCTGTGATTCATCCGCATGGCAGATTCTTATCGTGAGATAACCCGATGAGGAAAGGTTCCAGGCCGTGGCGCGCTTTTTTCCTCAAGCCGAATGTTTAGAGATTTCCTGTCTCTTCATCTTTCGCAAACGGTGTGTATACGAGCGACTTCGGGAGTTTTGCGCTCGTGATTGTCATTTTAAAGCTCCCTATTACGAACCCTCTACCTGCAACTGGTTTGCCCGGAGATCATCTCTAGAAATCTTCAACCCCGCTTTCGAGGTTCGCGGTCATGGCCGAATCTAAGGACCATGTTACCGTCCACGCATCGGGCGTGGAGGTCGATGGTGGTCGTGCGAGCGCTTCTTCGTCTCATTCACTGCCCAAGGATGCTGCAGTAGCGGTCGCGCAGAGCTCTTCTCAAGAAGAGCGCTCGGTACAACCCGCAGACCAAGTGGATGAGCAGAAGAAGGGGTTCTTCGCCTACTTCAAGACCAAGGAGTTCTATATCACCGTGATTCTAGGGTAAGTAGCTCTCTTAAGATCATAGGACTCGTGTACTAACTATTTTATAGACAAATCCTCGCTATCGCCAATACCTCGACCGGAACCTTCACCACGCTGCTTGGTAACGAAAAATGGGCGATTCCTGCTTTCCAGACTTTTTTGAACTACGTGCTTCTGAACGCCATCTTTACTCCTTATACGATGTACCGTTACGGTTTCAAGGGCTGGCTCCGATTGGTATTCCGTGACGGCTGGAAATGTAAGCCTGACTTATCCCGGATAGCTGTCTACACCTTGACTAACAACCACAGACATCATCCTTGCTTTCTGTGATGTGGAAGGCAACTACTTCATCGTGCTGGCATACCAATATACTACAATGCTAAGCGCACAGCTAATCAACTTCTGGGCTATCGTCGTGGTCGTGGTAATCTCATTTGTTTTCCTGCGCGTGCGCTACCACATCACTCAGGTTGCCGGTATCATGATCTGCATTGGTGGAATGGGTGTTCTGATTGCCTCAGATCATATCACCGGCACAAACGGCGGTGATATTTCCAAGGGCAACCAACTGAAGGGCGATTTGTTTGCTTTGCTCGGCGCATCTTTCTACGGTCTCACCAACACCGGCGAGGAATACTTCGTCAGCAAGAGACCTGTGTACGAGGTCCTTGGGCAGATGTCATTCTGGGCGATGATCATCAACGGTGTGCAAGCGGGTATCTTCGACCGCACCTCTTTCCACAATGCGCACTGGGATGGAAAGGTTGGCGGATACCTGATTGGCTACACGCTGTGTTTGAGTCTGTTCTACTGTCTCGCTCCGCTGTTGTTCCGTCTCTCGTCTGCTGCCTTCTTCAACGTTTCAATGCTTACCATGAACTTTTGGGGTGTTATCATCGGTGTCGAGGTCTTCCACTACCACATTCACTGGATGTACCCCATTGCCTTTGTTCTGATCATCCTCGGTCAGCTCATCTATTTCCTTGGTCAGAGAGTTCTCAGTGAAGCCCGCAAGCCATGGCTCGGGTCCAACCAGGAGGGTGGTGTTGTCGGACTCTTCACTGCCAAGAGAAAGATTGAGCACGTCGTCCCTTCCGCTGAATCGACCGACCAGGCAGGGCATACCACGGTCAACACCAGCGCCGCTTAATTGTTGTCTGAGATCTATTATCTTTCGATTCTCCGGCACCCCACCGGGTTCTAGTTCTAGCCGCATCGAGGAGTTGGTCGTTTGGGATCTGCTTGCATACGGCTGAGCGCACAGCAGCTCTGTGTTACATGACCCCTGCCAATGCTACATCTACATCTGAACCTTGGAACAGTCATCTGGTGAGTCAGATGGGTTTGACCAAAACCCGAGGGGGTAGCCCTGTTTGTGTGCGCCTTGACGCATGCCATAATGCTTAATTTATTGAATGCTTGATGTATCTCGACCAGTTTCATCATCTTATTGATATGTTGAAAACCAAAAGTTTACTGTTGTTTTACCCATAATCGTGCATTCGTCTTTTAAACGACCAGGCCTAGCCCGACGTGCCTATCTTAATACCTTAGCGCCTTCAAGCCATGCTACGGCTTTCTTGGAGAGAGAAAAGCGATGGATATATAGTCACACCCAAAATCCATTGAAATTATAAATGACACCAGTAACCCTTTTTACATCGCCTGAACCCATGGTCAAATGTCAGACCAAAGAGAAGAGATAATTAAAGACCATCCAAATCAAATCCGTTTTGAGCCTCGGTTCGCCTCTCCAAAGGAGAAAAGTAAAACAGGCACACCAATGTCCAAAAGAGTCAATGCGCAATTCCATAAACCACACCCCCAGAAAAGAAGAAATAAGTAAAAAAAGACCATGGCAACCCGACAAGCACACAAAACACCAAGAAATGATAGCCCCAGAAAAGCGCCATATTTCCAACCAGAGCGCAGGACCCAAAAAAAAAGAGTAAATGGCAGTCCAAGATCAAAACAAACACCCCATAACTCGGACATCCGATAAGATCCAAAGGGAAAAGTTTCCAAATAATGTCAAAACCCCCAACAGAAGCCCAGAGTAACAGATATCAGCGTCGCGCGGATGACACTCGAAGCCGATTTTCTTTTTTTTTTAACGCCAAGAAAATGAAGTCCATGCACGCCTAGGATAGAGAATCCTTAACCCCAAACTGAAGCCTGAACGCCGAGTCCGCTCTTTGAACCCCACACGCCACTGCCGTTGCTCCATCCAAGTCCAACACCGGCCGGGTCCTTGGGACCAGGCGCAGGCACGGCGGGAGCAGGGCCAGCAGACGAGGTACGCTCGGGAGCGGGATCAGCGGGCGTAAACCCCAGACCAAGTGGGGAGGGAAGGGGTGTGATCGAGCGCTTGTTGAGCGCGGGGTTGGGGGGCGTTTGTTGGACGCGGGAACCGATTGGGCCGACGGAGCCAGTAGGCTGGCGGGAGGGATCGGTAGCCGGCGAGGGAGAGGTGACAGGCTGCTCGAAGCCGGCGTTGATAGCAGAGCTGGGCGAGGAAGTGCTGTTCGCCCGAGATGGGGTTCGGGCTTCTGCGCTCCCGGCGAGACCGAAGGGGTCTACACCTCGTGGAGAGGAGCCGCGGACTCCGGGGGTGCTGGCGGCTTGGCTGGCGGGGCGGGAGGATTCATCCAGGGCGCCTGGGGGGAAGAAGGCAGGGCTTTCGTTGCCGTACAGGGCGCGGTGCTGGCGGGCGAGGAGGTCGCGGCGGCTGTCCTCGCTCACGGCCGCAGGGCTGGTGGAGCGGTCGGACTTGGAAGCGGACATTTCGGCGAGGAGGCCTTAAGAAACGATATTAAAACCCGGTCAAAGAAAAGCCAAGAAGCCAAACCATATATATTACACAAGGATACATAGATGCAAGGAATGGAAAAGAGAGAGAGAGAGAGAGAGCCAACAGGGGAATATAGCGAGGCCAAAGAAGAAAGAGAGAAAGGGCAAGGGAAAAAAAGTCAAGAAGGCTACCACGTACTTCGGTTGTACTGTTGCTCCTGGTGATAGTTGCGGAGTTCCCTCTCACGCTGTGCTGCCATCCGACGCTTCGCCTGCATCATCTGTTCCACCTCGTTGGGACGACCCTGGTACCGTTGGGAGGCATAGAAACCCTGAGCATTGCCCGACGGGGGCGCTCTGTTGCCATCGAATTCGCTAATCGAATGGTGTCGCTGAGGGCCACCACCCATACGAGGGTCTGTCAAGAGACAAGTCAGAAACGCGTTCTGGGTGCCATCCGTGCCCGCAACATACCGTAGTCGGGGTAGGGCCGGCCCATCATCATGGGCATCGAATCCCGCCGGGGAGCATTCCAAAGCTTCCCGCTCTTGACGAGATTGTCGATCGCTCGATCGACCTCTAACGAGAATATTAGCGTCCGTCCAACAGGGGGTCCTCAATCGTATTTCCTGTTGCGATCCGAGGGCGATTGGGGATTTATCGAGTGTATTCGTACCGTCAAATTGGCTTGAAAAGGCCGGGATGTCCTCGCGCTGGGAGACCGAACTCGAGCCTGCAATCGAGTTAGAATTTGAAAATGGCAAAATATTTTTGACGTCGTACCAGATCGAGAGGGTGGTGCTGGCTGTTCCCAGGAGACCTGGCGCGCAGCGGGTGCTTGCCATCCCTGAGGTTCGTAGTAAGACATTGTCGAGATCGAAAGGACCTTCGCCGAAAGTGCGATGGTTCAGGGGAAGACGGCGAAGTAGATGATCCGGTCTGAGGCGATCTGTCGAAAGAGAGAGAAAAATGTGAGTCCCACCCGCACACACAGTCAAAAATCTCCAGATTCAAACAATGTTACTCCGTTAAAAGAGGGAGATGTCTGGGAAAGCAGAGAGGGAAATCGGGGAGTGTATTTTTTTTTCTTTGGTTTGAAACTCGGGTAGAACTTGATTTCCGACCCAACACACAGAGAATTTTATATGTAAAAGAAGAACTTACAGTAGGCCTCGGGTTACCACGATTCAACACAGGAAGATGGGAGGAGGAAAAGGAGAGGGTCCAACTTGTATTACCTGGAGGGGAGGAGGGGGGGGGTTTTCTAGTTTCTACTGTTAATGTATGTAAAAAAAAAAAAAGGAAAGAAAAAAAAAAAAGGTAAATAACAGCATGAAAGTACGGAGTACTCACGGAAAAGGAGGTTATTTCCTTTATGAGCTAAATAGTCCAAATCTCTCTCTCAATTTAATTTCTCTATATACTTTCCTAGTAAAACATTCATTGATCTTGTCTACAGTTTCAGAGAAACTGCTTTTAAATACATGCCTTTTTCCCAAGTACGCGGCAATTCCCGGCAACCCAGGGCTTCTTATTCGTCACTGATGGGGCCGGTCACCGGAGATTGGAGTGTCTAAGCGTCCACCTCGTGTCGACTATTTCTTATTATTCTTATTATTCTGATTACTCTAGGGCTATTATTCCATTATTCCTATATATTACAGAGAACTTTAGAACATGGTCATTGTTTGGGCTGATGAACTATATGTATACTTCCCCGAATTCCACTTTAAGATTCCCAATACATTTCCCAATATATACCCCGAGCGACTCACTCATTACCTGGGAACAAGGGTTTCCTGGAGATAGCCAACGTATGATGCTAAACTGCAATTTTGCATTCACATGCAGTCAGCTTGCCAAGAACGACATCACTGAACGAGGCTGCAAGAGAGCCTAGACGGATTTGGAATGCGGTCTGCATCCCCATGTACAGTGATGTACATTAGACCAAACGAACGCATGCAATAAGTATATATAGCGGGCTGCAGCCTGAGAACTAGTCTACTTAAGTAGTCAAGAGCCTCTCGATCACCTTCCACCTAAGCAAAGGTTAGTGTACAACGCTAGAACGGGTGGAAACATTATTTGAAGCCCTCTACAACGTACGAGTCCTCCAGGGGCATACTTGCTCACCTGGGCAAGTGAGTTCCTAAGTACGGCGAGAGTAATCTGCCAGAATACACTTTGAACGGTGCTATGACCAACATCGGTCAATTCAGGAGAGGTGGGGCAGGTCGGCCATCATTTTATATTCTTCCGCAAGGTCCGCGCCCCTCTGCACTGGATTGGCTGCTACATTGTTCATGTACATAACCGGGCCAGTCAGCAGAAGGCCCCCCGCATGTGCATGATTTCTCCAACGAGTCGTAGTCGGAGTGAATCAACGCAGAGCGCAAGGTCCCCTCGCGGGGTTGATCCAGAGAGTCTAGGGCCTTCAAACCGACCAGAGGAATGGACATAGACAATGAACACCGTCAATGCCTCCAACACCTGTAGACTCCGGATAGTATCAACGGGAAACGCCGAATCGACTATGCTTCCGCGTTACCTTGAAGGGTCTCGAGCGTGATGTCTCCCCACTCGTCATACATAGGACAGTACTCGGCCCAATACGGCCTTATTCGTGGGATGCCTGTGAGGTCATCACACCGAGAGCTTGACCCCTCTGACTTCAAAGAAATGCAATGATCAAGACTGGAAGACCTGTGTAGTGTCCAGATCAACAAAGGCTACCACGCCTGTGGAGAGGATACAGAGCCAATGGTTGTGATTTACCTCATCTTTCGGATCCGGGGAGAAGTGAAGCACCAATAATGGACCTGGCTCTCGAACAAAGGGGTGTATTTTGATTGCACATTACCGCGCCACAGTCTCAAATTGACCTTGAATTGGAGGCCTGTTTCCCTCCAGTGGTCTCAGTGGTCTGGGGCATCGGGAGCAGTCTGGATTAGGTTATAGTGAACAACACGTGCAAGGACCACACACGCGGTGATCCTTGAAGAACGGGCGATCAGGAGGAAAAGGAGATCCTTCCACTCGCACTTGTACGAATACATGTTAGTTGGATGTTCATTCTCGGCCATTTGAGTTTATATTTCGCCTAGAATATGTAGACTGCAGTCCTTGGAGCTATCAGTGATTGATATCAGATTGGTACCTGCATGAATGCATGAGGCGATACTATAAGAACTACAGTTTTATATCCCAATGGCTCAAGAGGGCAAGAGAGAGAGAGGTAGAGATAAGCGAGAGAACACAAAGAATAGTTCGAGAGAGAGAGAGAGCATAGAATGTCAGCCCCTGACTATGCCCAGTCGAGAAATGAGGCCGGCAAAGGGAAAGGGCAACTGCGTATCCGCATATTCTACATATATGTCACTTCTATGAGTCTTGAATTGATCGAGGGATTCAAGTAATCAAGTAAACGAGAGACATTTCGATCTGATCTGATTTACTCTGATATACCCCCCGCGCATACGGAGTATACATCCCAATATCGGACAGGAGGGGACGGTCGGCAGTGTCTCTTTACCGCCGACAGGGGCTGACCTTCATCTTCACTTCACTCTCCCCTCGACACTGCCCTCCCTCTGCGACCTTAAGAACCCAGGCTGGTTCCTACGGATTTACATTTGAAAGTATACGGTTCAATTCTTCACCTGCCTTCTTCTTCTTGGCTGGTGCTTTCTTTGATCGCAGCCCTCGATTCTCGTGACCTTTTCCTTTTTCTTTAAAAAAAATTACTCTTCTTCCTGTGTCTTATTCTCATCTCCTGGTCGAGGCATTGTGTTTTTACCAATTTTTTTGGTGTTTTCATCCTGAGCGAAGGGTGAAGAAAAAAAAAAAGTCGGACCTCGCGACTTTGTGGTTCGAGGCGACTGCGAGCCCTCCCACCCCAAAACGATCTTCCCTAGCGTCCCACGCCCACGAACCACCACACACCAACCTCACCAAATCACCCCCCTCGAAACGCGAAACCCTCACAGTCACCCTCCCTTTATTTCGGCAATAAGCGCAGGGGATTTACATTGTGTGTTGAGGAGGACTCTCATCGCTTTTGCCGAGAAAGGAGCCACAACCGTGGGAGGTGGGAAATTGCTATATGGTCGCAAACATCGATGGGAATGCAAAGTGTTCCCACGGTGACGTACCGATAGCGTCGGGGCCCTCCACGATGGCATGGATTCCGCCATCCGAAGAGCCTGAGAGGCCTCCGTTGACCTCACACCAGTCGAATTCCCTTCCTTCAACTCCGTACCAGCATGCGCGCAACCTCTCTTTTCACTCGCGGTCGCCGTCCCCCGCCCGCGGAAGCACTTCTCCTCGATCCACACATTCGGAAGCGACGCATATGCCGCGAAAACCCCACGGGGTCTGCAAATATGAGACTGCCATGGCCTACTTCCGGAGGCGCATACCGTATAGCTTGGGAGCAGACGTTTTGCCAGAAGAGAAGGAAGGGTTGAAGGAGCAGCTTGATCCCAAGGAGGAGAAAAAACTATCGGCTGACATCATGGACCTGTACGATCGATTATTACCCTCGGCTGAGAGCGACGATCGACGAAGACAACTGGTTCGAAAATTGGAGAAGCTGTTCAACGATCAATGGCCTGGTCATGACATCAAAGCAAATATTTTTGGTTCATCGGGAAACAAGCTCTGCTCTAGCGACTCGGATGGTACGTTGAGTACGGAAATTGGGGACATTCCGACAGGTACTAACAGGAGCAGTGGATATCTGTATCACCACCAATTACAAAGCGCTGGAACATGTCTGTTGCTTGGCTGATGTGTTGGCGAAACGTAAGGACCACTTTCGACGTGACTCGATGGAATCTAGACTGACCTGAACAGACGGGATGCAAAGGGTGGTGTGTGTATCACATGCCAAGGTCCCCATTGTCAAGATTTGGGACCCGGAGCTTCGATTGGCCTGCGACATGAATGTCAATAACACCCTGGCATTAGAAAACACGCGCATGATCAGAACTTATGTCGAAGTGGACGAGCGCGTGAGACCATTGGCCATGATCGTGAAACATTGGACAAAACGGCGGATTCTGAACGATGCGGCACTTGGCGGCACTTTAAGCTCCTACACGTGGATCTGTCTTATTATTAATTTCCTTCAGACACGGAGTCCACCCATCCTTCCCAGCTTGCAAGCAAGACCGCACGAAAAGCGACTCACCGAGGATGGTTTGGTCTGTTCATTTGACGACGACATCAAGACCCTTTCTCAATTTGGTCGCTACAACAAACAATCAGTGGGCGAGTTGCTCTTTCAGTTTTTCCGATACTACGGTCACGAACTTGATTACGAAACGAATGTCATCTCTGTCCGCGAAGGCAATTTGACCAACAAAGTCGCCAAGGGCTGGCACCTGCTCATGAACAACCGACTTTGCGTTGAAGAGCCTTTCAACACGATACGAAATCTGGGAAATACGGCTGATGATACCTCATTCCGAGGCTTGCATTTGGAGTTGCGCCGGGCGTTCAAGTCTGTGGCAAAGGGTGACTTGGAAGAGGCTTGTGAACAGTTCGAGTTCCCAGTAGAAGAGGAGCGAACCTGGGAACGACCCAGACCCCAACCACGACCAACTCTTACCCCGTCCCTTCCAACGCGTGGCGGACGCGGGGGCAACCGCGGAGGCAGATACAACAATCAACCCCCACGCGGCGGGCTAGCTGGTGGGAGACGGCAGTCGAATACCGGAACCAATGGAAGTAAAATAACTCTGCGGCAGCCGAACACAGGGAATGCGACGGATATGTCCTTGCAAGCACAGCAACAGGCGCAGTATCTTTTGCATGATCAATTATATCAACAAATTCAGCTCCTGCAGGCGCAGGAGCAAGAGCTGCGCATGCAATTGCACAACCAGGCCGTGATTACTGGGCGGCCGCCCCCTGTTTTCATCCGCCAACCTTTTATCCAATTCCCGGTCCCGCAGCAGCAGGAATTCTCCGATGAGACCCCACGGTCCAGATCAGGAACTGCCAGCCATGCAACCCTCAGCCCAACACAGCGACAGCAACCAATTTACAATCCCAGCTACGCCTCGGTGGGAGCCGGCACCCAAGCAAGCACCGCCATCAATCCTCCTTCTCCATCTGCTGCCAGCACCATGCCTGATACTCGCCGTGACTCCCGAAGATTATCGGCCGCCAACGGCTCTCCAAAATCCCTTCGGGCTCACTCGCAACCTGCACGACCGCTGAACTCGCCTTCTCTTCCGAATTACATTCCTCTGTACACCATGCCGCAATCTGTGGAGAATTGGCCTGCACCAAGACCTGCCACCGAGTCGTCCGAAGGTGGTGAGGGGAGTGGGGATGAGAACGCAATCCGATCAAACAGCCTTGCCAGCAACGGATCTCGCTCAGACTCTGTTGATGAACATCGACCCCAGGAAGTTTTCAATTATTACTTGACTCCTCAGCAGGTGCAGGCCTTCGAGCAAGCCAATCCACAGTACTTTGTGGGATATCCTAGCGGATTTTCACAAGTGAATGGAAAGTATCAACAAGAATCATTTTCGTCCGAAACCAATGGATCTACGCATACTGCTTCGAAGCCTCCATCGCAACCCCAACAGGCGGCTGCGCGTCCAGCCATGACTGGTCCTTTGGTCATTGATGGCTCAGTACGCCCGAGTGAGCCCCGTACTTCAGAATACCCTCCTGTTCTTGATCCCTTCTCTGCCGTCGGTCAATGGGCCTCCCGGTCACCAGATGACCACATCAACACCCCTGCCAGCTTTTCAGATACCCTGTCTCAGGATTACCAAGATTCCGGATCCTTTGAGTTGGAACATCCTGTTGTGACCCCACGGTCATCAACCGACAGCCAAAAGGTGAACGGCACAAACGGTATACATTTGGAAAAGCAACCGGACACAAATGGCCAGACAGAGCTCCTGGCCAGCCGACTGCAGAACTACCACTTGTCGAATTCCGAAAAGCTAGCCCAGCCCACCAAGCCCGCTGCAGACCGACCAAGAACCATAGCCCCGACAGCAAAGGAGCCTCAGCCTAAGAACTCTCAAACCGACAAGTCTTCAAATGAGAATCGGCACCAACCGAGCAATCCCAAGCGGCGTGCAAATGGCGAGACCGAGAAATTGAATGGCACCAACGGCAAAGCCAAACCCAAGAGCCAAGGCCGTGACGCATCTCACAATCCCACCAAGGGCGATCAATCTCGGAAACAGGCCAGTGACCATGGATGGCAGACTACCAAGAAAAAGAATCGTAAAAACACCAAGTCTGAACCCCGTGCCAACCCCGAGCCTATCCCCGTCGACGATTCCTTGCGCAAAGGCGGTTGAAGACCGCCCCTGTTTTGATTCTATATGTCCTCGATTCCTCAATGCCCATGTCGAACGACTTCACGTTCACTGAATACGTTTTTCCTATTTTACTTTTGTTACAACATCCCCGCACTGGGGATTCATTGCATGCATTTGCCTCGGGAAAGTTGGCTGGTTCACTTCCAAACGCCTCACGAGACTTTTCATGGAGTTTGTATTGATGTATTGAATGGTTAGACCTGCTTGCTTTGTGCCATCTTTTTTTTTTTTCTTTTTTTTTTTCGGTCCTGGTTTCTGTACAAAAGAGAAAGAGATTAGTTGACAATGAGAAACAAACCAAAAACTTCGAAAAAAAAGGCCTTTGAGTACTTTGTATAGGGCTTTGAGCTTTCTTTGATATCTCCCTGCTTGAAGTTCTATGCCTCTTTCACAGTAAATCTTTAAATATCTTCTCTCTCAAACAAAGGATAAAAGATACAAGTACCAGGCTCTTCTCTCTTTTTTCTCGCTCATACATGTCCATAATTCGTAACTATGGCAAGCAGATTCGGATACCAAAACCAGTACGGCAACAAAGCTCCAAGTGCATCATCTTACGCTTACGCTTCTGATGCTTCTTACGGACCTACTTATGGTCCTAATTACCGTTCAAATTCCGCCTCAAATGACTCTCCGAGTTACGCTCCTCCTGCTCGTCCTCGTGTTCCCAAGCATGCCTACTCAATCCCTCCAACGTTCTTCTTGTACTATTGCTTCTTTATCCTGTACGGATTGATCGTGGGAACCAAGGACTGTATCACGTTCATCAAACATGGCCCCATGCATATGATCATTGCCTTCGGTTCGGTGTTCCGTGCAGTCTTTTCGATCTTTCGTTCATCTCGTGGAATGAGCCCGGACTACACCGATCTTTTGAATTACTTCGGCCATTCATTCTGTTTTGCGGCACTTTTCTCCTACCTCTTCTTAGGTGCTTTCATCTGAGGCTTTGAAAGGGGATCCGAAGAAAGTGAGGGTCATAGGATTAAGATGATCTATGCGGCAAATAAGGGAAAAATCAATGGGTGTTGAAAATGTTGAGAATAAATTGACATTGCATCATCGATCATTAAGATGATGGTGAGGTATATTGTACATGCATCTGAGAACGAAATGCAGGATTAAATCACATAAAGACATGTTAAGACAAAAAAATCTGTATCGGTAAATATGTTCAAAGGGAGAAGAAGAGGTTGAGACGGAAGTTGGGGATGCAAGGTCGATTAGTACCAGACTTCGGTCCAAATGTATGGCATGATAACAATACAAGCCGTGTAGAGGATCATGATGGCACGCCAAGGGAACATGATCAAATCTAGTAGGGGTGTCTCACGGAAAAGAACCCAGATAGAGAGGAAGGCAACGGAGAAGAAGTGGCTGACAAGAACGAGAGGTTCCTGGATCAGACCGGCGAGTAGACCAACAGGACCTCCAACGGGACCGATGAGGAAGTAACGGAAACAGCCACGTTGAAGGGCTAGCATGCTTCGATCTAGACGAGGAGTGAATAATTATAGGTTGAACGAGAGATAAAAGCAATACATACCCTCTGCAGCAAAGATAGAATAGAGGGCCTGCGCAAGAATGTTGATGACAGAGGAAGAGTTCTTGCGCTTCCAATGGAAGATAGAAAGTTGCTTTAGCACGAGTTCGGTATCGGCAAAGCTAGGCACGCACTCCGGACTGAGCAATTCGCGAATAACACAGACATCGTTCAAAGCAACGGTCATACCACCTCCAGTAAGGGGATGTCGCATATTAAGCGCATCACCCAGAATCATAAATCCAGGGGTCTTGTTGACTGAAGCAGGGAGGAACGAGTTTGGCATTGACCGAAGCTGACCGTTCTCCAACGCATCCACAAATGAAGCTTGACATCCTTCAGGAAGCTTGGGCAGGATGTTATTTCGGAAATATCCCTTGACACCACCGTTCTTCACTGACGCTGCGGGCAGACTGTCCGGAACATCGACCAGGATTCGGGTTTCGTGAGTGCCGATCTGGTACATGAGGACCGGGGGGTTATCGCTGAGGAGGACATGACCCGTATTAGGGCAAGGGAGTTCGGCATCGATGAGTTCCAGCCCGTAGAACTTTGAGCGGCGCTTGGGTGTGTACGAGTGGTGTTTCTTGCGGAAATCAGAGGCGTAGCCATCGGCGGCGACAGTAAGCTGGGCGAAGTAGCAGTCCTTCAGGTCTTTCGTAATAGATTCGACTCCTAAAACTTCATTGGTGTGTGATGAGGTGACCAAGCCAGTCACCTTTGTTTCGACGACGGTAACATTGGGACAGGACAAAGCGGCTTGTCGGAGTTTGTTCACGAATCGGCCGTGGTGGAAAGCGCGGCCCAGGGGGGCTGGTGACGAGGGACTCGATTTGGGGTACTCGAGGAGGGCTGGTTGACCGAAGTAAGATACCCAGTATCCCTTCACGTCTATCCCGTCAATGCCATCGAGGCAATCCGCCAGTCCTAGCTTTTCGAGTGCCTGCAAGCCTCCCGGCTGGAGGAGTTCCCCAACAATGCGATTGGGCTCCTCGAGTGACTTCTCCAGCAAGATCACGCTGCGACCTTGCTTTCCCAGCGCGACAGCAAGCGCGCAGCCTAGAATCCCAGCGCCGACAATCACGACGTCGGCCTCGTGGTGGTCGATGCGGCGTTGAGCGGCCGGGGAGAGGACGCTATTAGTTGAAGGCATTTTGTGAAAATCGGATATATTGTCATGAACTCGAAAGAACCATGATCGAGGGATGTGATTGATTTAAAGAAATGACCATTGGCTGAGGTTCAATGGCCTGATGCTCTTTTTTTTTGTTGATAAAGGGGTGGCGTGACATGTGAAAGTCTCCCTCTCCGCCTACTGGATTCTACGGCGCACGAGACATCACGGGTTACTAGATTTGATACTTGATATCGTCGGATATAATTCAATACTGTACATATTTACATTTATTATACATATGGTTGCCAGCAATACTCATGCTTGGTTCTTACTCCTCAGACTCCGAAGGGGTGAACTCAAGATGGTAGCGAGAGTAGTCCTGCTCGGGCACATAGTACTGATCCCAAGTCTCAGCTTCGTACTCGGGGTAAATGGGATCTTCTGGGCTTGCTGAGTGCGCCTGGGACAAGTTGGACTCGGCCCACCACTTCACATGCTCATCCGAATCATGCTGCTTCCGCTGTAGCAACTGATCCAGCTCCCACTCCTCATCAAATGAGATGATCAGATCCTCTAGACTCGTAGTCGGAATCAAATGTTGCTTCTCGGAGTGCTGTGGCTGGTTGCATCGCCCAGTCTTTTTCAACTCCGGGTTAACACTGGTGTTTGACCAGTGCGGGTCGCCTGTGGACTTGGCTACCAGCACTTCAACGGTCTGCTGTAGGGTTCGGACTTGTTCCGCGATCTCAGCAGACGCAGTGGGCGGGGAATTCTTCTCCAATGTGCTCAACAGAGACTTGGCCTCCACAACAAAGTCTTGTTTGATGCTCTCGTTGCGTGATAGGATGGTCATAATACACCACCACATGCCTTTGAGATTGCCGAGCCCAGCATAGGCACGCATCAACATTTTCAAAAGGACTTGGTCAAAGCCATGGGAGATACGCCAACGAGATTGGTAGATTGTGGTCAAGAGATCAACGGCAAGTTCTGGTGTTCCTCCTGTGATGAGTTGGCGACTGGAAGAAGCCGCAGAGAAGTGTTTGACCGCAAGGCCGTCGGTCGTGGCACAGATGTTGTAGTATTCGAACATAGCCATCTTGATCAGACCGCCAGGGCCGATAGCCTTGGGGTCCACCTTCATCACCCGCTGGAAGAACATGGGAGTCCACGAGGTGAAACGTTTGGTATAACGAAGGGAGGGAATTGTCTTCCAGTAATCCCACTCAGAAGTGATCAGACGTCGGGCGTTGGCTAAACCTAGCTTGCTGCATCCGAGAATTGCGGCAATGATGGCCAATGTCAAATGAATAGGTCTCACAACAAAACCTCCCTTTGCTGCATCATCGTACATTGCCAGAGCTTCTGAATGGTTGCCCATGTTGATACAATGCTCCATTCGTTTGTGAAGCGGTACAAACAGATTCACGCTCTTATTGGCCATCATATCCAAAGTTTTCGAGTAGGTCTTTTCGGCGGGAAGGTGAATTGGTGCAATCTTCTCTCCACGTACTGTCCAACTCTCAGAACTAGTCCCGAAGATGCGCCGCGTGGAAGTCGAGTGTTTCGATCCATTTTTGGCTGTTTGTAACATCTTCCAGATTCCAACCGGGCTGTCAGTCATTGCGAGACGTCGGGTCTTGACTAGATTCTTGATTTCTTTTCGGTTGAACCCAGTGTCCCATTGGCGTTCATTGGCCATGTCCATGAGCATGGTGATCATCTCCTCGGTGCCCTTTTCAATCAGGGCTTCGAGCATATGTCTGTGGAGAACCTTATCTGGCTTGATATCGAAGTCGTTAATGCAGGAGATGAGGAAGTCGAAGATCTGGTTGCCCGTGTGGGTTGGATAATATTCCAAAAACACGCGGTCAAAAGCAATGGCGAAATCCTTCGTGTTCGAGGTGTATCCGTGCTCGTGCATAGCATACATTCCATCCATGACCCTGTCCCATTCACAGCTGAGTGCTCGGCTGTAGATAATCAAGCCAAAGGTGCGACATCCAGGTTTGGCTCCATATGTCGGCAACATCTCTTTCACCAGGGTCTCCGCCTCCTCCGCTCTCCCTGTCTCTACCATGGCTTTGACCACTGGGTTGAAAAGCTTCTCGGTTGACTTTCGACCAAGTGACTCAAGGCGGTCGATAATCTGCCGAAGCTGGGAAGAGACCAGCTCCATACTCCTCGTCTTCCTCCATAGGCCGTCCAAGTAGGCGCCACACAAGCCGCAGTCGCGATCATCCTTGAAGCGTTGGAAGAAGAGGAACTTTGCAGAGTCCAATCGTTTAGACTCAATCAGACACCGGAGAATGACCTCCAATAGATATGTTGGGACAGCAAAGCTCGTCCTGAATCTATCGTATATGACACCGACAGAATCGATGTGGCCCTCCTTTGCTAGCAAATGCATAATTGTAGCCCACATTTCATTCGACACAACACTAACTTGATCCAAGCGGTTGAACAAAGTTCGGGCAACAAAAAGATTCCCTTTTGTGCAGTTTGCCGTGAAGATATAGCAGCCGATCTCTCTCCGTTCCCAAGATATGTTCTTTGCGCTGGCGGTAGCCGCAAGGAACAAATTCGCTGCAGTAATCTCCCGATCTTGGTTGATCAATTTGCGAATTTCCGCCTCGAAAGGAAGCTTTCCATTGTCTCGAGCATCTTCAGCTTGCTTATTTTCACGGGCCAATATTCTCTCATTCCGGGCCAATAATCCCACGTGGAAGGGGTTTTTGTCGTCGAATAGCTGCTTTGGGCGGCCTTCAAAGAGCGAGTTCTTGGAGCGAGCATGATGCTTGGCCAGAGAAATCATCGGCTTAGGCTTGGGGTAATTCGCTGCTTCCACTTCGAGATCTGATCCTGGTTCAATTGGCCCGTCAGGCAGGTTCCGATTCCTTAGCTTGAGAGACTCGATGCCCATGAAATCGCCTGCCTCTGCTGCCTCCACCATCACTTTCAATCTTTTGGCGGCGGACGTTGCATCATAGTTTGGTGCAGTATTGTGTAATGTTCGTTTGTTATCGACTATTTTTTCGGCGACACGGACCCGGCGATGTGCTTCATATGTGAGAGCGGCAACGGTGCAGAATCCACCGACTGTTGATCCTGCCAGTGCCAATTGGCGTAGTACTCGGAGGGCGTTCCGTGAGGGTACGATTGAGGGAGTTTTGGCGGCGTGGGCAAGCATGTTGTGGATGCTGGGCGCCAGTTGCGCGCACGAATTCACCAGTCGTGCATGGGTGGCCTCGCAATTTGTGTGCTCAAAATGCGCGTGTGGAACACAGCAAATAGACACAAGTAGCTCTCGTCTGTAGCTCCGATCAAAGCTAAGTGGAGGGGCGAGCAATTGAATTGTGATTAAAGGGTAAACTCGGAGCAACTTCTTTTTTCCGCAACAAAAACTTGCGCTATAGGTTCATGAAGCCCACCGTAGTCCGCCTGACCCGCTGATCGTACGATCTGTATCTAACCACTCCGTATATAGAATACTCCTTATACAGTAAGTTAAGGGGGTGATATCACAATAATTCTATCTAGTGTTCTGCATAGATTTTGGGGTTTATATCTATCTATTGAGCAGAAGTGCATCGTCCTCACCGTTCGCATTTTCATTGGCTTCAGCCTCAGCATCAGTGGCAGGCTCGTCTTCGAGGGTAACTGTCAAGAGTTAGGGGGTTTCCGCATGAAGTGGAAACAGCTACATACCATGTGGTCTGATGAGAAGACTCATGAAGAATGCCACTGCAAAAACAACTGCAAGGGCTACGAAGACTGTTTGTGGCAGTGTCGCTACAGTCAGGCTGTAAATTAGGTTGAAAACTGTGGGCGCCACAATCCGAGCAAGAGCATGCAGAAGACCAGTAGCCCCGAGCATTTGCCCAATTCTTTCGTGTGGCACATGCTTGGTGATAGATGATTGCAAGATTGCCGATCCCATGCCACCTAGGGAGGCGATGGCGCCAGAAACGATCATCCCCGATGGATGGCTGGACATGGCATAACCAACATAACCCAATACGTCAAAGATAATCGAAGTGCGGATGAGGACAACGTCCAGCGTGTCAGACCCGCGAATCGTACCATCTTCTTTGGTAGGAGTACGGAAGAGTCGAGAAATAATTGGGAGGACAACGAAAAGGTTGACGACACGCACCACGTTGATGACCGCCACAAAGAGACTAGACTCCACACTTCCCCAGCTGAACATATATTCAGCGTAGATGATGATCACTTGAACCGTGCCCATTGCAACCCCGAACACAGCTGTGTCGATGGCTGCCAGGAGGACAATATTCCGCCGGAGAGCTGGGCTCGCACCCCGGCGGTTGGGAAACAGAATGCTCGGTCGTCCGACGGCAGGTACTAGGATCGCCAGAGGAGTGATCAGGTTCATTGGGTTCCAGACCTGCCAAGTATACCACTTGGGGGTGTCGACACCCGAAGCCTTGGATCGATGTTTCTCTCGGGCAGCGAGCTGTCGGTCTTTAGGTAGAGATTCTGGCACAATAAACCATACTGATAGACAGAAAGTGACATGGAGCGCAAGTGCGATGTAGAAAACAGGCAGCGTGCCTCCGCTCTTAATCAAAAATGCGGCAGCTCCAGGCCCAACTGCAATTCCAAAGTATAAAGCACCGTGGAAAAGACCAAATGCTACGCTTCGCTTCTCTGTCGGCGTACAGTCCGATGCATAGGAATGTATCAGAGCCTGAGCGGTTGTGAAAGATCCCCCCAGTCCATCCATGACCGAACCGACAAGAAGGAAGTTGACTGAGAATTGGTCCGGCCATGTAGCCACAATCACAGTGATGATCTCATTGAACACGGCGCCCATCGCCCCCAGCGCAATCATCTTGGTTCTCCCGTATCGATCAGACAAATGCCCCATTCGGGGACTTACTAATGCAGACAAGATACCGGCTGCCAAGTTGAGGTAAAGCTGGAATTGGGCGACAAGTGATTGAACCTGTGGGATCTGACATTGAGGGTTATGCTCACCGAAAATGACGGGGAGATAGGTGAATGTAGGATCCTGAGTCCCCTTTTCGGCGAGATAGTCTCGACAAATGAGCGAAAGTATCAAATTGATCTTGGGGACAGCAAGTCCACCAAACCCCAGCATGAAAAGCACGCCGAATGGGAGCAGCCACCATATCTATTGAAACAGTTAGGTGGTTGAATCTTGAAGCTTCATCACAAAAATCCTCATCGCACTTACACTTGGGTTTCGCCAGGACGGCTGCCCTTGCGATGGCTCGTCAGACTGAGACAATAGGCGCGTGTTTTCGGTGACTTCAGTGCGCTCCCGGGCGCGCATCTGCGCATCAACCTCGGGTTCGCCCGCAAAGAGTGCCTCGTTCTCCATGGTATCTGTTCAGAGTGAAAAGAACGTCGGGAGGGAAATGCCTGCAGGTTTATGTTGTTGATTTGTAATATGACTGACGCAATCCCCTCATAATGAGCCGTCGATTTCGGCCGTTCGAGTGTTGAGGGAAGAAGACTGGTCATTATCTGCGGCCCGCTATCTCCGCCACTGATCGTCTTAGATAGATACCTTGATGCATATAGTAGTAGTGATTCAATAGTATAATGTACAATTATCCGAAAATTTCTCAACGCCTCAAAACCCCAGTGCTACATACACATACATTCGAGGCTTTCAGCCTCTCAGCCGAAACATAAACCATAGTAAGTTCACTTAAACCACCATAGAAGAATACTCTTGGCCAGCAAAGAACTTCTTCTGTCCTAAGCAGCGCTCACTAGTGCAGCCCTGGCAACGCAGAGTCATCTGGCGGGAGCAGGGCTCACCCTTTTGCAAATGGTCGCGGGCAATCTCCGCAAGCCCCTGAATGAAGACAGGGTTGCCGTTCAGGCTCTCCGCGCGCTTTACACCAGGGCTATTGGCCTCTTCCATGACCTCCAAATCCAGCTCATAAAGTGTCTCGATGTGATCACTTGTGAACGCAATAGGAACTAGGATCAGATCTGTCTGGCCCCGCTTCACATACTCCTGGACGGTATCGCTGGTCTGAGCACCAAGCCATGCCTTAGGTCCCACCTGCGATTGCCAGCACAGGCGGTAGGGATTGCTGAAACCGAGTCTTTGCATCACAGCGTGAACGGTGGCAGCAACCTCAGCAGGGTAGGGATCACCTAGAATCGATGGTTAGTACCTTGCCGAAGTCAATCGCAGCAATGATCCACCTACCTCGGTTGACGACGCTCATAGGCAAGCTGTGGGCCGAGAAGAGCAATACGACCTGGTCTCGCTTCTCCTCTGGGTATGTCTTGAGCTGTACCTCGATATTCTGTGCAAAAGCGTCGACGATACCAGAGTGAGTAGGCCATCTGTCAATGACGCTCCATTCAATCGCACCAGCTGGCTCGGGCTCTCCACTCGCGCGCTTGCCCTCTAGGCGGTTGCGCCACTTCCAAAGCTCATTAAGGGAGCTGCCAGTTGTTGAGCAAGAGTATTGAGGATATTGTGTAAACGCAACAGCGCGTCCTCCCTTTCCTTGCCCAAAGCCATCCGCGAACAATTGTTGGTACATAGTCTCGGTCAATGGCGCAGCGTAGCGGAATGCAACGTATGGCTTATGAGGCGCAGTCTCTGGAGAAATTTGATCTAAAATCTTGCACATCTCTTCGCACTGGTACTCGGACCATTTCCGGATTGGAGATCCTCCGCCGATTTCTGCGTATTGCTTCTGGATCTTGGGGGTTCTTCGTTTGGCGATGAGGGGACCAATGTATGATTGCAGACGTCCTAAGGGAATGAGATCACCGTCCGCCTATGATGAAAGGGCCGTGTTAGCGCATTTCAAAGTTGCTGGGGTTGGTCGCCTCATACAAATAATCTGCTCAAGAAATCTTGAACCTCGTCGGTTGTTGACGGACCCCCCATATTCATGAAAACCATTGCTGTCGGGCCCTTGGAGCCAGCGGAAGTTTGTGTCACTGGTGGTACCGCTGTAGCGAGTCCTCTTTGGCTCATGGTTCTCATTCGATTGCCCACCGCTGATCGTGTCCCCAAAGAGGCGCCATTGATCAGCTGCCGGGGGATGGCGAAAGGGCTACGGAATGCCATAATGTGAATTAGAATCAAATAACCACCGAGAAGATGTCTCGGGAAGTAATCAGTGGTGAGACGAAGACACAAGCTGTCCACCTCGGAGCTTCGAAGTTCCCGGTTTCCCTTCCGCATTAGCCTAGCCAATCACCATACCGGGGACGTCAGCAACTTCAGGCATCAGCGTCACCTGACTTTCGTGTTCCCCCGCGTCACGGGGGCGCGTCGATTGATGTAATTGTGAGTTCGATAGTTGATTCACTTTAACATCATCTCAATCGTCTATCGCCGACTCGCAATCATGGCCGATGAAAATTACACGCGTGAAGATGAAGAATTTGAGGATGAGGAGCTCAATGAGACCGTAAGTATACAGTCTCCCACATTATCGTTATCAATTGTTGACTGTTGCCTCCAGAGCTTCAAATCAGTGAAGGATGCCGTGCTATTTGCCATAGATATCAGCAGCTCAATGCTGAAGCCTCGTTCATCACCAGATGCAAGGAAATACAATGACGAGTCGCCTGCGTCGGCTGCATTGAAGTGTGCATACCATCTGGTTCAACAGCGCATTATCTCAAACCCTCGTGATATGATCGGCGTCATGCTCTATGGAACTGATTCATCCAAGTTCTACGATGAAGATGAGAGTGGAGACCTTTCATATCCTCACTGTTACTTGTACACAGACCTTGATGTTCCATCAGCCGAGGAGGTCAAGCACTTGCGGTGTCTGGCAGACCCAGTGGCAGATGACGAAGATGCAAGGGGCATCCTCAAACCATCTCAAGAGCCAGTATCCATGGCCAATGTGCTGTTCTGCGCAAATCAAATTTTCACCTCCAAAGCCCCAAACTTCCTATCCCGTCGGCTATTCATTGTGACCGACAATGATGATCCTCACTCAGAGAACAAGGCCCTGCGTTCTGCGGCGACAGTTCGAGCAAGGGACTTGTATGATCTTGGCGTGAACATTGAATTGTTCCCCATCTCAGAACCGGATCGTGAATTTGATACTGCTAAATTCTACGATGTAAGTCACAACGCTTGGACCGCAGTTTTATACTTACAATTGGCAGGATATCATCTACAAAACTTCACCTAGTGATGGAGATGCACCGGTCTATCTGCAACCAGACACCAACACAGCAACGGCTAAAGGTGATGGCCTCTCTTTGCTCAACTCTTTGCTGTCTAGCATAAACTCTAGATCCGTGCCCCGTCGGTCCCTCTTCTCAAATGTGCCCCTCGAGATTGGCCCCGATCTTAAAATATCCATCAACGGATATCTGCTTTTGAAGAAACAAGAACCTGCTCGCAGTTGCTTTGTTTGGCAGGGTGGCGAGGTTCCTCAGATTGCCAAGGGCGTCACGACACAAATGGCCGACGATACTGCACAAGAAGTAGAAAAGGCTGACATCCGCAAGGCGTACAAATTTGGTGGGGAGCAGGTCACTTTCACAACCGAAGAAACACAAGCTTTGCGGAATTTCGGTGATCCAGTCATCCGCATCATTGGCTTCAGGCCGCTCTCGGCCCTTCCAATCTGGGCTAACGTTAAGCATCCCTCATTCATCTACCCCTCTGAGGAAGGCTATGTCGGCTCAACACGTGTCTTCTCTGCTTTGCATCAGAAACTCCTTGACTCCAATAAATTGGCATTGGTGTGGTTCATTCCTCGCAAGAATGCCTCCCCGGTCTTGGCTGCAATGATTGCTGGAGAAGAAAAGGTTGACGACAATGGCGTGCAAAAACTCCCACCTGGGATGTGGGTAATTCCAATCCCCTTTGCGGATGATGTCCGCGAGAATCCACCGACATCATACAATCCAGCACCGGAGGAATTGATAAATGCTATGCGGGATGTGATCCAGCAACTTCAGCTTCCAAAAGCCGTTTATGAACCCTCAAAATACCCAAATCCCGGTGAGATTTTGTGCTCCGACCTATCAAACGCCATGCTGACTAGTAAACAGCCTTGCAGTGGCACTATCGAATTCTGCAAGCTATCGCTCTGCAAGAAGACATCCCCTCTGCGCAGGAGGATAAAACCATCCCGAAATACCGACAAATTCACAAGGTTAGTTTTGTAAAGAAGGGGGACTACTACCAGCTTTTACTGACTGGATGTCTGTTGCAGCGTGCTGGCGAGTATGTTGATGAATGGGCCCAGAAGGTCAACGCCCATATACCGAGCATTTCCAGTGGAGCGACCAAGTCTACATTGGTGAAACGGGGTGCCAAGTCTGAAGGTTCTGATGACCCTCCACCAAAGCGACCAAAGATTGAATCTGGCTCTGGGGTGGAAGAGGAAGTGAAGCGTAGCTTTGCCAAGGGCGCTGTTTCCAAGGTAAGAACAACAACCAGTCTGTGGGTATAAGGGAAAGGAACTAACTGATGCATACAGCTCACGGTCGCCGTTCTTAAGGAGTTCCTACATTCCCATGGCTGGGCTAATGCGGGCAAGAAAGCGGACCTTGTGGAAAGAGTCGAGCAATACTTCGAGGAAAAGCGTTAGTGAGATGACTTTTCTATTTCAAGAAACCATGCACGGATTGATACATCTCTATGACAATCATACCATAATACCCCCTAGCACACAATAAGATGGCGATTCTAGAGAGGGTGAGAATCAGGCTGCTTTCCAGGACGCCACCACCACTGGCCCCATTTTCCTCAACCCTCACGCTGGCGAAGATGCCCAATGTGGGCTCTTTATGGAGGAAGAACAGGGTGGCTACATTGATATTACAGGTCTTCATCCAGTACCCACATGCAGCATGGACTGAGATAGGTGTCTGCAATTCTTCATCTGCAATCCGTTCCATCTTCATGAATCCTGACACCGACACACTATGTCTCAGAGATAGAGAGATAGGAATAAACATGTCCCTCTTCATTACTTGTTACTAGTAGCAACTTCATCGTTGTGTTGTAAGCAATAACCGAAAGCCGTAATACACCTAAGAAGGCCAGACAGTAACCTTGGAACTTTCTTGGTGGTATGCATCTACAGTGCTTGAGAGAAAGAACTTGATTCGCGCATAGATTTTGACAAACTTAGATACAAATGAGTTATTCCAACACGACCCTAGCTGCACCGTTGCAACTCAAAGACTTGCCCAGGTTCTTGGGGCTCATCCGAAGTCAGTCCCGCGGGGAGGCCCGGAGGCTGGAAGCCCTAAGGTTCCAACGTTGAAGTTTTCTGGCATTTGAAGATTCAAAGGTTCCGAATCCCCACACATGGCACGAAAAAGTGCCACAGTGATCGGATATCTGTGGATGATCTTGGTAGCCCTCTTTGGTGTCTAGTATTCTGCTAGTGTTATAAGGTGATGCATTTTCTTCCATTCTCCCATCATCCCTGACGGTTCTCTCTATTGTATCAAAGAAGAAGATCAAATACAGGCCTAAGTAATGTGTGGAGAAGAGAGAAGCTGCGGGGCTCTGGACTACTTGTGAGTTTTCGGCGATTTTGTCAATTGGAGTAGTTTGAGAAAAGTCGCAGAACCTTCATCGCCGATCTTATGGCCCAGTGGTTAAGGCGCTCGCTTTACAATTCGCTAAAGTTGACCGCGAGAGATCGCAGGTTCGATCCCTGCTAAGATCAATTTATTTTTTTTCCCGTTCAGGTTACAAATATAGCTATATGTACCGGGTTTCCCCACATATGTCGGCTGTCGCCGCTTTAAAGAGGGCATTAAGACTCGGGCTCTCAGAGTAGATATCAACACGAGCTCAGAGAGAGAGAGAGTGATGAGCTTGAAATAGTCATGTGCATGCTGGTTTATTTCTATCTGTAATTTTTGTAAGTCTGTATATTCTAATAATTTATCCATGGAGATGGTATTCCTGCGGGACAAAGGAGAAGAAAAAAAAATCTAACTGGAGGTTTTGTCAATATTACCTCCAACCCGGTACCTCCTATCTCAGTAGATTCCTTCTAGGTACCACCCTTTCGTCACAAAGTTCTGGAACTTGACATCGAATTTGACACCAGAGTGGTGATTTTCAGGTAGATATTATGAACCCAAACGATTGGCGTGCATAGAAAGCCGAAGACAATGAGCCATGTAGGTATACGTTCACGGGAACAGAAGATCATTTGAGCGAGGTGGCTTAGTTAAGTTGTTGGCAGGGACGTGATTGTGAAGCGTTGTAGTTGGAGAATCTATAGATAGAAGGAGATCGGAGGGAAGCATGAGGGCGAAGAGGATGAGCCCGACTCCAGGATGTTTTCCTGTATGTTCTCTGTATGAAGTACGGAGGGAGCCCTTTTGAGTCTGTTAGGACAATATGTGTTGCCTAATGTTGAGATCACGTGCGATCATGTGGAAGGACTTGACGTGAGCGGGCGGTTACGAGTATGTAGTTAGCTTTGATCGGAGGTAACTTTCTTTACAAAATGCCCAGTGAGCTTGCCAGGTGACTAATAGGCGCAACACGAAATGAATTAGTCAAGAGGCTTGCTGAATTGAATTTTATTCTGAGATCAAAAAGCGTCAAGAGGTGAGCACTAAAATGGAAGTGGAAAAGTCTCGAGTACCAGGGATTATCGGTACACATTCAAACGGCATCATTTCCAAGTCTCAATAGCGCTATATTAGCAATTTACACCTCTACCCAACCCGTGGACCTCCAATTCTGCATCATACCAGCCCACTTTTCCCAATGTATGCCCCTCGGGCATAGCAGATGCATTCTCACCACTGCTGAATCGACCTGGACACTTAGGGGGAAACGACATGCAAGAGCATCATTGATCAGAAATTGTACATTCGATCATCTATGTTTGAAACCGATGAGATATGTATGAAGCACTATGTGCTCCGCGCTTGAACGCAAATAAATCTATAAATAAAAGGGGACCCAGAAGTGAAATCTCTAAAAGCAGAGCGTGACGGTAAGTCGCGGGGACGTAAGAGTGGATTTACCACGTGCCTCCAAAACATACACCAGAGAGACGAGGAGATCTGCTGGATTGAGCTCATATCTCAACACTGTCCATAAACCTGACAGTAGCATATCTTTTCATCGGGACAACTGTTTCAAAGTCAGCAAGATCCAAACCGAAAAACCACGCCAAAACTCACTAGACACCCTGCATGCCAAAGATGATATGCCACATAAACTCCATGACCCTCCCAGAAGATGCATCGCTCAACTCCGTATCCATAACCCACTGCCTGAACTTCACATAGTCCTCCCGTGGTCTCAACTGCACCTGTTCCCTCGATACAGCAAACTGCGCACAGCAAGCCGTCCCAATCTCTATCGGTTTCGCATAGCGAACCCCAGGATATTCGACTTCCGTCGGTGACGACATATTCAAGGGCGGGGTACTGGTTCCGTCGAAGACATCCCACCATATCTGCTCCGTGACATGCTTATTGAAGCGATGTTTGCCCTTGCATCCTGGGTTCCAATTGCAACGCAGATTGACGTACCCGTTTTGTTTGACGAAATCGAGTTGCAGGTTGCGCATGGCGAGAACGTTATCGTGTAGCGGGGCGTCGACATGCCAGGCCATTAAGAAGCCTGCACGGTGGGCATGTAGGAAGGCGATTGTCGAGGGGAGGGAATCGTAATTGTCAATGATGTATGTGAAATAGGCCATTGATTCATGGCCTTTATTAAAGGGTGTGGTGAGGGTATCTGGGTTCATGCGATTTTCATGTGTAGGATTGACGGTATAGATTGCGCGTTGCCAGCTGGACGAGTTAGATTGCTTACAATATTAGAGAACGAGAACATACTCTGGAAGTTCCTGGGCGACCCATTCTGTGTGTTCTTCTTCCAGCTTCGCCATAACGATCACTTTGTCGCCGGGGTTTGTGTAGGTGGGTTGTGTAGGAGCGTCATTGTCCAACCATGCAACCATGTATGCGCCGGCGCGGTATTGATTACATAGATCCTGGAGGTGGGCTTCGAGAAGGAAGAGGGAGAAGAGCAGGAGGGAAGAGACGCATATTAATGCGAGGCGGATGTTGCCTCGCATGGTACTTGAGTGTGTGAAAGATGCTGTTAAGCCATGTTGCGTCCCAGCGGGTATAGGAGAGTACGAAGAGAGAAGGAGCGAGAAGCGAGAAACGAGAAAGGGATGCACTACACAATACGAGGCGGAAGATTAAATCAAATAAAGTATAACAGAATGTCATTATCATATCATTGGCCACAGGAGGCGGTTTCAGGGGATCCTTAGGTTTAGCAGCCGGGTTAGTTCACTTTTAATCCGCTTTTAGTTGCTTTAGACTCCTATTGAGACCGGGGGACATTTAGGGGCCGCTATGGCCCTTGGCACCAAAAGCTTGGCCTTTCCCATTTCGCAGAGTTTGCGCTTAAACTGTTAGCCAGAGGTCTAACATCCATAGTGACCCAAGGCAGTTGTCCAATAGGCAAATAGCCAGGCATATGGCAACACGCGTTCGACGCCGTTCCACGGAATGCACGTGGCGTTGGGGTTGACGTTGAAAGGCTTTAACTATTTCCAAGGTTTATCCCACCAATTAGTCTTTGGCCTTGGCGGTTCTGGCTCATTTAGCGGTGCCGAGGTGGGGGGGTCAATTCCGTTTACACAGCCTCCTAACCCCCCCCCTAGGGGATCTGATCCTTTATTTGCTCTTCGGTCGGTTCTATCTGCTTGGCCGTCTATGACAGAGCTACCTAGTGATCGGCATGATGTAGTTGGATTTAAGATCGAATACAACATACTCATATGCATGTAGGAAATTGGCGATCCGCTCAACCACCCGGAGAACGAATGTCGGTATTGAGCATCCGCGGAGATGGCGTTTGTTTAAATCATGCTGCCTAACTACAGTAGTAAGACTTCCCGACAGCCGCTGTCGCTGTCGCTCGTTAGCATTGGGTGGGGGAGTTTGAGACATTTGAGAGAGAGCGATGCCCAGATAGCAGATATGGTCGTGATTTGGTCGCATTGTTCGCTTTGTCTCAATGGAAATGGCGCATATTGCCCTCAAGCCCAATGCGCAATCATGCCGCGCGGACTGTCGAGGTTGCTTGGCTGTTGATCGTGATGTCAATTCTCGGCGATCGCGCATCTCATGTGTTTGAGAACAAGCCTTTGGATCTGCAGTTTACGAAATTGATGCATGGTATCGCATCTGTCCACTTTTGCCCCATATTGAAAACCTCCAACGTCTTCACGTCAGATATGAGTACGACCCACGGAGTACTCGTACCTACGGGTTCTTCGCCTAGCATGTACAATAACCCGATACCCAGGTGAAACACGATCCACTTGTTATGGTACACCAGTCCAGCTGTTATATATTCATTATGGTATCTACTCATCATCTTCATCACTAACTTCCTCCCCATTTGCAATTGCCTCCTCGCGAACTTTACGAGCCCGCTCTCGCTTCTTATTCAACAGCGCGTTCAGCTTCTTGGCGACGTTGAAAACACCGCCAGTCCCCTCGCCACAGGCAGCACAGGTAGGAGACTTGCGATATCGCTGCAGCGCACAGGATTCACAGAAGTAATGCCCACATTTGGTGATGATGGGCTCTCGGTAAGGATTTTTGCAAATGATGCAGGCAAAAGGAATGCTTTCCAGCAATTCATCCTCGTCATCGTCCTCCTCCTCTTCCGTGGCTTTACCCGCGCCTTTGCGCTGAGAGACCACCCGTCCATTCAATGTTTTGCCCTTAGTATTGATTTCCCAGTCACGATCCAACTCCCAGCCTTGCTTGTAACTTTCACGACTGTGTAAGAATTTACAGGAATCTAGAATGGTTAGCAAGAATCAAAGATATCGCGAAAGGAATACTTACCACCAAAGCCACAATAACCCGTTTGCTTCCAATCCTTACACACGTCAGGCGCAAAATCTGTGACCGTGACCGTGCGAACGTTTGTCGGTGCTTTTATAGGGCCGAACTTTGACGGCGCATCGGGATTCTTCTGGATAAACGATTGATAGTTGGCCGCACCCTTGTATTTTCCATCTACACCTGCATCTGATACGGCAGGCTTTGCCCGGGTGGTGCCAAGCAAGTCTTTCTCGTTGAGGTTTTCGTCGTACCATTCTGCGGATTTTGTCGCATCGTTGCTGGTGGTCAACGGGGCAGGAGCCGCAGTCTTCACTTCATCGGGGCGCCTGATCACATTCGATGCGGATGACGCCGTAACGGCTACATTGGTGCGCCGTCTTTTGATCCGGCGACCCTCCTCGTCATCGGATGAATTGAAGTCAGAGCCGGAGTCTGAGGCCGGTGGTGGCGTTGCGGGTTTTTTGCGGAGGTTGGCTTTTCCCTTGCGCTTCTTGAATGCGAACTGGGGTGTATCGGCGACTGGTGCGTCTTCTGCCATGATGCTTATCAAAGAGAGAGAAAAATCTGGGGGATGAGGGAGGAGCTATCGATCTAGCTAACAAATCTCCAGATCTCCATCGAGAAAATGACTAAGCCCGAGACAAACAGAACAAACCTCCTCACTTGGGGACGCGTTGGAAGTCAAAATTATTGCAGACACAAAGTTTGGAACCGTCGAGTCCAGGCTCTATGTACTCCGTACGGGGTAGAGCAGAGGTGGAAACCTTCATATCATAATGTACATAGGTAGGGACTACGAGTATATTTAAGATCGTAGCAGTGTACTCCTTAACGGGTGTAGGGGTTTACGGTGCCAACTGGCAATAATGCAACACACTTCTCTCTTCTTCCCCCGCCCGAGTCAACCTGACCTGTCCAATCACTCCCTACACTCCCTTTTTCTTTTTTTCTTATTCGAATATTATTTATCAATTCTCTCCTTTTTGTCCTTCCTTTTAAACTTTCAGACAACCTCGCGATACGCAGTTCCGATCACTTTGTTGTGGTTGGCTGAAATTGCGCGTCCAGTCATCTTTCGCCAGCCCGAAACCTCAATCTGGGCACTGATTCGCCCAAAGGTACCCGGTGTTTGTTGTTGTCAACCATTCGGGCTTCCCCTCCTTACAACGGTGTGCTCAAATCGCATCATCAGTGACAACTTGTGGTCGCTGGCTCGACAGTTCAGCTCAATTTGCGACACAGATCTGGGTTATTTGGATAATGCCCGCGATCTAGACTCGGAACGCTGATCACCGCGCGAGTCTCCGACATCTCAACGGTCACTGCATCCTCGTCACAGAGAGGATCCAGATACCGTTCGAGAACTCCGGATCCTAGATTATGACCGCTTCCAACGACGAGGCCGCTAGTGTTGCCTCTATGGAAGACCCCTTCGTTTCGAACGGCGGGAAGCCAGCCGTCCCCCGCGAAGCCCACCGATACTCATCCTTCGACACACAACTGTTTAGCCTCAATGCGTCGTCCCCAGCACAAGCCAAACGGGCTCTCGAGGCTCATTTGGCCGAAACCGAACGCCGACTGGAAGAGGCTTCGAGACTTGGAACCGCTTTGATCGACCAGCAGCAACAGCTGGCCGAGCAATTGAAGGAAGTCGAGTTGCAGCAGGATGATGGGGAAATGGGTCCGGCGCTGCGCCGCAAGCTCGCTGATTTGGAACGAGAGTACAATGAGATCGGTCGAGAGTCAGCGCGTGCGTTTTTGGCACCCAAGCGCCTTGCTGGAGGTACCGAAGAGGCTCAGCTAGGGACGCCCTCGTTTGACCAAAAGGTATATTATGAAAGAATGCCCAGTTTGATCAGCTCCTCAACTAATGTGATTTGCAATAGTCTCCTCTGAGTCCGGCTTTGTTTGCCAGCCAAGCAACTAATTCTCCTAGCAAAGTCAGTGTTCCTTCACGAAAGCAGCGCAACCAACCGTCAAACCGTGTCCACGATATTGAATTTGCGACCGAGATCTCCACTTCTCTGTTGGCTCAAGTCCGCCAACTGCAGGCCCTGCTCGCTGAACGAGAAGAGACCATCAAGTCTGTCAATTTGGAAAAGTCCCGACTTGAGTTGGAAGCAGAGGGCTATGGACAACGGATCCGGGCACTGGATGATAGTGAACAGCGTTACAAGGACGAGAACTGGGCACTGGAGACGCAGGCACATGAGCTCATGGCATCTGCGAGGGAAGCAGCTGAGCGTGAACAGCGACTAAACAGTTCGCTGACTGCGTCAACAACAGAGAAGAATGACGTCGAACGAGAACTGGAAGAGCTGAGACAAGCAAACTCGAGGTTACTCGAGGAACAGAGCATCACACAAAAGGCGAATGATGCGGAGATCAATCTGCTGCGCCGAAATCTGAATGCTGGCGATTCGGAGAAATCCGCCCTCCAGAAGAAACTCATGGAAATGACATCTCAAAACCAAGAGCTTGCCAAAGCAGTCGCCATGCGACTTCGAGATCATGAAAACCAGGGCTCTAGGGCAGTTTCATATGAGAATGAGGATGAGGAACCTGAGCAAATTACTCCTGAAAGCTCTCCCCCGCCTTCCCCCAACAAGTTCACCCCTCGACACGGCCACTTGGAATCAGAGACCTTGAAGAGCTCCCTTGGACATGCCCATCGTATGATCCAGAATCTCAAGAGCACCATTCACCGCGAGAAGACCGAAAAGATCGAGCTTAAGCGCATGCTGCAAGATGCTCGCGATGAAGTCGAGACACGTCGTCGGGACAGCACTGTGCCAAATGGGTCGAGCAAACGTCAGAAAACCAAGACCGATTCATCTCGGAAGCCTCCCCGTCCAGATCTTCTGGGCGCAGGGCGCAAAGAGAAGTCGTTCGTTGAACTCCACGAAACTGACTGGGAAGACAACGCCGGACAAATTAGCCCAACCCAGGTCCATGCTCCCTCGAGACCAACTACAGCTCGCTCTGGAATTGAGTCTCCGGATGAGCCTAGTGATGTCTACCAGACTGCCACCGAGGCGGAGGATGGCTTCGAGACCGCGAACGAGCGGGCGACTGCAACCGAGAGCGAAGCATTCCAGACTGGTGTCGAGAGCATGGCGGATGACAGCAGCGACTCCGCGGCAGATCTTACAGAGACTGAGCAGAATGTGCAGACAACTCCACGTGCCAAGGGCTCTTCCATTCACATGACCAAGACTCGCAACCGCGACGCATACCACAGTACAGCTTCCAACTCATCAGATGAAGATGACTTTGACAAAGGCTTTGGCTCCCCAACACAGGCACACATCTCCCGGCCCCGCGTGAAGTCAAAGCGCAGCATTTCGAGGCGCATTCGTCCATCTGGAGAGGCTACGTTTGCATCCACGAGCCGTCCTTCAAGCGCACGCGACTCTACAGCAAGTAGCTTTGAGCAAGCTGCGGCACCCCAAGAGGGCCAAAGCCTCTTTGCAGAGCTTGCGGAGTTTGACAGCGCCGAGGACGATGGCGAGGCCACCTCTGTAGCTTCAACGCCGCGCATGGAGCCTACTATGGGTTCGCGCAGACCTTCAGATGTTATGTTAGACGCACCGTCCAGACCTGCCATGGTGGATTCGGGTGTGATGACCGAGCCCTGGGAGCCCTCCCCTGTCGGTGCCGGCTTCGCTGCAGGCGCCGGCCTCGTCGCTGGAGCTGCCACCGGTGCCTTGGCTACCCACCTGACTGGATCCAGAGACAGGGATGTCATGGATGAAGCGGAGGAAAACACCCAGTCCGTCAGCTCAGGAACACAATGGACTTCACAGAAACCCTTGCCTGTCGAAGGCGAATACACGGCTGATGTGTCTACACCACCAAAGATGGCCTGGGATGAGCAAGCCCTATATTCCAACGCACGCGATCTTCCAGAAATGGGTATGGCGGAAGTCTCCTCCCAAGAGACCACTCCCTCTACACCTAAGCGGCCCGAACCCAGTGTCTCTTATATCAATGGCGGTATCACCGAACCGGTGAAGCATGAGCTGCCCGCACCGGAAGTGCCGGAAATGACGATATCCTCGATCTCAACCCAGACCACCAGCCCTATTCGACCCAAGGTTCTGGTACCTGAGCCAACCATCAAGCATGTTGATGTCATTAAATACGTTGAGCGCGAGCCGGAGGTGCCCGAGTTGACCTTCTCCTCTATCACTACTCAAACCACTGCGCCAGTTAAAGCGACCCTTGCTGTACCGGAGCCTGTCATTCAATACGTTGATGTAATTAAGGAGGTTGAGCGCGAACGTGAGCTTCTCGAATTGAGTTTCTCCCCTGTCACAGCTCAGTCGACAACGCCTGTCCAGGCGGTTCAGGCTAAGATCCCGCAACCGGAGCCTATTGTCAAGTACGTCGATGTTATAAAACACGTGGAAGTTGAACGCGAGCGCGAACTTCCTACTTTGAGCATTGCTTCCATCGCCGGTCATTCTACTGTCCCTGTGCAGGCCACCAAGGCGGCACCTGTCATCGAGTACGTCGACGTTGTCAAGCACGTCGAAGTTGAACGCGAGCGTGAGCATCCTACTCTAACCATTGCTTCTATCAATGGTCACTCGACTGCTCCTGTGCGAGCCACCTTCGCCAAGCCGGAGCCAGTTATCGAGTACGTTGATGTGATCAAGCACGTTGAAGTTGAACGTGAGCGTGAACTCCCTGCCCTGAGTATCGCTTCTATTGCTGGTCACTCCACTGCCCCTGTGCAGGCCACCAAGGCCGCTCCTGTCGTTGAATACGTCGACGTCATCAAACACGTCGAGGTTGAACGCGAGCGTGAGGTTCCAGAGTTGAGCTTGTCCTTCATCACTACCCAAGCCACAGCCCCCGTCAAGGCATCTGTTCCTGCGCCTCAGCCTCCTGTCATCCAATACGTCGACGTTGTCAAGCACATTGAGCGTGAGCGCGAGGTTCCCGATTTGACAATCTCTTTGCTTGGCTCTACGTACACAAAGCCTGCCGCTTCAAAGCCTCGCGTTGCCCCCGCCCCAAAATTATCGTTCTCTTCCGTCCGCTCGGTCGAGACCCAGCCAGTCAAGTCTGTACTACCTGTGCTCCCCGGAGTGGCGGATTTCTCCACCCAAACCGAGCCAGAATCGAAGGCAGCTGGGGTCGTTGTGCATGAAGACAAGTCTGTCGATGAAAACGATAGCCACAAATTTGCTGGCGCTGGCCTCGCCCTAAAAGATATCTCTGGAAACAGCATCAGCCGTTCTGCGAAGCGGCTATCTAGCTCAGTCAGCATGGATCAAGGCTCTCAGACCATTCTGTCCGCTAAGCAGATTGATCAGATCTTGATTGAGCGTTCTTCGCGCCCCCTGTCCTCAGACAGCAAGGTCACGGACAACTCCAAGGAAATTGCTGCTGTCACTACTACCGCGACATCTCCCTACACACCCAAGGCTAATCTTCGACCTCGTCTCTCCCAAATCCAACCTGCGAAATCTACGCCAAGTCACCGTCGACCTCCCAGTGCTACCAGCCAATTCTCCAATGCAAGCGCTCATCCCCCGCTGCCCGTCGACCACCGCGAAGCCATCATGGCTGCCGAGAAGAGGTCAATAGACGTGGCACCACCATCCCCGACCTCTGTCATGGGTCCTCCCTTGGCACCCGCATCTGCCTACCGAATGAACTCCCATCGTCCACTGACACCCAGCGAACAAGCTGTACGAGCCAGTTCTACGAGAACCGGATCCTCTCAGGCCAGGATGCGACGTGGCAGCCAGAGCCAAATGTCTCGGCGATCCTCGGTTTCATCCTTCGCTTCGGAGGTTGAAGAGCGTTTCAACGGAAACCCCCACGCAGGCCCAATGCCTCAGGGTTACGGGCCTAATACCGACCCTCGCATGATCCAGGCAATCACACAAACCATGATTGGAGAGTTCCTTTGGAAGTATACACGCAAGACTGGTTCTTCCGAAATGTCCTCCACTCGTCACCGCCGATACTTCTGGGTCCACCCTTACACCCGTACCTTGTATTGGAGCACCTCGGACCCGCAAACCGCTGGAAAGAGTGAGCTTCGCACTAAGAGTGTGCCCATTGAGGCTGTCAGGGTGGTTGCCGATGACAACCCTTATCCACCAGGTCTTCACTGCAGAAGCCTGGAGGTCGTCAGTCCTGGCCGACGGGTTCGGTTCACGGCTACGACAAGCCAGAGGCATGAGACCTGGTTTAACGCACTGTCCTATCTTCTTTTGCGGGAGACTGAAGACAATGGTGACGACGGCAACAGTGTCACTTTGGACGATATCGACGAATTCAACCCTCCTAGTTTCCGCCAGAACACGCGCATGTCGTTCTCCTCCCACAACAGTCGCACTGTTCGTAATCCCCACAAGCAACAGCGAGCGGCTTCCGCTATGTCGATGCGATCTGCCGGCACCCCCGGCGGTCGTGCATCGCCGGCCCTCAGCTCCCCTGTTCCCAACTCGTCATTGCAGGTCCCAGATGGTCAGCGCTCTTCATCGCGGCTGAGCACAATCTCCAGCTCGATCCGAGGCTCCATTGCCAGCATGAAGGGTCGCCACGGCCAATCTCCCAGCATGCACAACGAAAGTCTTCACGGCCAAGAAAGCGCCGATGATCTCCGACAAGCGATGGAGAACCAAGAACAAGATCGACTTGAGAACGTCCGCGCCTGCTGTGATGGCAAGCATGATGTCGGCTCCCTTTCTCGTACTAGTCGGTACAGCCCGCGAGTTGATCGCATCCACTCCCCTCACCCTCACTGAGCATGGAATCTGTGGGTCTGTGGGCAGGTCCTCAACCCAGACGACTTGAGTCTAAACGAGTCTCTTTTTCTTCCTCAAGAACACCTTTCTAATATTGTTTCCCACTCGCATCGGCCAAAAGCCGCTGTGGTTCTGGACTGTCTTCCACAGCCAACGCCTTCGCTTCACTTTTTTTTCCTTTCCGCAGATCTCAACTTTCTCCGTCTATCCTTCAATCCGAGTTGGCGTCTCACTGGATTCGCAATCAGATCTTTCCTATATTCTCCTTATGTTCATAATCCCATGCCATCTACTTGATCGGCTCCTCTCTTTGGCCTTGTCGCCTATGATACTAGATTTAGTATTCAATTTCGTTGGATTTTGTCTAATTATTCAAGTTGGAAATGTAGGGTCAACCAATGAAGTTTCGTTTCTGATACTCCCGTGGCCAATCAGTAGTTCAAACGCCGAGGCCGCGCAAAACCCTCCGCGTCACGTGAGCGAAAGTATATAACGCATCGCGACGCTTGGGACTAAACCTCGCCCCATTTCCCTCTGGCTTCCATTGAAAATCCCTCACTATGTCTACCAATGGTCCTCCCCCGTTCTTGCAACAGTTGGTTGGGTTGACCGAGCCAGCACTGCTCATGGCTTGGGCTCTATCTCGTAAGTTCAGACACCGAATGATATAGATCCGAGTTCCGGTTGATGGGATCGCGGCGATTGAAGCTTTAACCCCAAATGTGCCTGCTTGATGCTGCCCCCCATACTTCACTTTCACATATCACCATGTATATGTATCCCCCGACGACAATTTCTCATTTTTGACTCATCATCTCACGTCCCCTAACATCAACCTATCTCCTTCAGCTTGGAGAAATACTTACCTCAAAGCATCTACTAACATCAATTTCCAGACAACATCCGGGTCTTTGCAGGAGCAATCTTGAAAGGCCAAATCTTAGCCCCAATCACCCAAACTCAAAGACTACGCGATGAAGCATTCGGTCGTTTCTGGATCGAGTTTAGCTGTAAGTCAACACCAAACGCACAAATTCAACCCTATATCTCCCCACCCTGCGAGAATAATAGCAATCTAACATCCAAAGCTCCTCGTGAGGTGCCCTCCGACTCAGATTCCAATGAACCTCCCGCCCCAGTCGGCTCTTCAGCTCTAATCCCGCCCCTCCTCCACACAGCCAGTGGAGTAGTTCTAGACATTGGCCCAGGAACAGGAACCCAGATGCACCTTCTAACATCCCCATCTATAACCGCCCTCTACGGTGCAGAGCCTTGCACAAGTCTGCACAGCGCCATCCGCGAAAAAGCAGAGCAACGAGGTATTTCATCCAAGTATCACATTCTATCCACCGGCGTCACAGCAACAGAGCTGATGCCCGCGCTGCGAGACTCGGGACTGGATGTTGACTCTGATGGAATATTTGATACAATTCTCTGTGTGCGCGTTCTATGCTCTGTGCCGAATATGGAGAAGACTGTCCGTGAGCTGTATGGCATGTTGAAGCCCGGGGGTCGGATTTTGGTTACGGAACATGTTGTTAATCCTTGGCGGAGGGCGAAGGGCTCTGTGCTTGCTCGTTTTGCGCAATTCTTTTATCAAATGCTGGGCTGGAGCTGGCTCATTGGTGATTGTGCTTTGGATCGTGATACTGAAACGGCTTTGAGAGGGGCTGCTGGGGAGGAGGGATGGGAGAGTGTGGAGTTGGAGAGGAACTTCGAGTGGTCTGCTATGCCATACATATCGGGGGTGTTGGTTAAGAGGGGATAGAGGGATTTGTTATTGTTCGTATTTTGCACTTGGGGTACATATTTTCCTTATCAATGCAACTGGGTATCATTTCTATACATAATTTTTGGGCATCGATAAATGTCGCCATGAGGGTCATGAAGAATGATCTCAGGGGTCTTCGTTTCGTTCAGTCGGCTTTGGTCGTCCAGCGGGCCAAAAGTCGAATAGATCTAATGCCTCAGATGTCCAGGGGCCTTGTTCCTTGGGCTCTTCAATAATGGGCTGCACGTTGACTGAAGTCTTGGTCCGGTGTTGACCACCTACCAAGGTGGTTGGGTCCGACAGTGACTTGCGCAACGGTGAATCAACAGATCTTCTACCGTTCAGAGCATTAGATGAAGGCTTTACCCCTGATCCATCAAGCATCTGGTCGAAGATGAATTGTGTCGAGCTCGAAGGCATGAACTCGTCATTGGCTGGGGGGTTAGACGGAGCCACGGCGTTTCTAACAGAGTTTTAGAACAAGAATACAACTCAAATAGCAGGTAAATACTAACTCTGATTCTTTTGGTTCTGCGATAGGTTCCTTTTCCTTGCTAGCCGGAAGTGAGCTGGGCGTCTTTTCCAAGGGGGCCCGCGAAGCACCAGGTAATAATGCACTATACATGAGCTTCCTGCGTGGCTTTCCAGTGCCCATTCGAAGAGTTCCTGAAGGTGTTTCAGATGATCTTGCCGACAATGAACGCGACGGGGGTGGCATGTTGCTTGGCACATTTTCAGTAGGCTGAGCACTGTTGGAGACCGCTGGGCTTGGTCTCCTAGAAAGGGGCCGAGAAGCAGAAGTATCCGAAGTAGTGAGGGATGAGATGGGTACCGGAGGGCGTCTTTGGGGTTGTGTAGGCGGCTGTGCGTCTTGCGCTTGGTTCTCACAGCCCACAGCTGGTTGATTCGAAGACAAGGCCTCTTGGGGGCGAGACGCTTCAGCCGGCATTGCTCCATCTGAAATAGATCCGGTGACGGAAACATTTGACGTGGCTGGAATAGAGCTCCTCGAAAGTGGAGGTACAGGCCTCTGTGGCCTAGGCGGATTGCGTGGTGCATTCTGCGGCCCACTCTCACAACCATGTGGTTGCTCACCTACCCGCGTAGTCACTATGGACTCGCTGGGCTCTTTTCTTGACGGTGTTGTGGAACTGGGGGTTGGCAATGCTTCTGGTGGTCCCCGTGTGTGCGTAGGTGGAGCAGGTGTAGATGCACTGTTAAGCGGCCTTCGGGGTGGAACTAGTCTGGTTGCGGGGCGAGGCCCATTTTCTGGTAAAGTTGGACTAGAATTCACCTCAGAAGACGCTGGTATCGAGTGCTGAGTGGACACAGGAGGATTGGGTCTTTTTGGGTGTGCTGGTTTAGATAGGGCCGGCCGTTGCTGATGACTTGCTGAAGCTGCAACAATTGGAGTTTCACTATTTCTCGTGATCTGCTTCACCACAGGATTGACCTTTTTGGTCGAGTTTCCTCCCGACGCAGGCTCGGTCAAATCAATGATCTGACTTTGGGCACGAGGGCTTTCCGTCGGTTGATTTGGCATAGATGTCTTCTGTCTTTTAGGTGCTCTTTGCTCCACGGTTCGCGGAATAGCTTGCGCGGAGTTTCTCTGCTCATATGGAGAAGCCAACGGATTGTCAGGGGTTTTTTTAATACCGAGCAAATCGTTGAGCGAGCGGAATGACTGGGATGAACCACCATAACGAGGCGTTGATGTAGCAGTGGAAGGGCGGACAACTTGAGACCCCAATTCCCTGTTCTGGGGTGAGCCCTGACTGGACCTTTTCTTTTCGTATAGGTTGGTGATGTCCGTCTCTGTCGTCCCCACATTCTCGCACACTTCAATGAGCACACCTTTGTCCAGCTCCATTTCGTCACCATCTTGAACCTCGTCGGAAGATCGCCAGTGATGATCACCAACAAAGTTTCCCTGATCATCATATACCATCACACGTTTGTTGTGCTTATGGTATCGAAGGTTGCCATCGTGCCATCGTTTCGCTTTGCGGCGCAAATCATGCGTGTAGAGACACCGGAACTTAAGAACTTCCGCAGTGACCTGTGGTGACTGTGGAGGTCGTCGTGCCGAGGATGACGGGGTGGACATCATGATAGCACTCGGTGATTACCAATTCCTTCATGACTGCTGGAAGTCGATTTACGCGCGTCGTGCTGTCTGCCCAGGTGTTCGCGTCGTGACGCGATAGGCTGATAAGGGCGGATAATATGGCCTGAAGTCCAAGGCACCAAGTACTCCACAGTTTGCCCCTCAATGTGTACAACTGCCCCTATGTCTCTCAAATTACTCCATGTATTCTCGTTTACTTCATTTGACTTGTTAAAACAACATGCGGCCTAATACATTTGTCTGTTATTCATTTCAATCGGCAGCAAGGTTAGGAAGAGAGCCGAGACCCAAATCCCACCAGCTCCGAGCCAGAGCACACCAGCAGATCCTCCCTCGATGTATCTTTGACCGGCAAACGGTGCCACAATCCCAGCAATTCGACCAAGACAGGACAGCATCCCACTAGCACTCGTACGGTACGTTGTGTTGAACATTTCCGGCGCAGATGCGTATAGTACTGCATTGAAGTACTGGAATCACTAGTGTTAGCCGTTTTGTAATTCCAATGGCACCACTGGCCTTGGGATCTGGACTCACCGTCTGCATGATGTACTCGAGCGCATTGAGGCCGACATATCCGGCAGTATTCTTGACTTGTGTATACAGTGCCATAGAAACCCCCTGTAGCGTCGCAGCAATAACCAGCGACCATTTTCGACCGATCAGTGGTAACTGGATGGAAAACAGTGCAATTACAGCACCTATGATTCCAGGTAGATAAATGTAAATGTATTGGAGGTATGTCTCTGTGACATTGCCGCCACTTTCCACGTTGTTACGTAGCAGGATGATAGGGAGGAAAGATCCGGCTAACGTAAAAGACCAGTAGTCACCCTGTTTTTGTCAATAGGTTTACATTGAGACTCTATGAAAGGACTCACCATATATGCAACGGCGAGCAGGGTAAAGCTGAAGCACTCGGCTTTGCAGGCAAAGAGACCGCGTAAGTGTTTGAAAATCTTAAAGAAGCCAAGAGCAACGTTTTTTGGGGACTTGGACTTGATGGAGCCCGACTCAGAGCCCGTGTCAGAGTTTATTCGCTGGAAATCCTCTATCGTAAGTGTCGGCGCTGGAGCTTTATTGAATTTGGCGATTTTCCGAAGCACGTCGATGGCATCTTGGTCTCGGCCCTTGCTGATCAGGAACTTGGGCGACTCGTGGAACCGGAAAATAAGACAACGAACGAAAAAAACGACAAAAGTGATCATCCCGATAGCTATAACTTCGTAGCGCCAGCCCATGTTACTGGATACCGAGCAACAGCTTTCACCAGGACTGACACCAGCGGCATTACATGCTGGTAGCTTCACGTCACATCTGTATTTTGCAGCTGTGCCGTACGATATGGCTGATGCGACAACGACACCTATTGGTTGCCAGATGCCTAGCAATGCAACAAGGAAGCGGCGGTTCTGGGGGAGGAATTCGAGCGCGATGGCCGCATCAATGGGGATGTTTCCCCCAAGACCAACAGATGAGAGAAAATATATCCCGCAGATTGCAGCGTAATTGTACTTGACCGCAGCCTAGAAATGTCAGTCTCGATCTCCGACATCAAAACATAGTCAAATGTGTACCAGAAGTATGCCAAAAACCGAAGTGATCAGACAAGTCAAGTTGAAGGCCCACTTGCGACCAATAATGTCCGTTAAAATACCAAAGGAGAAAGCCCCAATTCTGGTCCATTAGCATGGAAAAAGATTGCCACCGGGGTAGAGAGGTGTTTTCGAGACAACTCACGCAAGACCTGCGTTGGAGCAGGAAAAAATCAAGCCCTGCCTACTTGGCGGTACATCCATTTCTTGACTATTGCCATGGTGTTAACGGATGTACCCTTGAATTAGCTGCATTACTTACAAAACCGCGGTTACCATCAGTCCTACACCCTGAGTCCAAGCAAGGTCAAGGAAATATCCAAATCCACAAAGCACCCAAATACATTGTTGATATTTGCCAAAGCCGAATTTATCAATCTCCCTATATTTGTTAGCATTTCCCTACCCAGTGCTTTGATCATCGATCACATACGCATTCACAAGTGCAGCTTTGCGCTCAAAAGGCGTAGCTTGGTGTGTGGCAGTTCCCTCAATAATGTCTCCGAATGAGATATGGCCCTCGGAAGAACTCACATCTGCCTCGGCGGGGCTTCTCTCTCCACTGTCCTCTGCAAGGGCAATTTTAGCCTTGCCAGTTTTTGAAACCGACATTGTACCTGGAATGTGTGTGTGCGTTGCTCAAAGAGAGTCAAATGATGCTTAAGGGTTTGGTTCTACAGAAACGCTAATCTACTAAACATGCATGGACGTTGGCTGCTAGGCCTGTCCGCTTCGGGGCAGCTCAACCGATAGATGGTAGGAGGTCTTTTGATCAGTCAAACCGGTTCTTGGGCAGAATTCCTTGGATAATCTGCAGAGCTGCTCTCTTTTTTGCAAAATAAGCGCTGCAAACGGAACGTGCAGGGCCTAGATTTGCGAGAGGTTTGTGTCCAATGACACGTGTGGACGTTGTAAACCATTCGATCGGATGGAACTGTGGGCAATTTAAATTTTCTCGATCTGGATCAGAGCAATCAGTGCTGTTGCGCCTCCGCTGTTCATAGTGGAGGCTGTCAGGGAACCTTCAGGGCTTGGCACGGATCAGATTGGCGGGTGACGATCCCGAGACCTCTGATTGGTCGATCGGGAAGTAGATAGAGGGGCAACCTTGGAACGAGAGTGACGTTAGTATGAAACGGCAAATGTTCTACTCCGCAATCAATTACTCCATATACATTCCCGCAATTTTAGAATGAGAGATATCTGGCCCCCAAGTCAAAAATTGGATATCATATTGAGAAATACACAAAGGAGCTAGGAGTGGCATAGCGTAGCTGCAGAGGCAAGGGGTAAACCTGTTTGAAATGATTATGCTAGTGCAGGGTGTAGACTCCTTTCACCGGTTCAGCATTCGAACATCTTGGTCGTGCTAACATTGACCCGACTCCACTCCTTGCCTCTCACCAGACTGTCGCAGAATCGAATCGGCCAGTAAACATGATACAACACGAAGAACGGCCAGGGGTCCGACATCTCGAAGGTGCTCTCCTGCCAATATATCAAATGATGACAGAATGTCTGGATATCTTTTTTCGTGTCCTCCAAATTTCCTTTCCCGCAAAGCAACGCAAAGAGAGGAAGAAGTAGAAGGGTAACTAAATCATGCCCAATCCAGTAGTAGCCACATATAGGCTGCTTTGGTGTGACGACCGGCTGGGTAGAATCCGGTGAGTCAAAGCAAGAGAGATACGCATTAGCCATCTGTGCTGTGTCTTGAAACAACACGACTGCCGTATGCGCACGCGGATTGCATTCGATAGGATAGAGATTCTCGCCTTCAGCAATGAAATCAAAACTCAGGTGACCATTGAAGTTCTCTCCTTCATTCTGCGCAACTCGCTCGGTGAACTCGAACATATTTTTGTGCAGAGCCGAGTCTTTGGGGAGGGCCTCGTAATGCATAAGCATGTCGGATGAAGGACACGAAACAAAAGCTTTCACTTTGCCGTGGATGACCAAGGAGTGTGTACAATACTCCGGGCCGCTGATGAACTGCTGCAGAATGAAGGGATTTGACGGAGAAATGCCCAGCGAGGACAGATAAGACGTGGTTTGGGATTCTTGATCTCGGGAGAAAGGTAGCAGTGTCATCATCTGTGCCCTCGCTCTATCATCCACTCCGATCGGCTTCAGAATGAATTTTTTAGAGTCTTTCAGCACCTCGTTTTGCATTGAGGTAGCATGCAGTAAAGACTCGACCTGTGAGATAGATGTATAGCGATGTGACTCTGGGATAAGCAGTCCAAGACTATTGATGTAGTCTGCTAGCGTATCTTTTTCATGTAGTTTGGATACAGCTTCATCATCAAATTGGACAGCCTTGAATCCATCTCCCAAGGCTTTTTTAGCTTTCTTCATCACCTCCCCATCTTCAACTGCTCCAACAACACTGCTGCAACTGATCCAGAGATCTACTCCTTCTGATTTGAGGACATGAAGCAAAGATTTGATGTAAGGATCTGGGTTTCCATTTCGCGGCGTATCAAGACAATGAAATTTGGCGACAGAGCGGGAGTAGCGACCCGGCGAAGTGAGCCATACAGGCTCTGTGTCAGCGGATATTATATGGTGAGTGGTATTTTTAGCAAGTAGTCGGGCGATAGTTAGGCCCTTGGTCATGGAAACTCCAGTCACCAAGATAGTCTTCCGACGAAGACCGAGGCGTCTTGCATCAGGGTTTTTATTCTTGTACCCAAATCCAAAAATAGAAGAAAGAAGAGCCAATGCTGCAGTCAATGGGAAACAGAGAAAGCTGAGCAGTAGTAGAAGTGTATTCTTTGGGGCATGGGTGAAGGCAAGAGGCTCGGAAGGTTTCATGGTGCGGCACAATGCAAGTGTCAGAGCGGGAAGATGTGAACTTCGGGCTATGCAATGGGCAATTCTGATTCTAAATGGAATACTAAATGCAAACGGAATAATAATTGCGACTTGCGACTTGAAATTGAAATTGAAATTGAAATTGAAATTGAAATTGAAATTGAACCACGTCATCTTGACAGCCCAACAGGAAATAAATCATTGAACATGCAATCGATCGATCGCGATCTAGGTTGAGCAAATCAAGGAACCAAATACATGAAATTGCAAATGCTCGGGCTCTCTTTCTTTTAGAGAAGCTACTCGAGCTCCCCTGTGCAGCGGGTGATTTCAACGCCATCCTATCCGTGAGTTAGCACTTAATATTTCACATGGTAGAATAACCTTACCAGCACGCCAGTGGGCTCAAAGCTGTTAATCAACTTGCTCTCGTACACGAGATTTGGATTACCGGGGCTCTGGTTGAATTGCATCTCCCCGTACCGCTTCTTGTACTGATCAACAGTCTTGCCCGGAATTCCTTTGCTCTTTACGTGCTCCCCGAAGTTCTCTTTCTTCTCCTCCACGGTTCTTCTCACATACTCAAGATAAGGGGGATTTCCAGGTTTGATGACATTGTCAGCAGCCATAACGGACCCCGGAGTGATTAACTTGAGCTCCTCGCATAGCTTCAAATCAGTCGTGTAGGCCGGTTTGTAATGATCGAGAAACATGAGATCAATATGATCAAGTTGGCCTTCGGAAACCAATCGCACAATGGAAGCATCACTTGCGCCAACTATGACTTTGACGATATCTCCAAGACCAGCGAGATCAACCAAAGACATGATAACTGCGGCAAACTCCGGGTTCATCTCGAGACTGAGATAACGCTGACCACCTGCTTTGCGAACCGCATTGCCGAAAAGTATGCACGAGTAACCGACATAGCCTCCTAGTTCGACCTAAATAATCGTGGTGAGTTGATATAAAAGATGTTTGGTCAGAGCGGCGAACAAACCATCACTTTAGGCTTCACTTCCTTGATGAGATTTGATACTATGTGGCCTTTGTCTTCGCCAACATTCATCAAGTATTTTTTCGTTCGTCCGAATTCATCAATGGCCTCGAGAACCTTTTCCGGGGATCCGCGGATGTCTGCCAGATGGGGATGCGAGTAGACGAAATGCAAAAGCTCAATTTCACGGCCATCGTCGAAGAAAGCCGCCCCATCTTCTTGCGGCGCATATGCCTTTTCTTGATTGAAGTTGGTCATGGCTGAAAGTGCACCCAGTGTTGTCTAGTAGACAGAGATAGAGAAAACAGAGCAGTAAGGTGTTGGTAGAGTAAGCTCCCAAAATTTCTGATCATGCACAAAAGCTTTTCCTATTGCAAGTCGAAAAATACCTCACACTTGGCTCACTGATATGGCGGGGAAGTCTAGTTCGAGCAAAGACCGTCGATCGGGACGCCGATTTTAGATTCAATTTGACCTCCAAAAGGACGAGGCAGGAAACACGTATGATACTACGTGTCAATGACCGGAACACTAGACGGAGCAGGTTTCCAGAGAAGTCCGACTTCAGCTCCGTAAAGTTGATCGGACCAGACTGTTAGTTGCGTGGTCGTGCAGAGCTGCAGTGGCCGATCTTCTCACAACACCCTGTTTTCAGCGGATACTCCCCCTTTGCGCTTAAACATCCGATCGATTTCGAGAAAATAGCGGAGAACAGATTTTTTTGCGGGAGATCGGTATAGAGATCGGATCATTGGGGTCTGATATGACCTCATTACGTGGAATCTGGAAGGCTATTTGAACAAGGCCCAGGCTTCCTCAATTCTCACCCTTCGTTTTCGTATTTTGCACAGCTCTAACATAGCTCCAGCATTGAAGCTCCCCAGTTGGGCTTCACTGTTTCATTCGTTCGCCTTGTTGTATTGACCCGCTAACCCAACCCTACAGGATCCATGGACTTGCAGCTGTGCTGCAGGTTTTCGTCTGATCCTATGAATTGCGCCTTTTGGTGCCTTGGTTTTTCAATGTGAGTCTAATCTGTCAACGACAAATTCGCATACTTGGCATCTACAATGCAGTATTTGCTGACTTTGGGGTCGTTTGACCTCTGGACTACGGCATAGTGACTTCAAGTGACGTGTCCATACTATCAGCACTCGCACGCCTTTGTGAACCAGAAATCGATCATATAAACCGTGATATCTCTTGCTAATTTTTCCGGATATCAAAGTGCCTCTTTATCTCTCTCTCTTTCTCTCTCTTTCTCTCTCTCGGCTTTTCTATCCTTTCCACTCTCGCCAGACTTGTCCATCATGTCTGACCTCAAGGCTACGGTAGCTGAAACCACGAACGGCTTTCATGTCGAAGGGTATGAGAAGATCGAGTATGACTTCACCTTCCTTGATGGCGTCTTTGAGCTCCCAAATTTGGAGCTAGCAAATTTGTATGAGAAATGGGGCCGTTGCTTGGCCATCATGGACCGAAACATCTATGAGCTATATGGAAATAAGATGAAAAAATATTTTGAGCGCCATGATCTTGAACTGAAGATTCACCAGACAATGATTGGAGAAAAGGCCAAGTCCTTGGATACCTTCACCAATATTGTGGACTCAATGACCGATTTTGGTATCATCCGCAAGGAGCCTGTCTTGGTTGTGGTATGTTTTGTGCGCAATAACAACGCGAACGCCTACTGACGCACAATAGGGTGGAGGCCTTGTCACCGACGTCGCCGGGTAATATCGCCCCTTGAGGTTAACAGTTGCATGGGGGATCTAACGTTTCTGATAGATTTGCTTGCGCCGCTTATCGCCGCAACACCAACTACATTCGTATCCCGACAACAGTCATTGGTCTGATTGACGCCAGTGTCAGCATCAAAGTTGCCGTCAATTACGGTAACTACAAGAACCGACTCGGTGCCTACCATGCACCTGCACATACACTCCTTGACTTTGGGTTCCTGAGGACTCTACCAGAGGCTCAAGTTCGCAATGGCTTTGCCGAGCTCATCAAGATCTCGAGCTGTGCTCACTTGCCGACATTCAATCTGCTAGATGAGTTCTGTGAGCGACTTATGAAGACCAAGTTTGGACGCTCCTCCGATCAAGACGGGGAGATCAAGAAAGCTGCCGATGAGATCAACCGGAATGGAATCTTTGAGATGCTGAAGTTGGAAACACCGAACTTACACGAGATCGGCCTTGACCGAGTCATTGCATATGGTCATACCTGGTCCCCCCTTCACGAGGTTAGTACACCCATTCACCGTGAACTCTCTTCTAACTTGGTTCCAGCTTGCACCACCAGTTCCTCTGCGCCATGGTCATGCCATCTCAATAGACATGGCCTACTCTGCAACTCTGGCAAATGACCGTGGTCTTCTTAGCGATGAAGAACATCGAAGATTGCTGGCTCTCTTTTCTCGCGCAGGCCTCTCCATGGATCATGAGCTATTCAACGAGGAAATCCTTGATAAAGCCACACAGGCCATTTTGAAAACTCGAGATGGACTACTGCGTGCAGCTGTACCAAGCCCATTGGGTAGCTGCGAGTTCTTGAATGACGTTTCTGAAGGAGAAATGACCCAAGCGCTCCGTCGCCACAAAGAGCTAATGAAAGAGTATCCACGTCAGGGTGCTGGGATTGAGGCCTATGTGGATTCCAGTGATACTGGATACACTATCAACCAGTCCCAAGATGCCCTTCCAATGCAAGCGCAGGCCTCCAGTGCGGAGGTATCAAAGAAATATGGCCTCAACAATGGAGTCCTCCATGGACTGAAAGAGTTGGCTATCAACGGCCACACGCCTGGTCTTCCTACAATTGAGCAGAGATAATCCAGTAATCACATACGCACAATTTTACACGGATATTCGTAGTTTGCTCAACTGAATTTCAATTCCTCACTTCGTCTCTTCTACATACTTTCCCTAGTATCCGTCGTTTCAAAATGGCCCCACGCCCTGACTCTTACTACAGCCCAGAAGCCACTGGAGGGGCTAAGGTGCTGGTTGATCTACACCAATCCGGGCAACCACTGAAACTGTATGCCCGATGGTTTTGTCCGTATGCAGCCTCGTCCCGTTACACATCAGAGCAAAGCTAACGCATACAGATTTGGTACGTGCTTGGTCAAATCCCTCGGTCATGTCCACACTAACAGCTCAGTACAACAAGTCTGGCTAGCCCTTGAAGAGAAGAACATTCCGTATCAATACATCGAGGTCACCCCATCCGAAGATTCAAATCCACCTCCAGATCTGGGTCTCCGAATTCTACTCCCAACTCCCTCGGTTCCATATTCATTGTTGCCTGGGTGGGGGTCTGACACAATTTTTCGATACCTGGACAACACATACCCAGATCACCAGCCGCTGATCCTGTCACAGAGTCCTTGGGAACGCCGTGAAATCCAAATCTGGATCGACTACGTGAAAGATCAAATCATTCCCTCTTTTCACAGGTTCTTGCAGTGCCAATCCGCAGGCGCGGATGATGCAGAGGCGAGTTTGGATCGAGCCCGGCAAAATTTCTTGAATCACCTCAAAGTCTGGACGTGTGCGATGCATCCTCAGGGTCCATTCTTCCTCGGCGAGAGTGTCAGTGCCCCTGATTTAATGCTAGCTCCTTGGGCAATACGGTTGTGGGTGTTCGATGTGTTTAAGGGTGGGTTGGAATCCCGGATGGCCCTGGTGGACCTGATGGGTTTAATTGGGAGAGATGGGCAACCTGGCTAGATGCTGTTGAGAGCATGAAGAGCATTCAGGAAACAACCAGCGACCCTAGGGAATATTTTCCGATATACAGGAGTTTTGCTGATGGCCAGGGCGAACTGGCCAAGGTGATACGGGCTGGTCATGGAATTTCATGAGCCATATTTTCCCCCAATCTTGCTTATTTCCAATTTTACATATTTTCAACCTTGGAACATACTTAATATTTGTAATCACATTTTGTTTGCATGAAAGTAGGGGGTGAAGTGAAGGTAGGCGTACATAGTGTACTTCGGATCGGGAAAACATGTATCCGACATGACATCGCACGTGATGATATCAATTCAACCACTTTACTGCTCACCTTGATTTCACAACTTTCGGGGCACGTCGCTTGATTTTGCAATCAGGTGCATCGAAAACCTATTCTGGCAAAGAGATGTCATACAATATGGAGGGCGAATCGCCCCGAGGCGGCGCAATGCGCGAACAGGGTTTCCCAGCCATCCATCCATCTTTTATACAGGTGGCCAACCCATACATATTTGAGCAAACGGTTGAGAACTGCATTGAGTCGATGGGAGTCAAACCACCTCGTGAGACCTCATCGCGTCTCCAGGGCGTGGCGTGGCTCGATGAGGTACGGAGAGCATTGAACTTGTGAGTTGAATCCAAGCAAGGCGGTCCTGAAAATGTACGAAAGCCTTACTGATCAAATAGGCCCATTCGCACATTTGATACTGCCGTTGGTTATTACCATCGGTTCCGTTTGGTGCATCCAGACAATGAGTATAACTTCACAGTCAGCCTACCTCGTCTCTCAAGTGAAGTGACCTATGCTGAATCGGCGACAGGATGCTGCGGCTGCTGCATTATTCACAGCGTGCAAGATTGAAGATACGCTCAAAAAGTCGCGTGACATTGTATGCGCCGCATATAACCTGAAGGTATCCCCTTCAGAGCAATTATCGGCAGATGATCCAGTGAGTTGTGATGATGCAGGCATCAATGCTGAGTCTAAGTCTGACATGATTCTCAGATGTTTGAGGCAAATGCACGAGGGATTATCGGTCTTGAACGACTCATGCTCGAAGCCTCTGGTTTTGATTTCCGCACTCGACACCCGCAAAAAACACTCATGAAATTGAGCCGGCATTACGGACTTCCCCGTGATTCCGAAGTGGCCAACCTTGCCTATCGAATCTCGGCGGATCTTTACCGCACATTTGCCCCTATCAAACAGGGCTCGTCAGCAATGGCTTTCGGCTGTCTCGAGCTTGCAGGTCGACTGTTAGACCAGCGAGCTCAACAGGTCGAGTCCGGCCAGGACTATCCCCAATGGAGCACAAGCCGTGCAGAAGTAATGGGTTAGTATATGTGGGTTAATCAAAGACCAACATGCTGACATCTACAGAAACTCTTTTCGATCTACTAGAGCTCTACACACACCACCGCTCACATACAACTGTCGGGTCCGAATTCCCTGCAGACAGGTTCCTAACCGTCCGCATCCCCTTGAACCAAGAGGCTAGCGAGCAGCGTATCCCGCGATACGATGTTTGGGTTCATCAGCCACAAAAACCATCCAATGGTGCGGCAGGGGGAGCCCAAGACCCGCCTAGAATCGCACACCCACTGACACCCATTGCGGCGAATGGGGAGAGTCAGAAGACTAGCGAAAGAGGCCGCGATGCAGCAGTGCGGTTTATGCTTGATCCCGCATGCGCGGACGAAGAGAAACGAGAAGTCGCGCGCTACTTCAATGTTGAAATGGAAGAATATGAAGTTGAGCAGTGACGACACTTACCGGATCTGTTTTGCTCAACGACACTGAAGTCAATAGGCTTGCTGAGGTGTTTGTTGCAAATTTCCGGGCGATCGGGCAGTTCTGTTTTCTCCGCTCTCAATCAGTTGCAACTGTTGAGTCCGGAGAACTGCTCGTTGAAAACCACCCATTACCCGATACCCCCAAATATCTATGATCCGAGACGAAATATCGATACATAGATGCAAATGAAACCCCATTGATGACCAAAGACATCACTACCCTAAATTGCTACGTAATGCGAAAGTTTTACGGCAAGCAAACCAGCCTCAACATTCGGATTGAAAGCTATGTACAAGTCCTCAATCTGCCCGGTCACTCGTTTGAAACGAAGCCAAAATTGGACCGCCAGGTAGGAGAAACCAGGAAACGACCACCCTATTCACACAAGGGCAAACTCTGTCCCAACACAAATTAAACAAAGCTCCAGGTCGAATTGACCGAGCACCGCAAGTCATCAATGGCAAATAGATTAGTCCAGGGTCTGGCACAATCAGCAAGAAGAAAGAGAGAGAAAAGAGTACTGGACAAAAAGGTACAGAAACATCCGTAAATTAGACGAAGACGTGGTCATCCCCGTGCCTCTCGGGTGTGGAGGTTGGAGGACACCGGATCATGGTGCTTGCCATGTTTTTGGATGCCGTGTTGAAAGGCGGGAAAGGCGAGGTACATGATGCATGCAGTCTGCATGCATATTAGGCAGGTGAAAGAAGATCGGAGACGGAAGATCGACAGGGCAGGTCCATGGGAGGAGAGTTGGGGAAGCACGGGGTTGAAAAGCCATTGTCCTCGGAATAGAATTGATGAAGAGTGTCATAAATGTAGGGGAGATTTTCTGTCAAGCCGGACTGGTCGAGGTTCATCGGCGCTTAAGCTCGGTGGCCAGACATTCCAGAATCTAGAACGCGTTAGTAAGCTCTCGAGTTAAGAGACCTAGTAGAAACATACCGACTCTGAGGCTGCACCCTGGTTGTACAAGTACTTGCCCAAGCCACGGACAACCTCGAACTGCTCGTCAACAGTAAGACCGTTGATTGCAGTTTCAATGATGTCGCCCACGCTAGCCTTGTAGACAGCGATGAAGCTGTGGTAGTACATGAAGGAAAAGAAACCCATGATGAACTGGCAGTCCATGCGGTCGGTGATACCACCGTGACCGGGAATGGACTCGCCGAAGTCCTTAATCTTGAAGGTACGCTTCAAGCCGGATGCGAAGAAACCACCGAACGGAGCAATCAGGGAGGCAAAAGTAGCGAAAGCCAAAATGTGGAACTGGATGGGCTCCATGTAGAAAGTCTGGTCCAGGCCAAACAGCTCAAGGGAGTAGGGTTGAGAAGTGAAGACTGCGTTTGGCACACATTCCAAACCGGTGAGGGCGTTTGCGCCCAAGTCGTTCACGGGACAGATGAAGTACTTGTACTGCATAAGGAACTTGGTCATGAAATAACCAAAACCAACAGTGCAGACCCACGCGCCCACGAAACCCTCGACGGTCTTCTTCGGGGAGAGTTGAATCAGCTGTGTGCGTCCAAAGGTAATTCCGCAGACGTAGGCGAAGATGTCGTTCGTGATGACCAGTGCAGCCGGGAGGAAGAACCAGATCATGCCCTCGAAGATGTTGTTCATCACAAAGTGAGCTTGAACAACAATCAGGTACAAAGCCATGTGGGTCCAGGCGAACTGGGTGAACTGGAATCGGTAGTGGCCCTTTTGCAAGGATCCGACAAAGAACACGAAACCTACAGAACAACGTTAGCAGAGGTCAATGAGGAAAGGCCGGGGTACTGACCCATGACGTAAAGGGTGAAACTGATGAATCGGTGGTGGTTGGCAAGTGGCAGTAACACCTTGTCAACCAACAGGATGTGCTTGAAGTAGTAAATGACGCTCTCTCCGTACAAAAAGTACATTGTCGTCGCCAGAAAGTACCAATTCAACGATTTGGTGAAACGCAGGTTCTTCTCCTTATTAGGGATATTGGCGATGGCGATAACTTCCTTGAAGGAGATGATCTGGATTCCGGTAATGAGAGCGATGATATAGATGTGCCCAGAGAACAACGCGACGAAGAAACCGGCGATCATTACGAAGGTCCATATCGTCCGGGTGATGAAGGTCTGCTTCTTCTTCTCGTATTCGGACTGAGGCGGCTTCTATATATCAATATCGCGTTAGAAATGTATTCCGAGTGCGTTCAGAGCTACTACCGACCTCTTCCACTATTGTTGCGGGTTTGGGGCCGTTGCCATTCTTGCTGGGGCTCGCGGGCTCTGAAGGGGCGTCGCTGACGTCGGAGGAAACGCTCAGGCGGCGCTCGCCATTGTTCCGGCGTGTAAACCTGACATTACGGCGAGTTTTCGACATGGTGAAATTAGGGGGTGCCAGAAATCAAATTCTGGGAAAGGGAGAGTGGGAGAGGAGAAGATCGTCGAAGGTTGGTGAGTTCATGCGAATCGCGAAAGCGGTGTGTATGTTTTTTTGGACTCAATTTCGATAGATCGAAGGATTTGAAGAAGAACTAATTCTGACAGTATTCGAGAGTCTCTTGGGCTGAATGGTTGGGCTTTTGGTTGCATAGAAATCAAAATTACATGTGTTGTGTTTGGTTGGAACCCCCTGCAGACCTCTCTGACCTCGGATGATCAACCACCACTACTTCATGGCGGGGGCATGGACGACGACGATTACGGCTCCGACGAGTTCGACTCCCTCCCAGCAGGTACGCTGTATGAGCTCGAGCAGAATGCCTTTCAAGCAACGCAGGTCCAAGCAACCCAGGCCTCAGCACGCCCGGTGAATCCCGTTCTGCCAACGCAACCTACCCAGCCATCATTCAACGGAGCCTTAAAACCGCCTCGTCTACACACTGGACTGACCAATGACTACAACACGCTTGAGGTCGGGGAACTCGAAGCCGATGTCTACGACAATGTCGGAGGACAAAACCTGGTTTCGCGTACCCATGGGCTCGAAGCAGGTCAAACATGGGCTGCGCAAGGGCCGCTAGGCGATGCAATGGAGGTGGACGAATATTCTGGTCAGGCGAATATGGCAGATATCAATGCGCGACTGCTTCAGGTAGGCTCTTGAGCCCGCTGGTGTATTTGTTGATCAGCACTGACAGCACCTGCAGATGGAACAAGAACGAGAGCAGATGATCTGCGAGCTGGCCGAGGCAAAGATGCAGGTGGAAACAAAGACGGGGGAAATCTCGATCATTAGGAGGAAACAGGCGACAATGACACAAGACTACGACCGGCAGCTAGCTACTCTTCGGAAATCTATGGCTGATGAGATGGCGAAGCACAAGCAAGAGGTCGAAACAGCGATGTCTGAAGGCAAGGTCTTGGCGACAGAGAACGTCTTCCTTCAGCAAGAGCTTGCTGATGAAGCCTATCAACATCGCAATTTCAAATCAAAGCAGCGGGCTGACAAGCCAGCTCCGGAGACCCCTCGCAAATCCCGAGCGCTCCCTTTCCGAGATGGGTTCGACGACGATGAGATTGCCATGGTATCGCCCAGCAAATCTGCAGCACGCTCTAAACGTGCTACGCCGACGGTTCCTGGTAAACGAAAACGGCAACTTAGTCAAGATGGCGCAGTGCCTTTGCAATTAAGTCCCGCTGGTGGTGACCTCGTCATGGTCGATGCTTCTGCGGACATGTCTGAGGTTGCCGAAGTGAAGCGCAAGGCTGCAGAATCTAGCCGTCACCAGCAGTTTATGATGCGACTTTTGAGCCATCGCCCCATCGTAGGCGAGGAGACTGATTTCGAGGCCATGGTCAAGCTTGCATTTCCTACGGAACCGCACAACCCGATGTCAAGCATCATTATGGATGCTATGATTCATGTGGACCCAAGCAACTACATACTAGAATATACTCTAACGATTGCCTCTCTGTGGCAGCGTGCTATCAACGAGAAATTCTACGAACCGATCCCCCGATTCGAGGCTATTATACGATATAGCTTGATGTCAGATGACACTCCACTCCCAGAGCTCATCACACCTCTAGTTTGTGTCCTACAAGACTCTGTGGAAATCAATGCGGTTCCTCGTTTCAAATATGCCCCAGCATCCCGAGACAAACGGGTCACTCGCCAGACCCCACAATCAGATCTACAACCTCTAGTCGACTCAACGGGGGCCATGCGTCTCCTTTACCAAATCGCCTGCGGGGTATTGCATGTCCGGAGTGCAATGGAAACATACTGGCACAATATCCGAATATCCTTCATCCTTGTGATGCTGCACCCGTCCCATCCACTCGGTGACATCGTTCTCCTCATGAACATCCTCTCAACAAGCATCCGGTCCAACACCTTTGGGCCAATCCGATCTTCCGACCAGGACCAGCTAGACGTTCAAAAATGGATCGTGGATCGTCTTACTCACATGCTCAGCGAACCAGCCATTCCTGATGAAGGCGTTGATCCATACACTCCATATGACATTTGCGCAATGCGACTCGAAGTTCTGCTACTACTCGAATCCCTGGCGTTCAATCCCATGGCTCCATCCCAGGGCCAGGGACACGCAAGTACCATCCTGGCATTGCACCCAAACGCACTGGCGCGCTTGTTCAGATCTCTTCATGACGAGCTGGACGCATTATACTCTTCACCGCCCGAAGCGGACCTGCGTGTTGCTTTGGTCAATGGGCTAATGCGGCTGATCTTCGGGGTCATGCGACAGCATGGATCTTCAATTAACATGCAAGAGAAGCTAGCTTGTGTCCCGGGCAGCAAACAGAAGCATCTCGTGGTCTTGACTCGGTTGGCATTCTGTGATGGGACAGTACTTGAAGCTGGAATTGATGATGAGACGGTTGATATGGCCCACGAACTGCTCGAGGAATGGACGAATCCCCAGGAAGCAGATTCGTTGGCAGAGGTATTTTCAAGTTCAAGGAGAGAGTGAGGGTTTCACACTGTATGACTTTTGCATATTCAACTGGCGTAATGTTCTATCTGGGCTACAATTAAAATGGGCATAATAAATAATGAGAAAGTATGACAAAATATGACAAAATATGACAAAATATGACAAAATATGACAAAATACGTATCGGGAGGTTCTACCACGCATTGAGCTGGAGGTGAAGATCGAGATGAGTTTCACTGGCCGGGGGGATGAGACTCTTTGTAACCAGTCCAAGGTTGCAGAATTACCCCTGACACACTCACTATATGAATCAATACTGAAAACAATATCTTTGGGGTTGAGAGAGATAATAGGCGGATGGTGAAGTGAAACCTTCGATGGTATGCGGAATGTGGAGCATGTGGTGTAAAGTAAGAGTTGCTTGCGGATCGTGGGATGTTCAAGAATAACTTGAACAACTGGGAGAGACTCTCTCCAAGGTAAGCTAGATATAAGAGCCGTCATGGGCGTCGGAGCGGTGGGGTAACGCTGATAGGAGTGAGGTTGGGGTATGGAGGCCTCATCCAAGTGATGATTGAAGCCCAAATGAAGAGACGCAGGTCGGGAGCAGGGGAATGTGCTGGCATGCTACGCGACGGCGGCAGTGTTTACTTACATGCCGGGGAGGCGGGATTACGGACAGGGTGTTACTGTTTTGGATAGATAGTGACTCTTCTCCAAGCTCGAGCCATTGGCCCAAGGATTGATGAAAAGAAATAGATCCACGAATGGAGAGTGCCAAAGAATACGCCTGTCAATGACCCGAAAGCCATTGAACAAACTGTTCCGCCGCGATGTGCAATGCAGGGACCAATCTGTGGTGAACCGCCTTGATGATCGCAGTCACCCAAACAAGGTAAGTATGAAGAAGAAAAGAAAGAGAGGAAGGCCGGCTGAGGACGAAGGTATTTATTATCGAGGAAACGGCACTAGTGCTAAGCGAGTTTTGAAGACTAGCCAATCATATTCGAGAAGCTGTGGAGTGGGTACTAAATGAAAAGCAAACATTGTAAATCAAGCAAACAGTACAAATAATTTGAGGCCCCCTTATTCAGGCACTCATTTTACATTGGTCACGTGCTCTGAAGTTTTGACATTGCGGCTTGGGCAAGCTAATCCATATTGCCAGGCAGTGTTGAACCTATCCCGTCGCCACAATGAGAAACAGGGCCACTAACACCTTGTCAAAAGGCGTATGTCCTATGTCTCTTCCTCAATGGCTTCCTGAACATGCAAACTAATCCCAGCCACTCCCAGAAAATCCGTCAATCATGGAGCAAATACAACCTGTATAACTTGCAGCAATTCCGCAGCCCGCCCACCACCAACCGCACATTCTTCCAGCAAAAATGGTCTGCAAAGGCTGTCTCTCGCGCCTACCACGGTGAGCAGGTTGGTGAGGGCCAATGGAAGCGTATGTTCAACCATCGCATCCGCAGCGTCATCCCCATGAATACTTCCGACTTGGCTGCCGACGATGGATCTCTCTTCTCATCTGGTCGTGGCTCTGGACTCGACAAGGAAGGAAAGCCTGCTTTCCAGGCCCGTCCGACACCGTACACATCGATGGCCTTCGCACCCCTGGAACGCCGATTGGACGTCGCCATCTTCCGCGCTTTGTTCGCCAGCAGTGCCAGACAGGCCAGGCAGTTTGTCATCCATGGAGCAGTTACTGTGAACGGACAAAAGGTGAGATCTAGCACTTACTATGCACTTACTGGGCGTCTACTGACTTGGATCTTGCTAGATGCGACACCCTAGCTATCTCCTTAACCCCGGTGACCTCTTCCAGGTTGAGCCAGATCGCGTTTTGTTCGCTACCGGTACCCCAAAGACTAAGCTCGAGCGCCGTGAGGGCCGTTTGGCTCAGCGCAAGGAACCCGAGGCCGAAGAGGCCACTGAGGCCGAGCAAGTCGAGGCAGAGCCTACAGAAACCCCGAACACCAAAGAGACCCTTAAGGGTCTGTTATCTCAAGCCAAGACTATCATGTCCACCGACAAGGACACCCTCCCCGCCAAGCGCAAGCAAGAACTTCGTGGCTTCCAAAAGGCCGTTCGCCGCGTCCTATCCCGATCCGAGTCCTCCAACGTCCTCACAGACAATCTGGAGGCACAATTCTCGCAGTTGACGCTCCTGCTTAACGCCAAGCGCAGCGAAAAGAAGCAACCCAAGGATACCAAGAAAGACAAGCAACTCAGCGAAGAGGAAACCCCTGCCACGGATGCCGCCACGGATGCTGCCGCCAGCGACAAGCTTTCCGAGGCCTTCGCGCAAGCCACTCTTGGTGAAGAGGTGGACGCTTCCGAGCTCAGCGACGAAGAATTCGACACCCTCAGGCGTGCTCTTACTCAAATGCGCGACAACCCCATCGACAACACCAAGCCCTACGCTACTCCCTGGCGGCCACGTGATTATATGTCTGCTTTCGCCTTCATTCCTCGTTACCTCGAAGTCAACCAGAACATCTGTGCGGCCGTTTACCTGCGTCATCCTGTGGCGCGCCCGGGCTCTGCGGAGGTTCCTACTCCCTTTGGTGAGTCCATTGCGACCCCGGCATACGGCTGGTACTTGAGGAGACGGTGGTAGACAGGTATGTGGCTCATAGGCCAGATATCTTGTTCTGCTTACGCTTTTCCCTTGTCTCATGTACTACCCTAAACTATCTCCCTAAATTCCCACCTCTGTATTAGTGGGCTCTTGGATTCGCCTGCATATTTCTGGATCATGTTGACCATGGTGTTGGTTCTCGTTTTGCTTGCCTTGAGACTTTTTGTGTCTCCCCTGTACCACCATAGCCATTACGTGTTTTAAATGGATATATTCGATATGACTTGTTCCCTTCTTCTAAAGCTCTGCTCCACAATATAGAGGTAGTTGTACTTAAGTACCTTTCTTGTGCATCTTAGCGTTGTCCTGATCGATGGGCCGTGGGTACTTTGGTTTCCATTTTTTGTAGACTACGGGAACAGAATATATCTTCTGAGTTCTGAAGTTGAACACCATTTTCCAACCTCCAGATTACCTCAAATTGAAGAAAGATCCGATCAGAAATCTTCAATAGACCACTAGAGCAAGATATTAGTCAAAAAACGTTAGAATAGACACTCGCGGAATACTCAACATTGGAAGTAGCAGCCCCGATGCTCGAGTGGTCTGGAATATCAAACCAGCACGGACCACCCCCAAAACCTCCCATGTGAATTCGACCACAGCTCTTCTATCCCCACAGATCGACACGTTCTGTGCTTGTCCTTAATGATATACATGATGCATTGAAAACTACAATTGCTCAGCATTGGTAGCTTCCAAGGTTGCTACTCTTCAGCTGCCCTGATGCCGCACACCCACCACACCCACCCCGAATACAGCCATACATACCGCCCGAACGCGCACACTTTCTCAGCGCTACCACCAGGCCTTGGCTCCGGATATTCTCCAGCATCCGAGGCGGTATCAGCGGTGGTCCAAAATTCACCAGCGAGCGGAACTACAGTAGAGGGCAGCGAAGATACACACGGACGTACTATACCGGGCGGTTCACAAGCGGGCCTTCTCACAGACGATCTATACTATGCGCCAATGCCGGTGGGAGGGCAAAACCCTGGTGATGGCTCTGTGCTGATGCCGACACCCACACGAGGCACAAAACGCAGTCATGAAACCACTGAAGACGATTCCTCACGGCAACACCGACGCCTCACCACCAAAGAAGAAGTAGCCCTCTTTGATATCTGCAATCAACACGCAGACACTTTTGGCAGCCGCAGCAATCTATGCAAATGGTGGCAGTCCGTCGCCACAGAATTCCAACGCACCCACCATGGTCGTTCTTATTCATGGCACTCAGTGCGGCGCAAGGTCGAAGTAGTCACTAGACAGCGGATCAAATTCCTCGAAGATCAGCGCAACCGTACGACAAATGCCCCAAGCTCAGCAGCCGAGGAACTGATGAATCCGCAATGGCTCGCAGCCGTCGACGCCTGGATCCCCACCTGGCAGCGATGGGAGGAATCAGAAAACCGACGGATCGCAAAGCGCGACGAGATCAAGAAGCGGAGACAGCCGCAGCCGTGGCGCGACTCGAAAACCGAAGATTGGAGGAATATGTCAACACCACCTGCTCCTAGTCCCGATATCACAATGCTGGGCATTCTACCCACTGCAAATGACATCCCAGCCAGTCCATCTCCCCCGGCTGCAATCCAACCAGCCCCATTTCTCGACTCGCCTTCGACCCCTGCTTCGGCGTCTACATCACTAAAGCTCCCGCCTGGATTCGAGACTATGTTCTCAAACCCCGTGCAACCACCACCTTCGACTCCATCGGCCCCGCCCGGCGACGGCCGTATGGTCTCGGCCGTTTTGGAAACTCTGGGAAAATTGAATAAGCACCTTGATGCTGCTTCTGTGGGAACTGAACCTAGTCCTGCCACCCCTGTCCTCTCGGCTTTGGTACAGGCTGCTTCCGAGACGCCGAGTCAGAGTAGAAGATCTCCTCGACCGGCGCAACTGGAAATGCAATCTCATCTTACGCATGGGGACATCGAGCGGATGAAAGAGGAGCTGAGACAGGAAATGCAGGGTCAGTTTCGACGAGAATTGGAGAGGAGTCGAGCGGCTATGGAGGAGAAGTTGGATTCTGTGCAGCAGACTCAGGAGATGATTCTTGAGATGTTGAGACAGGAACCTGGGAGATAAAAGTTGGGCATGTTGATTGTTTTGCTTGTACTTGTGCTTTCTTTCCGAGATACCCATTATTGAAGCGAAGGCGAACCTTACTTGATACGACTACGGAGTACATTTGTGAAATGCATTTTTTAGACTTGGAACTATTGAACAGACCCGGATATGGTAATTGTTCTCTATTCTAGAACAGAAAACCAAGTAAACAAACATAAGAGAAATAGTCATCGGGCTAAATTACAGATAAATGATAGATAGGGGATTTCTCCAGCCTATCACACAACGATTAAAAGCTCTTTCGAGGACTTCCAACTTCATCACCTCGAGAAAACCGTCTAGTAGTAGAAGGTCTCGTCGACGGTGCGACCACGCATCCACTTGGGCTCGGAACCACGAACGTAGATGTCCTCGAAGAGGATGCGAGAGTTGTTCTCGGGGGCGACCATGGCCTCGGCCTCAGCGACCTCAGCGTCAATGTTGGAGCGGGCGGTCTTGTCGAGAGCCTTGAGCTCCTCCTCGGAGGTAACACCCCACTCGAGCATCTTCTGCTTGAGACCGGCAATGGGGTCGTTGGTGCTGCGCATGCGCTGGATCTCCTCACGGCTACGGTAGGTGGTACCGGGGTCGGACATGGAGTGACCACCGTAACGGTAGGTGACGTACTCGAGGACGAGGGGACCGTTGCCGTTGATGGCGTAGTTCTTAGAGTACTGGACGGCGGCCTTGGTGGCGAGGACGTCCATGCCGTTGACCTTCAGACCGGGAATGTATTGACCACGCTTGTAGTACTCGGTGAGAGCGGAGGAGCGGGAGGCGGAGGTACCCATACCGTACTTGTTGTCTGCAAGGGAAAGTTAGTGGATCGGCGCTAATTGACCAGAGCCAGAAGAATGGAAGTAAACATACTCTCACAACCGAAGAGAACGGGGAGGTTCCACAGCTTGGCCATGTTGAAGGCCTCGAAGACCTGACCCTGGTTGGAGGCACCGTCACCGTAGAGAACGATGGAGGTGTTGGGTTGCTCGTTGTACTGCTGGGCGAAAGCAAGACCGGCGCCGACGGGCACCTGGGCACCGACGATACCGTTACCACCGTAGAAGTTCTCAGCGAACATGTGCATGGAACCACCCTTGCCGTACGCGATACCCTCACGGCGACCGAGAAGCTCACCAATGATGGACTTGACGGTACCACCGCGCATCATAGCGAAACCGTGGCAACGGTAGGCAGTGATGACCTTGTCCATGCGAGTGATGGCATGCTCAATTCCGACAGCGACAGCCTCCTGACCGGTGGACAGATGGCAGAAACCCCGGATCTTCTTCTCCTTGTACAGACGATCGGCGGCCATTTCCATACGTCTAGACGAAATAGTCAGCGTCCAATCCTTCGATTCCAGGCTCTGCTCTCCCAATTCTCGTTGTCGTACCTCATGGCGACCATGTCGTAGTACATCTGCTTCATCTCCTTCTTGGAGGTCTCGAGAGTGTATGAGGGAGGGTCGAGCTCGTAGGTCTCGAAGCTCTCATCGGAGAGACGAACGGTAAAGGGCTTCTCATCTTCCTACAGCAGCGCAAACACAGGTATCAGCATTGAGTGTCCCGAGCTCCCGATGAAGTTTTCCTGTTTTCCGGATAGGGCTCAACAAACCTGCGGGATGGGGGTCTCGACATTGGCGGACGCGGCGTCGGTGGTGACAGTGCGACGGGTGAGAGGAGTGAAGGCATGACGCCTGAGAGGCGCAGCCTGGCGAGCCGCAGTACGGAAGAGCATGTTGTGAGGATTGATGGTAGATGAAGGTGATAAGCGCCTTTTTCCCAACAACTCTCTTCAATTTTCCCGGCTTAGTCATCGACCACCCCTTCCACATCGGGGCCGCCCGGTGAAGCGCTGACCGGCGGAAAGCGCAACCCGGTTTGTTTTCTATACTTCGCTCAGTGCTTTGTTACATGGCCTCCGTTGGGTATTTCCCTCTGCATCTTGTTGCGCATAGATCTGCTTGCAACATATGGAAGAGGCAAGGCTGTACTCCCTACGTTGACCGCCAAGGAGCCCCAATGGATATGTTGAGAGCAATCCATTCTCTACTCTTATACTTCGTACCAAGCCAAACGACTCTTTTCAAAGCCAAGCTGACATACAGAAACGATCTCAAGAGTCAATGAAAAGATTTTTTCTTGAAGAAAAAGAACACCCTTAGTATCCATGTTCTAGCTCATAGTAAGGGAGCAAAGAAGAGAGGGTCGGCACGCATCATGTCAAGTATAAAAACGTCACTGGGGTAAACCCCGAATGGGACGATGGACAGAAAATTAAGAACCGCAAAGGAGTTTGAAGAATGAGACAAATGGGTTCATGTCAAGAGTATAGAGACCAACGAAACCTGGGAAGATGCGGTTTCCCTTCGACGCTCTCTGCTCTTTAATGCCCAATCCTTTTCACTTTGTCTACTCACTTCAAATCTTCTCAATATCTGAATCCATCTTGTTTACTTCCGCCATGATCTCTACATCTACGCACATTCAGATCAAGTCTGTACAGTGCCAAAAAGAGTCGACGCTCTTGCCTTCCACCACCTCGACTCCAACCAAGGGAGTGCACCTTTCGTCTTTTTACCTGGTCGGTCTTACCTAGGTAACCACACTATCACATTCTACTCACACACAGTGCCATAGCCCTAACATCGTGCCAGCCACTCCAATTCCAACCGAGGACACTATGGCCCAGCTCGATCTCGCAGATAGTCTCGCCTCTCCAACTGGCCCCTTCGTGGTATTTGTTGCTCGCTCGAGCAGGTGTCATAACGGCGCAAATATCCATGGACAGAAGCTGTGGCTTCGTGGTACGATTCCACCAGTGGAGGACACTTTCAAGGAGAAATACGGTACCCTCGGCAACAGGCCATATGCCTACTGCCTCTTTGTCCACGGTGCGAACGACCCTATGACATCTGAGCATGAAACGATCCGATACCTGACAAGCTTTATGAACAAAGCATGGGCGGCCGAGTGTGGCGCTATCTTTGTGTTTAGTGGCTGTGCCGGCCTCACCACAGACGCAACAACCTTCATCAATCTGTTCAAAGGCTTCAAGGATGTCAATGTCCAAATCAAGGTTTATGTGTCATTTGAGCATCGGCAGTATGGCCATTTCTGGGAAGTCAACCCGCACAAAGTCTGCGATATTTTTGAAGGCAAACCCATCCCTGAAGATACTCCAGTGGACGACTCGGAGTGGTTCGTCACAAATTTCCGATTGCAACATGATTTGAAACGAATTGAGTCCCCCAAATAACACAGGTTCGAATTTGAGGTAGTCGCCGGTTATCTCCAGACTTGGAATTATCTACATTGATGTTTTATCCGTAATCCTTACGGCCAGATGTGAAGCAATTTATCGAGGGATACTTTTGTTCTGTCAGGGCTGTTCCAACACGAATAACCGTATCATTATGCATGTAGAGCAAACCGCGTCATCAGGCAGTTTTGTCTTGAGAATGATTAACTCCCATTCAATCTCTGGTTTCCTCGAAGCCCCCAACAAAGAGCGCCATCGCAGATTGAGCCGGTTCAGACAATATATGCATTGGTGAAGACACAGACATAGGCTCTGAAAGCACCATGGGTAGCAGGAATTCGTCGTGTGCATTGGTAGAGATTGTGATGGTTTGCTATCATCATCATGTTTGCTTCCTATTCGTTTGCTTGCTTCCTTCCATACATTTGCAAATTTGCTTGCGTCTGCATGTTTGCTTGCTCCGAGCTATTGAAGCGAGCCCGCTGTCCATAGTTTTCTTCTTGTATTCTGCATCTTAATTCTCTTTTTTTGAAATGGGCATTCTTTTTCTAAAGCTTTGCCTCCCTCACAGAGATGGCCAGACTGATACTGATACTAGCTCTGGTACCAGCATTGGATCCTATGTGGCTATTATGGGTATCGGCATCATTTTGTCTCATGAAACATGCCACTGGCAAGCTCTAGCGCGACTGAACGAATTAGGCGACATCAGACATCTTGTCACACGGCATAATGAGTCGCTTGAGTCTCAAATTTCACCAAATGCTTCAAATCTTTTTGTAAGTTGAGACTTGAACATAGGAGGATGCAAATAAAAACAGCAATATGAGAACAGTCCCGAGAATCTTCGACCTGGGCGAGCGCAGATATCATCCAGCTACCCATCAAGAGTTGGAATCTTGAGTTATAGGAAGAGCCCAGGTCAAAGAGCCCAGCATCGAGTTTATTTCTCCAGCTGCCTCACCGTTCTCGAGACACCCAATGAATGATTCAATCTCGGCTGTCCCAACCCGAGGCTTCCCTCCATGATTTCCCTCTTTGGGAGAGGCGGGTAACATTAGTGGACCGAAGTAGCACTGTCGTGGGTACAAGTCTCTTTCGACATTGTTTATTTTCGGGAAGAGCTAGCCTCTGGAGTTCGCATCTTTGCGAGCGCTCCTACTACAATCTCTGCCCCAATCCCTCATGTTTATTCTGAATACTTCTTTACTTAGGCAAGGGTATCTCATTCCTTAGTCTCCACCGCCAATGTTTCGAGGACCAATCCGTACTCCGTACTAGAAACGAACTTGACCATCAACATGAGCCGAGCAGGGGACACAATACCAAGCAGAAGGGGTGGGAAAGTGGAATTGAAGTTAGATAAGTTCTAGGGCATGGAGTTATAAGTTCACTTTGCTTTTGTTTTGTTTTATTTTTCAAATCTGTGGACCACTGCGTTTGAATGCTCGCAGCCGCCTGTTCTAAGTATGCGGTCATCCCCTAAGGTACGGAGTATGACTTCAGGAACACTTCAGTCTTCAGCTATCAATAATTGCGACCACATCGGAATTTGAGCTCACATGGGAAATATATGAAGGTCAACTACTCGGTTTCACGGGACTGCAGACAGTACCACATTCCCCCCTTGTATGGCCGAGGTCGTAGTGGTTGCTCGTCATGTAAGGAGATAAGCTAGGACGATATGATACGGAGTACTCCGTACAATTGGTGTGAAGTTCCAAGGTTTTAGAGTTGAGAAAGGAAGAACGAGAATTCGTTTTCTTATTTCGGGGCAAATTGAAAATGATCTCATATCATATAACAAAAACGTTCGACAGAAAAGTTGTACGAGTATGGAAGATGATGCAATGTGAGGAGTGAGCTGTACAGTCAAATGATATCACAACTTGGAAGATAAGATCGATCTGGTAGCCCTGGAGTGGGACCATCACTTGCAGTGAAGATCCATGGATGTCATACTTAATAGTGTATTCAAGTTCAATTACAGAGTAGAAATCTTGGAATAATTAAAATGTTCTACTCGTATTCTGTACTCCGTAGACACGAGTCATTGGGTTGTGGGCCGTCTAACTCAATCAAAAGTTATGGCTGAGACATTTTCCCAGAGAAGAAAATTGGGTCTGGAATCGATGCCACGAACCTGTTAGCTCCGAGGTCCGTCAGCTCCACTTAGATCGAAGGTTTGAATTGTCTATTTATTGCCTTCCATTTTTAGTGGCCTTGAGCCAATTATGGTACATAATTTTGTATCGATTGTCCAGATCAGATTCCAAGATTCACGATTACCCTTTTAACCTTGGAATATATTGCATTATAGATTAATGCTCCATCGTTTGGGAATCTCAACATCACCAGTTTACCTGCACCAATCGGGCAACACCCAGCATTGGGTGTTAGTCTGGTAGGGCGTTCTCGGGCGTTCTCGTGCCAATTGAGTAAGATAAATTAGCACGCAAAGTTATTTTCGAAGCTAGTCCTGGAATGGTGCGCCTATTCCTACTTACGAGTACAACTTTAGAACTTGAAATCACAAAGTACGAGTCTTTGCCCTTGAAAATTGGATGTATCACATAGCCGTTGAGCGCATGCAAAGCATCCAACCTTGTCAGCCTGCATATTGACATATCCATCCATGTACGAGTAACTCTAAGCTCAAAAAGCAAATAACCCCGCATTAACATATCACAATCATCAATGAAATGTATTCATCAGAAGTCAGGGTCAGAAATACCAACTGATTGAGACTCGTCCAAAAGTGATCGACCAGAAGTACTCCATATCATGACTGATCTTAGGCCTTACTTGGCAACAACATGAGCCCTGTTACTCGTACAGGTATATCCAGTACGGAGTATTTGTGCTCCTTCCTACATTGGAATTTCGCCAGGATCACAAATTGCCCATATTTCTGTCGATCGGTGCGCGCACCGACAAGCTCAGATGAGCTACCCGCTTAAAATAACCACCGACGGCCGACAGCGGACCCGAAACAGTGACGAGTCGATGCACCAAGATGATTCCGATCGGTTATCAGAGACTGCAAATGGTCCGAGCTAAGACGACCCAGGATATCGGGATTTCCGTTTCGACTGGAATGTATTGACTTTATCTTTGGTAGGTGCAGTTTCAGGGGAAGTTTCAGATGAGATCCTGACGTATTCACGTATCTCAAACGTACAGAAATATCTCTCAAGGAAAAAGCAAAAAATATTAATTGTATACATTTGTGATGCGGCGTTCTGAAGGATTCCACAGTAAGAGCAACTATCCACCGGGGCACCTGCAGGTTTAGTCAATGGATACGGAGTACCTGTAGACGGAGTAAGTACATATTTAATAGAATCCTTTCGCACATCAGATGTCATATCATGAGAGCCATCGCATACGAAGCAAGGCACCAAGGACATTTTGGCTCGTGACAAGAAGCAGTCTCGGGCCAGGCAACCCGAAAGGATCTAGATCCGCTGTGCCATGCAGCCGTAGTGGCATTTTACTACGTCTAATGCACCCACTGAACTTTATACATCACGATATGCAACTAACTAAGCACTCCGTCGTCCCTTGAGACCAGGAAGCAAGTGTTGTCTGTATGCAGCTAGAAGAGGACCCGGCCCTGGGACCAGCCTGTCCAATGGGACTTAGCGAGTATCCCCTGCACATACAGGAGCGTTTCACTTCCAAAGTTTTCAACCAAAGTTAATTGTACGGAGTACAGAATAAGGAGTAGGATTTCGTATTTTTATATGACATAATTTCCCCCCCCCCCCTTCCTGTTAGTACGATGAAACGATGGTGTGATGTGGTCCGCGCTATTGAATCGAGTCTTGAATTGGGCTTACACACGATAGGATGGAAATATCACTCCAGAGTACAGAGTACTCGTACGAGTATTCGTACGGGGTGCATTGTGCATAAGCAACTCCGCTGCGGAAACTTTCAACGGTGATGATCATTAATGCAAAAACCTACGCCAGAGTCACAAAATTGAGAGAAACCCAAACCCCCGAGACGAGTGCGTTCACTAATCCAACTCCGTAAATCCGATTTGGGACATTGGCCGGTTGAGCTGTCAATTGCACCACACGTGGTCTCCATGACAGCTCCAACACTTTGTGATGGGCCGGATTGTCGGGAGTCATTATGAGCGATCCGATTCGCGTAGTGCCTATGCATAGCACAGAGTCGCACGGGCAACGGGTACGATAGATCCAATATCAAATCCACCGGGGCAAAAAAAGTGTCAGTGCCGGCCCTTCTTACGATCCTACCTGTAAGGAAGGATACCGCACTCCGTAGACATGACAGCGGTGCGATAGAGATCGACGCGGCAAATCAGAAATTTGAGACAACTTGGCCGGCTAGGGTTTAGCACAGACGGTCAGCAGCGCCCAAAAAGCAGGAAGTTGTCGATCCCATTGTAAAAGACATTTGTACTCGGCACCGGGATCCATAGCCGCGGAGACTGATGTGCAAAATAAATCTCCTCCTATTCTAAACGCTCGGCTTACGAGGGCACGCAGCGCTAACGAGTGGGAACGACCCGCCGGAACGCCAGGAGATCAGGAGTAATCCGGTCTCTGTAGTATCACGGACGTATGGAGTACGGGAGATGTATGCTGACTATTGTATTTGTACGGAGTACGGGGCTATTTCGCCTACCTGTACCCAGATTTTGCTAGCGTCGAGCATGAAGATGACATTGGCGTTAATTCTCTGTTGGAGAAGGGATCGTCAATTGCGGAGAGGGTTTTTTTTCCAACGCCACAGGAGATTCGAGGCCACGGATCACCGACTCATACCGGGAGATGTCGATCCCGTACCTCGCCGAGGAGGCAGTGAGGCTCTCCCAGTGCACGGAGTAAGTGCGAGTACGGAACACGGAGAACGAAGTGCAGTAGCTTTGGATTCCAAGGTTGGCAATGGAGACAAACGTCATTGCCGGGGTTTCGTCTGTGTTTCCAGTGTTTCTAGAATGCTTCTGTGCCAAACAACGGCCTGAGGGATCGGCAAAAAGTTGCCACTAATACGTGGTGATAATACAATCGTAAGGTGGGCATATGAAAAGTGGACACTCTAGGTCCCGTGATCTTACAGCGATTCGTGCAGAGAGACGTGGGAAGAGACTTAATCCGGTCCGAAGTATATACCCACAGTATCGTTTGATTAACACCACTGCCCAGTCCCCGAATTTTCCCAGAGATTTGGTATCTGTCTGCCGAAGACTGAAGAATGGAGGATATCCCATGGATAGACAACCCCGGTTCTAAGGATATAAGGATATAAGCATTCTTGGGTCGCCCGTTGAACCTCGACACGAGTTGGAGGTTCTCAATAATAGGTGAGCATGAACCTTGGAAATCCCGGTACTCATGGCCTTAGTTCAGGCCAGCCTTGCAGTATCAGATAGATTTACCTAGACCCAAAGAGATCGAACCATGGAGCTCTGGGACTACAAAGTACGTGCGTATTTGAAAGGAATATTTAAATGTGACACCGATTCGATTCCACCTATATACTCCGTACAAGTTACGGAGTACGAGTGGACGCTACTCCGTCGAAGTGTAACCAAAACGAGGCCACGTTGTGCGGAAATTCTCCTAGTGAGACTCTAAACTGCTAATGTACCTTAAGTGAAATGTACTCCTTTTTTTCCTTTTTCCCAGGCTCCAGGCTCAGGGGCTCTCCACTTGCATTCCATGGCTCCAGAGTGGGAACAAGATCTGATCTTTTTTTCCTTTTTCCTCGTCTTTTTTCTAATTTCGATTTTTTTTTTCCCCCTTCCATTTTTCCTTTTTCAATTTCAATTGATCATTTTGGTGCTAGCTGAATTAGCTATTGTCTTCGTCGGGTTTAGTGCGTATCGTTCTAAACGGAGTTTTTTCCCCTAGTGGCATCTTTGCCCCAGTTTGCCTACAACCGTCAAACCCCCTGTTCATCACTGTATACTAGTCTCTCTCTTGTTTTTTCCTCTACTTGTTTAATTGTAATTTAATTTTTGGGTTTGGTATTTTTCTGAATGTTCTCATCGCTTTGGACTTCCCCACCTCTTTGTTCCCCTTTGAGTCCATGTGGAAACGTTCACCCAAGGAGTCTGAGAAAGACTCAACTCAACATCTCTCTGACCTGGGCATTCTGGGTAGACCGAAGAAGTCTAAGAGTGAGTCCCCCTTCAATCTGAGACACTTGTTGTTCTAGATGAACCCTCCCCTGAACCACACTCTACCTTCTTTTTTAAACAAAACCTCCCTGCATCTGGGTCTGCGAGGCTACTCTGCATATCCTTGTCGCATTCAACATTCCCCGCTAATTCGGAGGTGACGTACAGAATTTCAATCACAGCCAGATTCCTCTCGCTCTCCCCTCCGCTCCTTTCGTTCATTCACTCGAGGCGTGGTAGACAGACCCGGGAGCAGTCTTTCCAATCAGACCGATATCACCCGGCCAAGGGCACCCTCGACAGTCACCGACCCCAGTCAGCCTGGTCCTTTACACTCAAGTCGCTCACGAGCCTCCTTTCATTCAAGATCGGGACAGACTACCGGCCCGATGGAGGTTGACCGCACACGTACACGGAGGGAAAGGACCTTCGTTGGTACCAATTGCGCCGTTTGCGACGAACCCTTAGAGCACACTTTGCGCGGTGAGCGTGTACTGCAGCTTTCGTGCGCCCATGTCTCCCACGAGGCCTGCTTTTACGAATACGTGCGCGAGTTCGACGGACAAGAATGCCCGGAATGCAATGCGCCTTTAGCCTTGGACACAAGTCGCGGAGGAAACGTTTTGGATATTGGTAAGGCCCCTCGTGCGAACTGCCGCGGGGAATGTCAGATGACTAATATATGCCTTGCAGACAAGATCAGCAAGATCGTGCGCTCCGTGACGACAACTGATACCGCAACAGTACGCAGTGGATTGACTACTCCTACTCCGTGGGAGCAACCATCCACCAGGCGGACCCCAAGCGATGCGGGCAGCCGCTACACTGCAGCTACACGGGAGCAAAGCTACCAACCTTCCAGCAGAGAGCCATCATACAGCGCCTCTGGGCGAGAACCGTACTCCTCGAGGGAACAATACAACCCGTCAGCAAGAGATCCATCTTATCATCGACGCGACAGCCGTGACACAAGCAGCCAGCGTGACCGCGTAGAGCGATTGACTGTTGGCTCCCACAATCGCCAACCACATTCTCGTAATGGCAGCGCAGCGGGCTCTTCTGGAGAATACAACGAGGGCCAGCACGCAAGCAGTGGACGGCGTCATGACTACGATGTGCAGGCTATGGAAGCTGACCTTAGCCCTCGACCGGGAGTCGCCAAGAACCCTATACCTGCACCAATTGTTACCGTTCGAAGCGAATTCCCTACTATGAACCGATCCCGTCAGCAGCAGACTCTCACATGCTTAATTACTGTTGAGGTCCCCGAAGCAAACTGGCGGCCAGACGCTGATGACCTCCGACACACGCCTAGTGGGCAATCACAGCCGGACGAGCCTTACGCTGGGCGCTTTGCGGGTGGGCAAGATGCACGTTCTATTCAAAATGAGCCAACGGAGAACATGGATGAAATAGCCGAGGAGTTGCGCAACCGGGTGGATAACTGGCATGGTCTTGAGTTTAACCGGTTTGGCAAGTTGCGCCTCCATGGACAGATACGCGTGGGTAAGGATCGGGATTCATGGCAGGAATTAGAGTGTTATCTTTTCGGAGAGATGCTCATCTGTGTGAAGGAGAAGAGGTCGTCCGATCCGAATCAGTTTGATGAGAGTGGAAGGCGCAAGCCTGTGCGCTACACCCTCAAGGGCTCAATCTTGATCAAGAAGCATCTTAAGTCTCTTGACGCATCAGCAGATGAACCTATTCTTGCCCTCAACCTCTCTGTCAGTGAGCTGCCTTGTTTCTACCTTCGTTTCCAGAATCGCAACCAGCTCGAGACGTGGCGCCGGTCTCTGATTGATCTGCACCCCGTCGAGAACATTTTACGCCCGAATGATTACGACTATGATAATTCCGGGGAAGAGGAGGATTTCCGTGGAAGTCGCATTCAGCGACAGGCTTCACTCAACTCTTCATACGGTGCAGGCAAGTCTATCAACACGGCTATCACCGATTACAGCAACCCCGACACAGACGCGCCTGCTATCAACACTATTCACATTCCTCTGGATCTCGTTGTGGTTATTCCCGTTTCCTCGTCAATGCAGGGCTTGAAGATCACTCTCTTGCGTGACGCGCTCAGGTTCCTTGTGCAAAACCTGGGCCCTCGGGACCGCATGGGTCTGGTCACTTTCGGCTCCAGCGGTGGCGGTGTGCCTCTGGTGGGCATGACCACCAAGTCTTGGGCTGGATGGCCCAAGATCCTTGAATCAATCCGGCCTGTGGGACAAAAGAGTCTCCGCGCGGATGTGGTCGAAGGTGCCAATGTGGCCATGGATCTTTTGATGCAACGGAAATTCAATAACCCCGTTTCAACTATTCTTCTCATCAGCGATTCATCCATCTCCGACCCCGAAAGCGTCGACTTTGTGGTCTCTCGCGCCGAGGCTGCCAAGGTCAGCATTCATTCATTTGGTCTCGGACTGACCCATAAGCCCGACACTATGATCGAGCTGTCCACTCGTACCAAGGGCTCCTATTCATATGTCAAGGATTGGATGATGCTCCGCGAGTGTGTAGCTGGATGCCTGGGCGCCTTGCAGACCACCTCTCACCAGAACGTTAAGCTGAAGCTTCGTCTCCCAGAAGGATCACCAGCCAAGTTTGTTAAGATTAGTGGTGCTCTGCACACCACCAAGCGAGCCACCGGCAAAGACGCTGAGGCAGCTCTTGGCGACCTCCGCTTTGGAGACAAGCGCGACGTCCTGGTTCAACTTGTCATCCAGCCCGATAATGCTACCCAAGACAGCATGCCTCAAGACCCATGGGAGAGCTTGGTCTCCGGGTTGGAGGCACTTGGCGGTGGCCCAGACGGCGACGAATCCCGCGTTGTCAGCGTCGAAGAAGTACCCTTGATCCAAGCTGACTTGACATACGGCGATCTCCTTCGTGATGGCCACCTCACTCACTCCCCCCGCCCATCGCTCTTGGCAATCACCATGCTCCCTCCTAACCCACGCGCCAAGGGCCAACGTCCCTCAACTCCTCCCATCCCCCCACACCCCTCTATCGTCCAACGGCGCATGGAGTTGCTCACCTCCGACATGCTCACCCGTGCCCTCACCCTTGTCTCTCGAGGTCAGCAGGACCGCGCCTTGCACCTCCTCAATGAAACCCGCAGTATCCTCAAGGGTCTGGGCAAAGGTGGTCTCCCACCTCTCCCCCCAGCTGCCAGATCAGGCAGCGACCCTGACAGCCGCGGCGGGACACCCGTTTCCGCCTCCTCCCCCAATGCTTCGACCTTCGGCGAAACTCAATCCTCTGCTTCGGAGACTAATACCATTACGCCTTCTTCCGCGGTTGACGCACACACCATGAACGCTCTCAACGCAGACCTCGAGTCCTCCCTGGAGTGGATCAACCACCCAGCCGTCTTTAGTCGCGATTCGCGCAAAGCTGTTCTCCAGAGCATCGGCGTCATCTCTTCGCAGCGCGCTTACACCTTCCGCACTGCGTCTGAAGCACACTGGGCCCAGCGCGTCTCTGGTGTTCGACGGTTGACAGAGCGGTCTCGTGATTGGCGTGAGACTGGTGATGATGCCTTGACCGAGGAGTGATTACATACCACGCAATTTCTTTCTTTCTGACATGTCTATCTGCGATGAATTTTTTTTTCCCCCATTTTTTTCCCTACTTTCTCTGGTTCTTTCCCTATGATACCATTTTTGTTCCCATGCATAATAGGGTTCACGTTGCTTGGGTTTTGTATCTGTTTTGACGGTGGACATGGGCTTTGAACATATGATGATTACCTCGATTAACATAAGCCTGCATGATTAATTTTCTTATACATGATTTCTCAATATATGAGTATCTGGGTGTCTGTGATGATCTTGAACATGTGTATGCGTAAAAGTAACATTCTTCTACTCGCATATGATGTGATGAATAGAAGAGCGAAGAAGATGAAGAGTCACTTAAGCATCTCTGATATAGGTACATGATTACTGACAAGGGGGGGACCCGTGAAAGGCTGCAGTGCTAGAAGCCCTAAAGACAAGGCACTTTGACCTCTCATAGCCCGTAGCATATTTGCAACATCATAAAGGTTGAGAGTGACTAAGGGAGCTCTGGTGGAAACATATAGGGGTGTTCCAGATTTGTTGTTGAAAGAAAAATCTCTGAATGTGTTTGCCCAACTGCATAGCTAGTGTAGAGGTAGACGCTCATTGTCATAGCCCTCAAGGCGTATATGGGTCGATTCAGCAGTGGGCGTACTCCGTATGTCTTGCCCAGCTGGCATACCGTGAGGCTTTAGGTTGTGATGTACTTAAGTATAATCATGCTAACCTGTCCCTATTCTCTCATTTGGTCTCCCAGACTAACCTGCAATACATGACCGCTGACCAGAGGCACTGCTCAGTGACATCGGAAAGAACGGTATAGGTACCTACTTAAGTAGGGCCACTAGGTACAAGACCAATTGAGGGCTTTTGAAGCCCTTGGATGCTTCGGATTTAAGACATCGGAGTTAAGGCGTCGCGATAATCGATAAGCGATAAGCATCAACCTGATCCAGTCCATTCACCTGGGCATCATCCTTCAGAGCTCCTACATCTGCTCACTCAGGCTAAGGATCAAATCCCCATTCACGATGCTCCGTAATCTAGGCGCATTTTGTGCCCTAGGAGGACAGCCTGTCTCACTGGCACAACGATTACGCCCGCCCATTCACGCGCCCCAACTCCCGGGGGTGATCCAAACCACTTCGTTGCAAAAGCCTCAGTTACACTCTCCCACTCGGTCTTCCTACCAAGCAAGTCATTTAAGAACAAGCGCCCGGCCTGAGCATCAGTACTACCGTTTCAGAAATGCTCGTCAATCAAGATTCTCTCGGTTTGTCGAAGCCCTCAAACCACGACACTTTGTGTTCATCGGGCTCGGAGCCTCAGGAGTGTATCTCTACAATGTCGAGGAAGTTGAAATGACCGGGCGCCGGCGTTTTAACTGTATTTCGCATGCTCGAGAGTTGGCACTGGGCAATGAGAGTTACCGCGAAATCTTGGCTTCCGAGCACGGGAAGATCCTCGCTGCCAATCATCCACTTACGGTTTTGGTTGATGAGGTTCTACAGGACTTGGTCGCTGGCATTGAAATAGAAGGAGCGGACTGGAGAGTTTATGTTATCAAGGATGACGAAAACCAGAATGCTTTTGTGCTTCCTGGGTAAGTTTCACTGGAATCTTATGGTTGCAGATGCTGACTTTACGCAGCGGCCGAGTGTTTGTCTACACTGGAATCCTGCCTATCTGCCGAGATACAAATGGACTAGCTGCCGTTCTGGGACACGAGATTGCGCATGTTGTTGCTCATCACCCCGCCGAGCGTATGAGTAACAGTCTCCTCAAGTTGGGCGTTGTGCTGGCACTTTCTTTGCTATTCGATGTGTCAGGGCAGTTCTCTTCTTTCGTCTTGAATCTGATGTACAGTCTGCCACACTCTCGAGCACAAGAGGCAAGGCAGCTGCCCTTCTTTGGTTGATCTTATGCTAACCTTTATCCACAGGCTGAAGCGGACAGAATCGGACTCAGTATGGACCTTCGAAACCGGCTGCAGAGAGTTGCTAACAGTGTCAGTGATTATGTCCAAAGCGTGCTTCAATCCCAAGGCAGCGGTTCAACTGTGAGTCCTGATCCTACAACATGCTTGTACCTGGCTGACTATGGTAGATGGGCCCGTATGCATGAACGGGAAAAACAAGCCCCACCGCAGTTTATGTCCACCCACCCATCAGTAAGTGTGAGATGGAGCTAAAGTATCGAGATTAACTAACCTGCAGTAGAACTACAACCGAATGGAGGCAATTCAGGGATGGTATGCCAGCTTGACCCTTTTCATTTGCTCGGCGCTAATCATTCCAGGCTCGACGCGGCTAATATTATTTACCGAGATAATGGCTGCGAGGATCTCACTAAATACGGTAAGATATTCAACTTCTCCAGCTGGCTATTGCATGTAGCTGACCTGTCGAGTGATCGCTTTCCGTGCGTTCAATAAGTCTCGTACTTGAGATAAACGACGCCACAGCCTGTGATGTTCCAGCCCAAAATATCGTCCAACCTCCCTCAACCCGAATACGGCGTGAAACACCCTCAAAAAATCAGCTTGCAGGCCAGGACTACACCACTATTCCTCCTACGCCCCCAGTACCCAATCTGATGGTAGCTCGGCTCAAGCAACGATGCCGACCTATTTACTACCAACTGTACGCCAAGGGTGCCGTACACGACAGATCACGACTTTCATATATTGAAAGAGGGCCTCCTCCAGTCATAATATCTTTACTGAGCAAATCAATGCAACCTCAACGTTCAAAATCCACACTGTCGAGCTAGGACTGCTTCATACAGACATGGTCTCCACGTAGCCAGAGAAGACACGGAAACAAGCAACTCCAATAACACAGTTACAAGCCATACTTATATCCTTTGAGTCCTGGAGATATTGTTTGTTTATCAAACCATTTTCACGAAGAACCTCACTTGGGATTGTTTGGCTGGTCGAGATGGCCTGTTATGAAATGCTCGAGCATTGCGAGACAAGGTCAGAAAAATGAATCAATAATTCCCAGTGATTCTCTTTAATTGCCATTCGGGGTTGTAAATGTCGACATGGAGAAGAAAGCTCACATAAGGCCGTTCTATACTTGACCGCCAAGCACCCCTCGTGCAAACGGAGCAAACCCACCATCGCAGCTCCAAAAATTGCCCGGCACAACAGCTCCATCCACTCACTACATCAACTTTGATACCCAGTCGCATTTTATTTGAACGCGGCAACAGATCATGTCGCTTTCAATTCCAGGTCCCTCCCAAGCGGGACTTTTCAAGCCCGGCTACCAGAGGTGAGTCGAACCGTCTAGAAATTCCGCCGCAATAGGGACCTCCTTATCTGGAAAAGGTGCAATTCGATTGACTGTTTTTTCAACTATCCAGCCACGATGCCGAGGATGGAGCCGTCATCCGTAACATTGAAGCCTGCCAGGCTATCTCGGGCACCGTCCTGACCTCCCTGGGCCCTTACGGCCGCAACAAGATTGTCATCAACCACCTGCAGAAGATGATCCTGACCTCCGACGCCGCCACCATTCTTCGCGAGCTCGATGTTGTTCACCCCGCTGCCAAGCTGCTTGTGATGGCTAGTCAACAGCAGGATGCCGAGATGGGTGATGGTACCAACCTGGTTATCGTGCTGGCCGGTGAGCTGTTGAAAAAGGCAGAGGAGCTGGTCCGCATGGGCCTGAAGACGAGTGATATTGTTTCCGGATACGAGAAGGCTCAAAACTTTGCGATGTCCGCTCTTGAGGGTATGTTCACCTGGCGGGCGGTTGTTTGTGATCAAGTGGAGCCGGTGGCTAATTTCATGTAGAGCTCGAGGTCGACAGACTCCAAGATATGCGATCGGCAACGGAATTGAGCAAGGCGCTCCGCACAGTGGTGGCCTCTAAGCAGTCCGGCACCGAAGATACTCTGGCTGCGTTGGTTTCCGAGGCGGTCCTGGCTGTGCTCCCCAAGAACCCCGCCAACTTCAACGTCGACAACGTCCGAGTTGTTAAGATTATGGGTGGTAGCTTGGAACAGTCCAAGGTTGTCAAGGGTATGGTCTTCGGCCGAGAGCCGGATGGGGTTGTCAAGAAGGCCAGCAAGGCCAAGGTCGGAGTGTTCAGCTGCCCCATTGACATCAGTCAGACCGAGACCAAGGGTACAGTTCTCCTGAAGAACGCCCAGGAGATGATGGACTTCACTAAGGGTGAGGAGGAGCGTCTGGAGACTGCCATCAAGGAGCTCTACGACTCCGGCCTCCGCGTCCTGGTGGCTGGTTCCACTGTCGGCGATCTGGCCATGCACTACCTGAACCGTTTCAACATCCTGGTCGTCAAGGTTCTGTCCAAGTTTGAGCTCCGCCGCCTGTGCCGTGTTGTCGGCGCTACACCTTTGGCCCGTCTGGGTGCCCCCATGCCCGATGAGATGGGTCAGATCGACGTTGTCGAGACCTCCGAGATTGGTGGTGACCGTGTCACCGTCTTCCGCCAGGAGGATGCCAACACCGTTACTCGCACAGCCACCATTGTCCTGCGTGGTGCTACCCAAAACCACCTCGAGGATGTTGAGCGCGCTATCGATGACGGTGTGAACGCCGTTAAGGCCATCACTAAGGACCCCCGTCTGGTCCCCGGTGCCGGTGCCACCGAGATCCAGCTCGTTGAGCGTCTGACCAACTTTGCCGACCGAACCCCCGGCCTTCCCCAGCACGCTATCCGCAAGTACGCCGAGGCCTTCGAGGTCATTCCCCGCACACTCGCCGAGTCTGCCGGTCTCGATGCTACCGAGGTTCTCTCGCGTCTGTACACCGCACACCACCGCACCGCCAGTGCCGAGTCATCTTCCGAGGAGGAAGGTAGCTCATCTGAAGAAGAGGAGCCTTACTGGACCACAGGTGTCGATCTCGAAATTGGCGAGTCAGATGGTACCCTTGATACCGTCGAGGAGGGTATCTTGGACCTGATGGCTTCCAAGATGTCTGCTATCCGTCTGGCCAGTGAGTCTGCCCGCACAGTGCTGAGCGTTGACCAGATTATTGTCTCCCGACAGGCCGGAGGCCCTAAGCCTCCGCAGGGTGGCGGTGACTGGGACCAGGACTAAATAAAACAAAAAAGGAGAAATAAGGGTCTGGACGCTGTTTGATATTTGAGGCCTGATAGATCTTCGTACGATGATACGCTTATTGAGAACCATTGTAAATTGGACTACCTTTCTCTTCTAGTAATGATTCATCTCCGGAATAACAGCACAAATCTCATTCTTTATCTTGGAAGTTTATGTAGAATTGAAGCACCCAATTCGGCCGGGGATTACTACCACTAGGTATGTTGTCATCAACATTTCTACCAATCTTGTCTAATGCGTCTCGGGGCCGGACTTATATTCTTGATCTTCCATTACTCTGCTACCGAGTCTCGGTGAATGATAGCTCTGCGTCTGGGCAGGTTCCACGAGTGTCCATTAGACCATTAACTAAATGGCTTATACCATTTTCCAACTTCCAAACTATATCATCCACTCATTGAAAAAGTGTCTTCCACTGTCCCCTTCAATGAGATGCCCTGTTCTCACACGTTCATTTGGACGGCAGCTTCCTTTCCGTCAATCATCCCCCAATCTCTCTTGCTCATTCTTTGCTTCCCTGCGGAAATCTGTGCTCTTTCAACCACCTCTATCCCGGTCCTTCACATCCGGTTCCATCAAATCTCAAGCCATGCTCGACGCAATGAGTCCCGCAACACGTCTACTTGACGAATACCTCAGGGAAGGAGGGTACCAAAAATGGGGCTGGGTGATATATCGCTCCACGTATCAAAAAGATGAAGACTGGAACTGCTTCAAGGGGGTGATTATGGAGGCAATGCGCAAATCTATCGAGTACCACAAAAATCCAGATCTCGATCACTCCCTGAATCAAAGTCTGAGTTTGACGTTTCTCGAGGACCGACCCAGCTTTGAGAATGCATCGAAGGATCAACTTCGCACGCACTTTCAGAGGTGGGCTCAGCGTGCGTACTATGCTGAAAACCCGCGAGCCTTTGAAGAATTCAACGCCAACCTGGCGACCGCACCCAAATACCGGTACTTTATCCAGATTGATGAAAATTCTCTGCAAAGCCTTCTTCATGACATCGAAAGTGGTCCTCGGTTGAAGGGTCTACAAAGTTGTGGCTATGTGAACTTTGTGGATGGCTGGTGGAAATCATTGAGGGAGCATTATGCAACGAGCCAAGATCCAGACCTCAAAGAAGAGATGGATGAACAATTGGCGCACGATTATCAGTCAATAGAGGGCTGCGTGGAGGAAAATACCGGCTGGACGATGCTACACAGACTTGATATGAGTGTCGATTTCTACCACTACACAAGTGGGTTTGTAGAGGACGTTTGGCCTCTATATTACCAGCGTCCGCCTGGTATTGCTCTCTGGTAAATTTGTATCTATAGACACACAGATCTCCATCACCCCAACGATTTCCCTTTCATGGAGTTGATGACTGAAGAGTCATCATCAAGGCTCAAAGAAATTTGATCAGGCATATCGCCCAAAGCGAAAGGTCTGCGTAAATGAAACTAATCATCCATCCATCCATCCACTGTACTAGTATGTACCCAAAATGACCTTAAAGACCATTTTATCCGGCATTGCGAACTTTAGAAGCGGCAACAAATTATTTGTCCTTAATCATATACTTTTATGAACAGTCATCTATTAAAGTATAGTTCGATCGTATCAATCCAGGGCTGAACATCAAGAAAGTTCATGTCGCAAGGTAGTAGACCCTGGTGCCTCTTGGGCGCCTTTGTCTGCCTGTAGTTCATTTAGCTGAAGGCCACACAATTCAGTCGTCTGAGTTGTCTGTGTCCCATCCGCAAATGTTGGCGGGACTTTGTGCTGATTAACACCAGCTGCTTTGGCTTTCGCTGCTCGCTTTCGGTGAATGAATAGCCAAGCAAGGGCCCCAATCAATCCCAGACCACCAACAGCACAACCAATTCCAATGCCAGCCTTTGCACCAGTGGAAATAGTAGAATCGGATTTGGAGTTTCCCGTTGTCGAGTTTCCCGTTGTCAAGTCACCCAAAGGCACCCAGTACCCATCCCAGCTGGCCTCCCACGAATTTTTGGAAGGTTCAATTGAGTCAGCATCGACCGCGATGCTCAGCTGATTGCCTGTTCCAATTGCTGGTCCCGGTGCTTGGGCCAAAAACCATTTTCCAGCCCCAGTTCCATCTTGCCAGTTTACGCCAACGAAAGCTGCCTGTAGGAAAGCCCTCCCGAGTATGTAGGAGTCCGATGGATAGCATGGAAAATATGACATATTTCTGTCCACAAGTGGCTCTTGAAGGGTGAGCTTTAGAAGCGGGAAAGGAACTTTGACAGTCAAATTTTGGCTATTGGATGAGTTCATCTCAAAAGTGAAGGATATATATGCCGGAGAAGATGTAATGTTTTGATAGTCTTTATCCTCTGTGTTCCAGAGATATAGGTTGAGATCTTCGTCAAAAGTGACCGGGAGATTCGCTGCCATCGCATCACATGTAGTCTTTGGAAGATAAATGTATGGAAGTAAAGGAATGATTTCCACACTCCTTCCTCGGGTGCTGGCACTGGCAGTACTGTCTCCCCATTTGAATAGCCCGGATTTGCTCTGGAAACCAAAGGGCGAGTCACCAGTGGCAACTCCAATTCCAATATCTTCAAGATAAATTTTGAGATTTCCAAGGTTTTTCTTGGGATCGACCTGCTGAGAGCTCACTTGGTTCAACACTCGGCTCTGATCATATCCGCCAAGCACCAATGATCCTGGGATCTCAGGTTCCACAGCCCCAATATGCATGCCCCATGAGTATGATGGAATTTGACGAGATGAAGTGTCATTCCAATATTCCCACGCGGCAAGCATGTTCAAGGCGGTGTTAGCAACGACGTGGGTCCGCTTTGTGCCTCCTAATGCCAGCGTTCCTAATGTGACCGGATAGTTTTTCCCATTGTACGTTTGATAAGCATCGTAAATAGCCATCATCGAGACATTGGGCACCGCTGGCCCACCCGGTAGTCGGAGCGTGTCGGCGAGAGCGCCTTGTTTGATGTGTCCGGGACCACCCCATACATTCACGCCTGTGCTTGCCAGGTCGGACTGCCAAGGCAATTCACTCGTGTTGGTTGGCGTAGATAATGGGAAACCAGTGTCTGAGTCACTGATGTTGTAAAGGCCCCCTCGCTTCGCATAACAAACAGTTGAGGCATTTGAGCAGACGCTGGTGGTGAGGATCTGGCTTACCCAGCGAGATCCGGGGTATAAATCGACTGGCTGCTTGTTTGAACCCAGCTGAACTGACACAGCATGCCACGGGCCATCTGGGCCATATGTTTGATCAGACCACTGGACTGACCATGGTGTAGCTGCCTGCGCTGTGGCCGCGACGGCAAACAGCCAACAAATTTGAAATTTCATGGCCGGACGTGCTCTCTAGAATAATTGAATATACTGAAGAGTAATACTATGTTTGAGGGAAAGAGAAAAGGGGCCCTGCTCCAAAATTTCAGCCAGTGACAGACCCTCGCCTGAGGTATGCAGGGGGCCAAACTAGAGCCTCATTCAGGGTATCTTAGTGGCCCTAGGAGGAGCACCCATATTTAACACCTAGCCAGGCAGTGCTTTTTTCGGGGCAACAGCATCAGCAAATCATGTCAAAGCCTCAGACCGGACACCCAACCCCCCATATTCTCCCAGTACGAGTAGACTCTGTCTTCTCTCTTTCTTCCCTTCTCTCCCTAGCTTAGATCTCTTGAATGAATGGACCGTTCCTTGCGATTGCCAATCTCACAAATTTCTACAAAGTAGCTTCTGGTGACGGGTGCGAGAATATTGCCACACCCCGTGGCATTACACCTACCCACTTCTATGGCTTCAAATACTGGATTCAAACCCGATTTCTCAAACTATAGAACCTGTGGCTGAAGTCCTATGTCTGCATGGGCAGAGCCGCATCAGCCTCGGGTGGTGCTATACAAGCCACCGTCTCGACAAAGTAGCTACATGCCCGTAGTGCCAGAACACGACATACCATTTGCAAAGGGCAAGCAAATACGGGCGATTGTCCACGGGTCCAGATGGCTCTGCTATGCAGCATCTGTTACTAGTCGCACAAGGAAATGGATGGCAGCGCTGTAATTCATGCTGTCGACTAGTGGAGCTGGAACGGTTGCAGTCATATAAGGTCTATGCTCCTCTTTTCCTCATACTATCCCGTTTTCTGACAGTGAATGAAAGCTGCCGCTGTGGTGCCCGATTCTGTTACAATTGTGGGGAGCAGCGGAAGAATTGTGGATATGATCAATAGAACGAACATCGTTGGACATGTTTGCCTGGATGATAAACATTGACACCTGAGGCATAAATGGTCACGTGTTACTCCCAGATTTTCCCTCGAATGTTTCCTTTCGGTCTTGATATCAACGAGCGCGATTCCGTATCCCACCACGTCTGCCCCAAGCCGCCTTTTCTCGAGCTTCCTCAATTAATTCCACCTACGCCATGTCCTTCTCTACCCAGGTCGCAGCTCGCTGCGCCAGACAGCTCTCCGGCTCCGTCCGCCCATCCTCCCTGCGCATCGCGACCTCCGCTTCATACCTCACAGCCCGTCGCACACCCAGCACCCAACGATGGGAATCTACCGAGGCTGCCCCTGCTGCGCCCTCAAACCCCAAGATCACCCAGATTGTCGACCAGATCAGCACATTGACCCTGCTTGAGACTGCCGACCTGGTCTCTAGCCTGAAGGTGGGTTCATCAACCTATCAATTGGGTGGCATTCTCAAACCAGGACCATGTTGCATACACATCTTGATCCTCGTTGATTGTCCAATCCATTGAATCAACCCAAGAACTTTCCAGATCATTGCTAATTGCATACTCTCATAGACCCGCCTGAACATCCCCGATCTCCCCGTTGGTGGCTTCGCCATGGCCGCTGGCCCCGGTGGTGCCGCCGCTGCCCCCGCCGAGGAAGAGGAGGCTGCTCCTGCTGCCGCCGAGAAGACCCTGTTCAACATCAAGCTCGAGTCATTCGAGGCCACCTCCAAGCCCAAGGTCATCAAGGAGATCAAGACCATGCTCGGTCTGTCATTGGTCGACAGTAAGAAGTTCGTTGAAGCTGCACCCAAGACCCTGAAGGAGTCTGTGCCCAAGGAGGAGGCGGAGAAGATCATCGAGACCCTCAAGGCTCTCGGCGCCAAGGCGATCATGGAGTAAAAACTGTTTTATTATAGGAATCGGGGAAGAGATAGGGTTCGATTGTTTCTGTCTTGAAAGATCTTGAGCATTGTGTTGGCCTGGCTTATCAAGGCAAAATGTACATTATACGCATTGTGTTCTGGGACCGTCTGGTATAAGAGGGCTCGTTTGATTAATTGATGCATTTAGCATATGTTTGTTCCACGCAAAAAAGTAATTAGCAGGAAAATTGTAAGAGCCAAGCATTGCATATATGCTGAGGGCAAAAAATTAGAGTCAACTGGTTCCAACGTAGTTGGCGGACCTGAGGTTCCCCGATCTCCAACTCCAACTCAAAATTCCCGTCACAACCTCCGCAGCCATTCCTCAAAGCCTCCGATGGCCAAACCACCACACTCGCCCCTTTTGTGGCGACGAATAAATCAATCCCTCTCTCCTCCTCGCCCCGCCTATATCGCAAGGCTAGAGCCCTCCACTCTGTGTCACCGCGGCGCATCTTCACGACCTTTCCACACAACCCCGATCCGAGCAGGACCTCGCAAAACACCGGCCCTCCGAAGAGCCGCGGCAAGGAATATCCCCGGTGGCTTCAGTCTACCGCATACAGCCAAGAATGGACAGCGATTAGACCGAGACGGCTTTTGGTGGGCTAAAATCAAAACCGACGTGAACGTCTGTCTCAGAGAATTCGACGGGATCGCAAACGACCTCTATGAATTGACCTCGCGAAGGAAAATGATGCCACCAGGCGTGAGCTTCAAGACCTTCAAGACTGTCGCTGAGCAGCTGATCAGGCTGAGCCACTCCGAACATGCTAGTCAGGGCAATATCAAAACGATTTCAACAGGTATCACTCTCTCAGCTCGTGGAGCAGTATCCCTGAGGCGTGACACTTGCCAGAAAGAGACTAACTTTCGTAGATGTCGACGCGGTATACCGAATCGGAGCTTGTCTTTATCCTCTTAAGCTTGGCCCTGCTATCAAGGAATGGGCGATGAGTGCCTGCGCAAAAGCCAAGTCCCGTCGAGCTGTTGTCGAATTAGTCAACAAATATATTGAACTCGAAACCGTCGACATCCACCGAAACACTGAGTGGATCGCTACCGTCAAGGATCTTGCCCTGATAGACGAGTTCCCACCGGCGGTTTTGCTCTACGCCAAGATCCTCACCTGGCGCGGCGAGAATGAAACGGCTGCCCAGCTCCTGGAAGAGAAGATTCTGCCGTACATTCGGCCTTCGCCGAGAGTTTCCGACTGCTACTTCACAGATGTAACAGTGGGCAACATGATGGACTCGCCATTGCGGCTATATGGGCTTGCTATTGCCCAAACAAAAGGCTTCGATGAGGTTTCAAAGGTGATGGAACGTGCAGCACTGGAGTTTTACGAGCCTATCGCATTAACAGAGTTGGCCATCACGAAACTGGAGGTGGATGACTTCGATCGTTACGAGGAGTTGATGAGCATGGGAGCAGCCGCCGGCTACGGCAAGGCATGCTTCTATCTTGCGAATTACTATCTTCGTGTTTCACTAGGCGAATTCCTCACTCGACAGGAGCGCGAAACATTGACCAGAGTGGAACCAACTGGATGGGCGAAAACCTTTGAGCCTTTCACATTATGGCTTGATTCAATCGTCAACAAGCCGTGGAGCCGCTTGATATACAGAGAACTAGCTCTTGATTGGTATGCCGTTGCTGAGGCTACGGGAAACCAAACCGCCTTACTCATTCAAGCCATGGTGCAGCGTGAAAAGGGCGACAAGGTTGGGGCTCGTAAGCTGTTTGACCGCATCAATTTAGAAAGGCTCTCGTCCGAATTGCCTGTGAAGGCCATCAAGACCTTGGAGGCAGGGTGGGATGATCCGGATCTCAAACCTGAGTATCCGATTAAGTTCATGCCTCTGGGCTGAATTGTATATTATTTGCATATTTCATGTATCATAGCAATCTCGAGGATTCGTTTCATAAATCCCCTCCGCCATGCGTTAATATTATTTCGAAAAGCGTGTGACATTAGGAAACCCAACTGGCGTGACATCCAACGCTTGTCATTTCAACTTTCCATGATTCATGATTCTGAAAATCAGACTTACCCCCGGGTAAATTGGAAATACGATAGATCAGAATCATCGTCTCTTCTTCCCTTTTCCCTTGTTGACCCCTCTCGTCTTCAACTCCACAAACCCTAACTCCTTCAATCCCTCCGCCAGAATTGACGAATTTTGCATCCCAGGAAAGTCCTTCGCAGGGTACACCCGGAAAGGATCTGACCAAGCCTCTGCAAGTATAGGCATTGACTGACCGGTATCCTCAACGGAGCCCCAATTCATCAAGCGGAATTGGAGACGGTAGAGGCCAGCCGTGCGAATGGAAAGATCAGCAAAGATGAAAAAGGTAGCTGGCTGGTGGAGCCGCGAGGCAGCACTAAGGGCATGAGGGCTGGAAAGGCGGTCATTGGCGGATGGATGAACAGGCGCAGAGTTGGGGTCCGGGTCTGAGTCCACATAGAAGGGGGACATGAATGCTTTTCCGGAGAGGAGAGGCGTGGAAAGGTCATCGTCTGTGCGGGCGATTCCGTCTGTATCTTGGCGGTCTCTGTCCCGATCTCGTCGTGGATCGGCATCTGGGTTGGACTGGGCCCATGGGGAAGAGGACAAGACGGGGAAAAGAAGACATCCCACTGTGAAACGGGGGTCTTGAAGGAGATCTCTGTCTTCCTGGGAATTCGAGTCGAAGTCTGATAGGAGGATCTGGACGATTGGTGGAGGGTCGACGGGACGACGGTCCCGGTCTCCTGCACCGCAAGCTCGTGCGGCAATGGGCTGTTGCCGGACATGAAGATGGTATCTGGTTTGTGTGGATGGTCGTCGGGATGTCGGGGGTATTTCTGGCTCTGGAGAGTGATGAAGCAGCTTGTCAAAGCCGTGTGGCATTCTATAGGTGGTATTTCGTGATTGAGGCTTCGGCTCTTGTGTGGGTGGTATAGGGTTTAGGGCGTGTAGACCTGCGCTTTTATCTGACCAGACGGGACTGGGCATTGCTGTGGAACTGCTGCTATATCTGTATAGATTCGGTGTTAGACTGATTCTTGTACAAATGTAGTGTTCCGCTTTGTGCAACCTGTCACAGATGTGACCTGAAAGGCACCGGGTTCAGGATCTTGAGCCAAGGACATCGTATCAGAACGGACTGAGAGATCGAGGTGGTTGAGTCGACAGAAACGAGAAGAGGTACTTTACTGGGAGTCCACATCGTACGTTCGGCTCCGTTGACCATCATAGTCCTGAGCATGGCCCGAACTTGGGCCTGGTCCCTCGGGGCCTGCATGATAGCCTCGGGGATCAAAGATCCTTGGTGGATGTGTTCGGAGTGGAAGCACTTGGGGTAGTGGTTGCCGAGCCATGTATACATTGTCGACCGGAGGCATGTATCGTGGATCTGCGCTTCGTTCTGGATACCCCAAAGCAGGAATTCGAGGAGCAAAAGGTGTGATTGCAGGGCGCTCATAGCCCGCATTCTGTGGCATTCGAGGCTCATGTTGCGGGTATGAATAGGGCGGTATTGAAGCGTTATGTCGGGCCAAATCGATGTAAGGACGTTCCGTGGGATGCCCACGTTGTGGCGGCGACATTTATTCTTAATGGCGTGCACGAGCCGACAAGCGGTCCGTGGGTGCCCTCCTTTCTGTGGTCGAAGTAGATTGGGTGGGCACCGTACAGGTTCTCACCCTGAGGTGTTCCGTAGGCATCGCGGGTGTAGATCGTGCGAGTGTAGTTCGTCGCGTTCAGCATGAACGCGTCGCTGTGCTCGCCCAGTCCGTAGAGATGAGGGTTCTGTGGGAGATGAGTCTTAAGGTAGACATATTGACTCTCGAACACCAGCTTGTTGCCGGTGGTATCGAACAACACTTCACCGGTATCAGTGCGAGACACAGTGAAGGAAAAGGGATCGGCCTTGAAATCGAACTTGAGCTTGGAATTCTTTGGTGAACACCATTGACCAAAGCCAGGACGGGGGAATACACTATCAGGCACCTGGTAGACGGTGTTGTTGGTGTCCAAGATTTTGACATGCAGTCGATCGCTAGTCTGGTACTCCACTTCCAGCTTCAAGTCCGGCAAATCGGTCCCGTACACATTGCATGCCGGTCCTGCAAGGGATAGATCAGCGTAAAAGCCAGATCGGGTCTCCCATTGCTTTGTGGCCTTGTATCCTGGACACGCAGACAAGTCTTTTTCGTAAAGGTCGTTGCCAGGGGCATCGAGATCCTCGATACCAGCCTGACTTTGGGCCCAGACACCGCCCGTTAGGGCTATGGCCGAGGTAAGCAGGTTCTTGACGTACATGCTGAAGCCTTGGATAGCAGAGAAATGCACGTCGGCCAGCCACCCTTATATACCTGGACATTTCTCCAGGGTTCCCTTGCCAAGATCAGACGTGTTGTCCAGGTGGAGACTGCAAGCTGCAACCCCGGCCACAAAGCCCCCGCAGAAGGTGATCTAGTGATCGTGTATATTGTTAGAACCCCCAAATGTCCCACTCTTCGGAAGGGCTTTGTTCCTGTCTCGTCGAGAATAGACCCCGGATGGAACCCTGACCCGTCAATGGTAGTAACCGGGGGATTTCCGCAATGAAAACCGGAGTCGGGACCCCCCACGCGAGGTGCAGCGACGATCTATTTGCCGAGTACTCCGATAAAAGCCCGTTCCATGACGCGGGGAGAGCACCCCTTTTCCACCTCTTGGCATCTGGTCATCTCCGCCAAAAGCCCGTTGCGGGGCTCCATTCTTGGGGACTGTTTTTGGGCGGTTCAGCCCGACAGTTGTATGGTGTTGATTCTCTGAATATCCCTGGATTCTTCGTTCAAATGTCAAAGTTGATGAATGTATGTGGTGTACGGAGGAGATGATGGCTGTGTGGTTATTTTGCGGTTCGACACCTTGACTTTAAGGCAGAAACAAGACCTCGGTCCCGTTTGCCGATGGCGACTTCTTTTCTCTGTTCTCGCCATTCGATGAGAGAGCATACCACACAGCATGAATATTCACGAAAACAATTCATCTGAGCCCAAGGCTGTCCTCACTCGTCCTATGCTTTCGCATTTGTGGATTCACAGTCCGGACGAGGACTGGCGGGGGATCACCGATCCCGCCACGCGGAAAAAGCTGCAGAACAAGCTAAACCAACGCGCTCAACGTAAGTCCTTGGAGTTCGCTCTCTATTCTATTTCTTATTTGAGATCAGACAACTGACAGACATCAAATTTACGCAGGAGCAAAAAAGAGTCTCTTGCGAGATCAGAAGAAAGCGTCCCTCCAGTCAAACAGGAAACGCAAAGATGTTCTGATTCTCCCGCGGCCAAGGCAGGGCCAAATTCCAGAACGGTTCACCCAGCCAGGATCTCTGGAGGAAGCAATAACCATGATGCCACGATTCAATGCTACTGCCTACGCTGCATATTATACTGCTAACTCGTGTGTCGACCAATTACTAACATGGTCAAAATTCAACGTTCTCCGCGCCTTTGTGGACAACCTCAACGTATTTGGGTTGAGTATGCAGCAGGTGGAGGACGATGACGCTGTATCCCCTTTCAATTTATCTCCAACCCGGCACGGGGATCAGACTCTCCCTGCAAGCCTCTGTCCAACTACAGCTCAATGTTCCGTGCCTCATCACCCCTGGCTGGACTGCCTCCCATTCCCACAAATGCGGGATAACTTGATTCTCGTCCCTGAGACGTTTGACGATTGCACGCTCTGCACAGATATTATGGACCCTGCGAGTGGCGACGTTGGCATGCTTGTTTGGGGCGATCCTTGGCTTCCCCAGAGCTGGGAAGTGTCCGAGTGGTTCGTTCGCAAGTGGGCTTGGGTGATTCGCGGATGTCCAGAAATCCTGCACTCGAGTAACTATTGGCGGACTAAACGGGGTTTGACAAGGCTGGATCTAAAGGGAATATTATAGGGTCTATGTCATTGTCCGTGCATATAATGTTACGATGATAGTGGATGGATGAAAACTACACTCCGAAATGATCTCAGACCTGCCCGTCCGAAACTTCGCAGTGCCAAAATTTGGGCAGTGGAAATGATTCCACATGTGGGTTGATATTTACAAAAACCCCCTGGCTGCTCACAATTTGGCCTTGGTGCCGTGTTTCTGGCCATATACGCCCTGCTTGTTTCTATACACCAATCCTGGCCCTTTCTTGTCAAAAAGGTCGTCGAGAAGGCGTAATACCTGTCGTGCAGACCCAAACGCCAATGACCATCCCGCTGCCGCGTGACCGTAGGAGTGGACGGTGCGGCTCCATTGGCCTTGGCAGGTCTTTCGCTGATCGCGCTCTACCCGGACGGAACCTATCCTCATAGGTCGTCGGCCTTGAGACAGAGGGTATTTGGGATCCAGGCGAGCATTCTTTAGCGCAGGTAGTAAAGCCTCACATCGCTCTCGCATGTCCTTGATTGTTTCACATGTCGGAGATAGGTCCAAGCACCAGGATTTTTGGTTCAGAATAGAACCCAAAAGTAGAATATTGTCATTGCGTGGAATAAGAACGGCCATGTCGTGAAAATTACCATTATGTCTTGTCTCAGTTGAAACAACCATAGCGTTCTCGACCTTCGGGAAGTCTGTGCCATCGTTGATCATGCGCAACATCCCACCTCGTAGAGGATAAACGTTTTCGTCTGCAGCTGCCTCTCTCGCCCAAACGCCTGTAGCATTCACAATGGCATCTGCCTTGTAGAGATGTAGCAAGGAGTCTTCCTGGTTGACAATATCTCCATGAATTATATCCGTTACCAACCTAGCACCCTTGCTTTGGACAAGTCTCATAAGAAATGACATTGCAACGTCGGAATCAATGACTGGGGCATCATGCTCATAGGCATCAACTAGTCCTCCATGGCAGTTAGTATTAACCCCATACTTGTCGAAGAGATGGGTTCCCTGTGAGAACCCTTCCAGTCTGGTACCCTTGATGAACTGGATTTTGTCTGCTTTGATTGCATCCTCATGAAGCGAGTTGGTGTGAAATGCAGTAAACTTTCTCATCTTTAGTCCGTACGCCTCCCTGAGGGTTTGATCTGCTGCGATTGCACGATACACCTCCAAGCTTTCAAGTGCCCATTTCTGTACCATAGGAAGCTTATCTCCAATAGCCTGTGGCCCACATCCACCAGGAGGAAGCTCCCAGAGTGCACCAGCGACCTGAGAAGTCAGGCGCGGTCCTTCATCATAGCTCGCCCACTCTTTGGAAACGATAGTGACGTGATATCCGCTATCCAGAAGGAACCATGCGGTAGTCAGGCCTGCCACTCCACCGCCGATGATGAGAACACGAGAAGACTCATCATTTGGGGTGATAATGGGCTTGGGACCAGCAGAGAGGTCGTTGCTGATTCTCAGTGCATCAGTTTCCTGCTCCGGAAACGCCGTGGGAAGAGATCGTCTTTCAGACATAGTCTATCTTGCCCTAGAAGTCATTAAATTAGCCTTTCCGTCCATTAAGAAGGATATTTTCTGTTAAACAAAATGACTGCTAGGCCTCAAAAAGTGTGAAAACGTGCGTTGGGCTTCACACAGTCTATTTCAATTTATATTCTGGTTGATGTATTCTGTACCTTTCAGGATATATTTTGACTTTTCAGGAAAACGGACCACAGTTAGCAAGGTATTGTGATATTGTGCATGCTAACACAGAAACAGAGGGGGAGGGGGTGATATTAAATAATTGTTTTCATGACCAATCTATATTACTATATACTCCCTCTGGACTACATCTTGGCGATCCCGAATGCAAGCCCAACTTACCGCTAGTAATTAATACAATAATTTTACCCTGAATTACACATCTTAATGAGAAAATTGATTGATATGAATACCATACAATACACCACGCTAATCGCTAACCTGCATGCATTTTCTTGCATGCATTTTGTCAAATGCAGTCCAGAGAGAGTACACCCATTGGAAAAGCTCTCCAATCAATCAAAAAAATCACGCATTCTTGGCAAAGGAAGCTGCCGTATCCCAAAATCAAGTTTACAACCCTATAGAGAAATGTATACTCTATGCCGATGACGGCTTACTCTTTTAGCGTTCGGCTTTTCTAGACAGACAAATTGGCTATAATCTATTTAAAATGCACTGAGCTTCCCCTAAGAAAATGTAGGATATATACAACGGAGAGTTGTAAGTGATCATAAACATTTTTATTACACAGTTCTGTTCGCAAAAGGCTGGCTCGAAATACATGTCTTATTGGATCATATAAGATTCGCGGAGAGAATAGCACAGCTGTATTTACGGTGTATCAGAGTGCCACGAATGACACCGATACAAGTGATATCTATACAGTAACGCCGCGGAACCCCTACCACTTTTCTCGAAGTACTAATTTGTGTATCACATTATTATGATCGTGCCCTTTTTTCTAGAAGCTAAAGTGGTCTGGCATCAGTGCCTAAAGCTTATAAAAGGACAAAGAGACATACCTGCATATGTATATAAAGTGCAAAACCACCGTAGGAGAAGTGAACTGCCTGGACCCACTCGATCCTGATTGGACGAAAATGCAACAGCCAGCCGCATTAGCGCCAAACCTTGTGAGTCTAACCACGGGCCTGGGCACATGGTACTCATGGAAGCTTGGAAAGTTCGATTTTTTTTTGGTCTATAAAGATCGAACATTCACCCTAAGTGGTACTTCATTTCGCTCTATTTTTCAGCTTTCACAAGAATCCCATCATGTCTTGCAACGGTACCAAATTCAACCCCGACAAAGACATCCCTGACCTGAGTGGGCAGGTTATCTTGGTCACTGGAGGTAATGCAGGCCTCGGCTTCGAGACAATCAAAGAACTTTCCAAACACCGTCCTGCACACATCTATCTCGCGGCACGATCTGCGGAGAAGGCAGTCAAAGCGATCCAGGATATGAGAGAATCCGACGACGTGACGGCACCCATCTCATTCCTCCCACTTGATCTATCATCATTCGATAGCGTCAAAAAGGCAGCCTCGAAATTCAACCAAGAAGAGTCTCGCTTGGACATCCTCATCAACAATGCCGGTAGCATGATGACTGCAGAAGGTTTGACACAGGAAGGGTAGAAACACAATTCGGAACCAACGTCATGGGTCACGCATTACTCGTTCAACTTCTTCTTCCAATCCTCACATCTTCCAATCCTCACACGAACGGCAGCCATCAACCCCGAGACTCGAGTTGTGACTCTGTCTTCTGCATCCAAGTCTATGGCCCCTAAGGATATCTACCAATTCGACGAGTTGAAGACAACGATGGCCAATCGCAACACGACAGCACGTTACTGTATCTCCAAGATTGGCAACCTTCACTACAGTGCCACCATGTCCAAAACTTTGGTCCTGTCAAATTCATCTGTGTCCATCCGGGAATGGTGGCGACGAATCTTCACCACGAATCTTCGGGACTCTTTCTTCGGATGTTCCTGTTTTCTGCGATTTTCTTCGCCACGCCTCCTGATAAGGGGTGTCATAGTCAGCTATGGGCATCGGTCAGTCCAGATGCAAAGAATGGAGAGTTCTATGGCCCGGTGGGTAAAACTGGGAGCGGCTCTAAGCTTAGCCAGAACCAGGAATTAGCCCAAAGCCTGTTTGAGTGGATTCAACAGGAAATTGAACCTCATGTTTAGATTTTGTAGCGTTGTCGAGAGATACATGTTGACCAGGGATTGTGATCACTCTAAAGTTGATGTACAATTATGCGAAAGGCCGGTCCCGGTTCCCTAAGCGGGGTGTACAAAAGAAAATTATTTCTTTCTTTCTTGAATTACTCTGGAAAATATACCTTTCAATAAAGGTAAACTATGTGATCAATATTGCTAGGTCAAACCCTTAATTGAGAATTATTGTATGTAGACGAGTAAAGCGACAAAGGCCTAGTAGTAGTAAAATTGATGATGCTGCCGCAGGGTCTGTAAATTTGTAAAAAAATATAAGGGCCCGTTTAGGACTTCTTGCGAATTTTATCTTTGAACAGTCACCAAGACAGCCTTGTGATCTGAACTAGTGGTGGCGGAGGCTCGAAAAGACGATACACCTACCTCTTAAGACGACATACATATCCATTCCCACGCAGTAAATTAACATTGCTGTGAAAGACCAGTCACACTATCTTCGATTTTGGTCAAGAACCAACTTGATTAATCGACTACCTTGACAAAATATGAATTCCAAATACAATGTGGTTCATTCATCTACATGGCTCAGGACGAGAAAGCCAGGGCATTTGATCTAAGATGGGCTGGACCGGTCGCACTCGACAAGCTATCCTTCAAACGCAAGTGATCTGTAACAGCGGGGACACTGCCAGGTGTGTAGCAATGCAAAGTGACGCGGTGCAATACACATACATCACACTGCATACGCGCCCTTCCCGAGATCCCCACCCCGTGGACTCAATTCCAAAATTCGGGGCGGCGCGGTGGAGGAGTACTTCACCATGCCAGCAGTGATTCCAAGTTGTAGACTAAGAACTCATACGATGTCAATCTGGACCGCCAAGCTAGACTTGTATATTTTTGTGAGGGGCGACTACCTAGCCAAACAGAGCTGAGCATCGCTTTGGTACCCGACCTTGTGGGGAAATGATGCGGTGTTTCCAATCACACCCTACGGAGGCTGCACTACTGGCAGTAAGCCATCATCATTGGCAGGGTCTATGTAATGACTGGGATCTACCCGGCCTGGCCTCAAGGCTATGAGTGGAAATTAATCAGACCTGGAGCCTCGCAATAATATTCTGAAGATCTCGGAACCTCGGAGCCTTTCGCCCCCCTCCAACCTCGAAAACGTTGCGCAGAAAGTTCAAACTTTCAAGTATAAACCGTCCACGGTCTCACCATGACCTCATCGCCATACTCTGGTTTGGATTCCAGCACCAAAGAGATTCGTCTGGTGAAAATCCTTCCCAGCGAAGACGAGGAAAGCCCTTTGCGAATAGCGTTGCAGAAGGCATCACTCAATGATGTCCTCGAATTCGAAGCTCTGTCGTATGCATGGGGTGAAATTACTGTCACAGTTGATATCAAGGTTGACGACTGTACGATGGCGCTGACTGAAAATCTCCATGGCTTTCTACGCGCACTTCGCAAGCCCCAAGAAGAGCGCATCGTTTGGGCCGACTATATATGCATCAATCAAGCAGATAGCTCCGAGCAAACCTCTCAACTTCAGTTGATGGCGCAAATTTATGCGACTGCAAGCTCGGTGATTGCCTGGATGGGCGAACTAACACCACCTATGGAGGAGACTATTGCGTTCATGCAACTCGATGACGAGAGCTCTGCGAAAGAACTTGAAGAGTTTGAGCGGGTGAGGGGCCGCGAGGTTGTTTTGAAGAAACCAGTCGAAGGCCTCCTTATTCTATCAGCAATACCATATTGGTATCGGCTATGGACCTTTCAAGAGTGGCATCTTGCAAAACAGACACCCGTCTGTATGGCTGGAAAGATCACTTTTACATTGAATAATTGGTTTCATTGGTTATATACAACAATATCTGAGGCCAAGAACAGAAGCTTGGCAGAGGCTTTTACCCAATCCGTTCCCGAAGAGTCCATTCCCGGAGAAAAAACAGAATTGAATGAAAAGGAAGATCAGGACATGAGACAGTGGGATGCACTTTTAGCTGACCCTGAGATGGATCGGCTTTTAAAGAATATCCCACGAGACGTCATGCAGCAAAGTCGACTTTGTCTGGACTCAAATGATCATTCGACACTACGGAATCTGCTTTCACTCACTTTTGATCGAAAATGCAGCCGAGAGCTTGACAGAGTGTATGCAGTATATGGGCTTTGTCCCCAGGCTAGCGCGGCATATCCTCCAGACTATGAGAAAAGCAACAGTCAGGTCAATTTGGAAACAACAGTGTTCATTTTGAGACACGAACTTGATATGAAGGTATTCTGTGATTTTGACTTCTGTTTCAACTCCGACAAAAACGATAAGTCTCTCCCTTCGTGGGCTTTGGATTTCATCACGACCGACCCAGAACGTCGTGCACATATACAACAAAGTTCCTACAAGAACATGAGTCTCGACAAGGGGCTTTGGGAACAGATTGGGAATCATACTCCGGCGATAACAGACGACTGCCGGACCCTCAAAGTCTGGGGTCGGTCACTCGGAGTGACTCCCCATATTTGGGATCTACCGTCGAACCCCGTACATTGCTTCGGGTATGTCCAGACTATTTCTGAATGTTTCAAGGATCGCGCTGGGATCAATGATGATATTTTTCACATATCAGAGGGAGTGAAAAATGCCGCTTATTACTACACCGGTTGCTCTGACCACATTCCCTACGATCAATACCACAAATTCATGGAAAAATGCATACTCACCAACACGGATGACTTCTCGAAGGCAATCGATGGTTATTTCGCTACCATATGCCAGTTTTTTACCAAACTTGAGAACAAAAAACTGTTCCACATCGACAACTATGTCGGTGGACATTGGACTACAATGAATGTTGGATTTACCGACTGTGAAATGCAAATGGGCGATACTATCATGATCCCCTGCGGAGTTGCGCAGCCTTTCATCCTCCGCCCCGTCCTAGAGCAGACATTCATTGACGGGAACGAAGACTGGCGTCCCGTTTTCGAGCTCTCACCCAATGGGGAGAAAGAATTGTGCTTACGGGTTGTTGGGCGAGCATTCGTTGAGGGTATTTCGGACCGACAGGACTTTGCAGAAAACGTTCCGATGAGGATGCTGGAGATGACAGAGTTCAAGCAATGGTATATCAGATAAGAAGATTTTGGCAGTATGTTGGAATCCTCTGGGAGTTTGAATCTCTGCAGGAAGAGCTGTGAAAGCTGTTGTGTGGGAAGTTCGTCCCAACCCCCGCTTTTGTTTGTAGATAGACTGACTTCGTCAACCCGACCAATTCTCCCAGGATGAACTTCCTCCCCTTCTCTCCCTCCCTTTTTTCTTCCCTCTCTAGCTTAAATCTCTTCTGCCAACTAGAGCTCATTCTTGCGTTTTGCCAGCCTGTCACTGACGGTTGGAGCAAGAAGTGCGGAAAATAGAGAAAAAAAGTGTGGGAAAGTGACAATACGGAGATACATAGCATGTTCTGCCAATAACTAAGTCATCGGGTCCAGTGGTCAAGCGCATGATGGATGACGCTCTCTCCGCCAATCGGAATCTTCCGATCCAGCGCCATGAAGTGGAGCATTTCAAGATTCCACGGTTGACTGGATGACTCCCGCCTGACCAATCAGAGGTCTTTCCTACATACAAGATTTTGGCAGAAGTTTGAAGTCGCCATACGGATGACGGATTTTCAGCCATTCACAGGCAATCTTTTAAGTGCGCAATGATGTTTGATTATGAGAGACAACGAGGCTCTTGACGATTGAAGGTATAAATTGGCAGAGGTTTCACACCAAAGAGTGTTATCCTTCGGCTTTTCTCTCAACTTTCTTTCTGATTCGGAGATCCAAACAACAAAGCAACAATATGGCAACCTCGAGAACCTTTGGACCTCTGACGCCCGCAGCTGAGATCGCCGCGGCGTTTCCGATTTCTGTCCAAGGCAAGACCATCATTGTGACTGGTGTTTCGCCCAAGAGCCTGGGACTTGCAACTGCCTCCGCCTTTGCTTCCCAATCCCCAGCAAACCTCATTCTTACCGGAAGGTCTGCCGAAAAGGTTAAGACATCAATCAATGACCTGAAGGCGAACTACCCGAATGTCAAGTACCATGCTCTGATTATGGATCTTGCATCCCAATCCTCGGTACGAGCTGCGGCTGCCAAAATCATGGAGGACGAGTCGATCCAGAGTATTGATATTGTGGTCAACAATGCCGGAGTTATGGCAATTCCAACCCTGACTCTGTCTGAGGACGGCATTGAAACGAGCTTTGCAACGAACCACATCGGCCATTTCTTTTTTATCAACCTGATCCTACCAAAGATCATCAAGGCCGCTCAGACTTCTTCTACACCGACTAGAATCGTCAATGTGACATCCTTTGGACATCAGTTCTCCCCGGTTAGATTCTCCGACATCAATTTCGGCCAAGCCCCGGCTGATCTCCCAGAAGAGGAGCGTCCAGACTTCCAGAAGACCGAGTTCCTCACTGGCAGTAGCCATGCCGAGGACATATACTATGGATTCTTTTCCTATGCCCAATCCAAGACAGCAAACATTCTGTACTCAATTTCCCTGAACCAGAAACTGTGGGCGAAGTATGGAATTGCCTCATTCGCTGTGCACCCTGGAGCCGTCAACACTAACATCAACCGACATGCCACCCCAAGCGAGATTGAACAAGCCCTCAAGAGGGTCAAAGAACTTGGCTTTGACTCTTCTCAGAAGACAACTGAGCAGGGAGCAAACACATCTGTGTTCGCGGCCATTGAACCTAGCTTGCCACCTGTGAATTTCTCGGAGGCCCAAGTCAAGGGTGTCTACCTTGCGGACTGCAAAGTGGATGATGCAAATGTTGCAGCTTTTGCTACGAACAAAGCTTTTGCGGAAAGACTTTGGACCTTGAGCGAGAAGCTGGTGGGCCAGAAATTTGACTTCTAGATCAGGGGAAAAGCAGGTCATTGTGTATATAAACAGCTGCAAAGGACATAGCTCAAAGGTAGATAAGATGAGGAATATATTCAACAGTCAGTGAGGACTTCTGAGTTCTATGTGTCTTTAAGTATATCTAACATCCCTAGCTCAATCGCACGAAGCTCATCTGGGAAGAAGGCGCTTGTGCGCTGTATATATGTGTGATGTGACGCTTCTCGGGGTCTGCGTCGCTAGGCACCCCCGGAGGGAGCAGGCAAAGGAACTGATGCCTGGGATTCTTCGAAAGTGGCTTGTTTCATCAAGCGATCTTTCTCGGTTATACTATCCCACGTAGGATCATGACAATTAGCGTGCGCTAATCTTATCCATGTCTCCCATACTGTTGTTCTCGGGGCTGCTTCACTGAGTGTTACCCACCCAACTCGTTTGGTAGCCTGGATCGCAAACCACAGGCTCTGTGTGTAGCTTGGAAGGGATTTCCCTTTCTCGGATTTGCTCGGAGCTGTGAAGCGTTCTGGCGTCACCAAGCGACACTCATACCGTGACAGATCCCAAAGAAGCTTCTGTGGAAGCAACGATGCTATCCAGTAGAGTATGTTCAGTGCAATATAAATCACGGCGATAACAGCCTGCATGATCCAACCGCAGTTGCCCAGTAATACAACCGATATGGTAATGAGGGAGAGGCTGATGCCAACCAATACCTTGAACCACTGCTTGCCCACGAGGTAGTTACACTCTTCTGAGCCAATAAAAAGCTCTCGAGCAATATCATCGGAGCAGCGAATAATTGCAAAAGCAGCCTCCCGTGTTCGAATAACAATATCGCCCTGTGGGACCAGGGCATCCGTTGGCCGAGAAGCCAACTTGGGTCTCCAGTAGGAGGCAATGCCGATCAAAATTGAAGCGCAGGCAATTGCGAGGAGAGCCAGCGCTGCTGTTCCATCTTGAAGCGCAATCGCCAAGACAAATGCTCCCAGCATCAGTAGAGAAGAGAGCACAGTCAGGATATTGAGGGGCGAGTATGCACGAGGCGGTATCAGTGCATCACGATTCGGATCTTGAGTCTTGCTTCGATCTGGTGTGACGTTAGATCTGAACATGGGCTTCCTTGGGTGATAACGGATGCATACCTGACAATTCAATTTCCCAAACTGCAACATCGAATCTCTTCATATTCTCAATTGGAAGTAAAATGTTCGCAAAGTAGTTCAGCTCACGCACGAGCGTGCCCGAGTAGACTCCACAGACATCAGCAGGTTGACTTGGCAGTCTTGAATTTCGGGTAGAGCCGAGGAAGGATTGAGGTGCCGGAATGATGCGAGGGAGGAGGGACAGCTTGGAGGCCGATAAGGGCTGAATGTGACGGGACATCAAAGACTCTCCAAGTATAGTAATCAGGCTGACTACATCTAGTCGCCAACCTGAAGAGTCGTCGCGGCCGATGGGGAACCACTGCGTTTCTGCCATGAGAGTGAAGGATAGCGTTGGTTCGGGGGTCCAAAGTAGTAGGTAGATGTGGGCCAAATAATCAAAACCCCGAAGCCTTAAATCCCCGATTCAAATTGTCAACTCCACGTGATGAGTGAAGCCTCCGAGGGTAAGAATGAGGCTGTGGCTGTGGCTGAGGCTGGGTGCTCGTGGACTGCGCCGACTGACGTATCGTGGATGAAAGGCGTGTTCGTCGCCTATTGGCGAGAGCCCAATCTTGCGGGTCAAATACACCCGAGTCGAAGAGCATGATATCTTGAGTTCGAACGTTGAAGGACAAGAGGCGTGTTTTGAATCCTCGCAGTGTGGCACTGCCCTGGAAGTAAATGGAGAATGGAGTGTGGTCAGTTGTGTTGAAAGTTGGGCGATCCCCCACTTTCGTGTTTCTCCGATCATTCCCCGTTTCAGCTTATTCCCGACTCATCTTGCTGCCGTAATCCTGTCTTCTATCTCGTAGACGCTCTACGAAATGCTTTTTGCTTTTTGCTTTTTGTTTTGTTTTTTTTTTAAAAAAAAAAATCGCTTCTACCCGAGGGCCCCTTTTCGGAAGCTGAGATGGCCCATGAGCATGTAACCTACCGCTGGAACTAAGTCTATTGTTACTAAAGTGCCCTGTTTCCGAAGTAAAGGATACTGATTTGAATAGAAGTAGTTCGAATAAGTTGTGTGGAATTAAAGTTCGGGACCTGCCGACGTGTGACATTGAACCGTGGAACCAACAGAGCTTAAAGGACCACTGATGTCATCTCTACACTTCGAAAATCTCGGAAGGTTGCGGCCACTCGTCCAAGGTCCAAATCTGCAGTGCTCTCTTTGATCGCTTCTCTCACTTCTCCAAGTGTTACTCCCCACGGCCCATCACTGACATTTCCCACCGTTTTGTCCCATTTCCACAATGAGCAACATAATGATCCGCAAATTTCTCGAAGACGACGCCATAGAATACGATGCGCCAATCACCTCGCATGAGACCGATTGCGACGAATATCCCCGAGAAGAATACTGTTTCTTCTACGGGACCCTACAAGACCTAGACAGACTATCTCTAGTCTTGGGGACTGCAAACCCACCCCCTATGCGCCGTGCCAGAGTGACTGGCTATGAAATCAAGCTCTGGGGCCCATATCCTGCTACGGCCGACAAAAAACTGAGCTCGGTGAATGGTATGGTGTGTGGTCTCTTGTCGCCGATACAACTTGATCTCCTCGCCGCCTACGAAACAGAAGAATACAAACTGAGGTCGTGCTTGATCGATATTCTCAACGACGACGACAGTGTTGAAAGAACTATCGAGGGTGTTATATTTACGTGGGCTGGACAGCCTGAGGAGCTTCGGGAGGGCACGTTTGATCTGAAGCAATGGAAAAAAGACCAAGAACTGCGGGAATTGGAGTTGGAGTTCGCGTAATGAAAATATGTCAATCATCAATCCATTCTGTCTTCTAAATTCAGGATCACTTGAAATGCTTCAAATTCCCTTTCAATCAAATTCCCAACAAGCAGGAGTAATAATTATCACGTATTGTGTTGCTCTGGGAAGACTGACACTGGGAAGAGAGAGAGAGAAAAACACGCATCTATCTATACCTGGCGGTCTGAACCTTGGTATGGGTGATCTCCAATACTAATTTGATATACCTAGATCACGTGATTAGGGGTTGCTATGAAATACTTGCTTCGCTACGCGCCGCAATGATTAGTCCTCAATGATTCAAAGTGACATAACCTTCTCCATGGAATCTTCCACAATATTCCAAAGATGTAGTCGGAGATAGGGTATAGGCGAAGTGCCTCAGGCGTTCGCGGCTGCGAACCGTGGGAGGTTCCCCGACGTATTCTGGGGGATTTGTATTGACCTTGTATGAAGGGACTTCTTACAATATGACAACAATGCGATACTTGGTTATAACGATACAAAACGGTCTGACACAGTGGATCGTACTAAACCGGTTTTACTATACGTAAGGGGTGTCGGAAACTGGTAGAACCCCCAATATCCGGATGGATCTTCCCTGGACATATGATTGGTTGGCTCAGTAATTAACTGTCTGCTTTAGGCGTCGCAGCAGTGTCATTGTTACTTGGTCTCCTCTCCCCGAGCTTCTTCTCTCGAACTAAATCATTAACTACAACAAACTTACAACAAACCACAACCCACAGCCCACAACCCACAAAGCTACAGAGAAACCCATGCACACTAGCATGGAAGACAGAGAAATGGAAACCACACTACGCAAGATCGGGCAAGGCTTTTGCGGTACTGTCTGGGCTGCATCGACAGGGCCCGCATTCAAAAGGGAAGATGGTGGACCTGCCCGATCTCTAAGGCACGACTTTGAGATGCACCAACGAGTGCTCCAGAGCTTTCACAAATCGACCTTACAGCCTCAAATTACAATACCCGCCTGCCATGATTTCATCGACTCAACCGATCATGAATGGTGGTCAGTCAACCAACAAAAGTTCCCACCAGGATATACGCCATGCAATATCATTCTCTCTCAACGCATTCCACCCTTTCCTGAAACCACAAGACAACTCCTCATCAGCAACTATTGCCCACCAAAGATTGAACAGCAAATCCTCATCAGCGAGCCCGACAAAGATTGTTTAATTAGGCCATACCTTGGCCGAAGACGAACACAAAGGTCCCATACGACGTCGAGATTCACCGCATTTTCTCTGCGAAATTTTCCGTTCCACCTGGATCAAATGGAATCCCTCGGAGTCACAACTGGTGAAATCAATCAGTACGCAATGATTATGGCCGAAACTCTTGCGATGATGCATTGGATCTGTGAAGTTGATGGAAACGACGTCGAGTTTGTTCTTGCGCCGTCAAGTGAGAACGGCTATAAGATGAAGTCCACAATTTTCGGAGAACATTCGATGTGGGTCTTGGACTTTGATTTATGCAGGAGGATGGAAATGAGCTCAGAAGGGGTGGTCCAAGCTGCTGCAGCATTTTGGCGGAATGATCCCTACTGTCCCCGTCCGGAAAAAGATCCTTCGCTCTGGAGTGTGTTCCGAGAACAATACATTCATGTCAGTGAAGCTTGCAAGAGTGAGCCAGAATCAGCGGAAAGACGGAGGATCTTGTCGAGATACTTTATTGATTTGGTGGAACAGGAGGGAAGACGAAGGAAGGAAATGGAGGATCAATTGTCGAGTTCTGTTTTGTAATGAGCATTTGGATGTAAATAGCCGGAGAACTCATTTATGTTTGATTACTTCATCAATCTGTACCTCCCTTTTCGAGACAGTCCTACCTTCCTTTTGAACTGCTACCCTTTTGCTCTCCTCTCTGCTCTTCTCCCTCCTCTCCTCCTACGAACATTCATTATTTTCCTGTCTTTTGTCGCTTTTATCTCTGCATCACCAAGCTCAGTTCCCAGTATTCTCAGCATACGAGACTATGAATTCTACCGAGGTCTTCAATCAACACTCGAGGAGCCGGAATGAAGGGAAAACCCATGGCTCATCCGAATCCAAACCCACGAACGGTAGAGTTGTATCCCTTCCTTCAAATTAAGGCTTTAACAAATCCACTTGTATCAGAGTCTCGCTCGGATTGCTTACCACATAACTGTTGAGGATAAGGAAAAGACCATTGATACCAAGAAACGCCGCCTTCCTTTGGAGTCTGCAGACAAGAGAAGAAGCGGACTGACACGGTCAATCCTCTATGCTCTGGAGAGAAGAGCAAAAGAGGAAGCAAGAAAGAGAGGAAAAAGACGACAAGAGAAGGCCAGACCCAGAGAGATATCTCATGGCCTCAATCCAGGGAATTTTCTGGTACCTGGTATTGTTTACAAATTCATTCAACACTCTGCCTGTCGCTAATATACTCTAGATCAACTAGAGGCCACGGACATAACCAATTCTTCTTGTGATACAAGTGAATGAAAATGTAAATGTACATAGAGAACTACACCCTAGTACAGATGCTGTGATAGTAATTGATGTACCTTGGGTTTCTACTGTCCCACATCCATGCGCCTTTTACACCTTAGGCCTAGACGGAGCCTGAATTATTGAAAACGAGGCAGGCGCCCATAGACCTGCGTAGGCTGGGTAATCTTTGTTTACACTCCCACCTTTGGCACCTTTGGCACCTTTGGCACAAACAACGCGTTTTTTCGAACCTGAAATTGGATTTCTGAATACCAAAAGTCCTCCATACCCCCTCATGTATGAATGTGCTGAGATTTTGCTTGAAACTGTTTCGAAACTGACTATTTAGAGCTAGAATTCACCATGGCTAGTCGACGAGAGGCGCAAATGAGCAATGAAACTGAGGATTCCTGGACGAGTTCCCTTATTTGCGACATGGAGCAGAGCTTTTCCTTAGAGGAACGCCTGGCCAAGGAAGCCGAGACCCCCCAACAACTTCTTGGTCGCCTCTTATCAACCAAGTCCGCCATATCAACCGCGTCTTCATTTGCTCAAAGCCGACAAGCAGCCATTGGAACCAGGGCTGCGTTTAGAGAAATTGGTACTGGCTCAATTGGCAAAGTTTTTGAGCAACCAGGAACTCCTTGGGCGTTTAAAGTTTTGCTTATCGACCGCCACACGAAACTGTGGAACAACTACATTATGCACCTCCGTATCCAGCAAAGCTTTGATGCGCTAGGCGAAACGGCTGGTCTAGTTGAAATTCCGCGCGTATCTTAGTTTGCCAGTAAAGATTCGGCGTTCTGGAAGGAAAACCTGGATTTATTTCCAAATGAATCGACATTTCCGAGGCGACCACGCGAAGTTTTGTGCATGGAGCGAGTTTTTCCCCTGCCTGAAAAGATAAGACATGCTCTGGTTGATGTATTCTGCAACCCGGCAATTGCCGCGCAAGCCAAGTCAGAGCCCAAGAACAAGGATTGTCTTGTGCGAGTCCTTCTGGGACGGCGGCGCTTTGGATCCTTGCGCCCAGGGGGGAGTATGTTCTTCTCGCTTAGGAATTATAAGCTCCATTTGGATCAAATCGAAGCGCTTGGCCTTGATGCTGAGGAATATGCAAGAAGCATGGCTGATGCCCTTGCAGTTCTGCATTGGCACACTAAGATTGATGCTATGGACATTGAATTTGCGTTGGGAAGCACTCCTTTTGATCGAAATGCTGCGCGTCGGGTAGTTCCCCTGAAAGATGTTGAGCACCTCCCCCCCCCCGGCTCTAGCACCTATGAGCACACAACAAATGTCGACCAGGATTACAAGAAAAGGACTATTAGTCTGTGGCTCTTGGACTTCGATGCTTGCTCTACCATCACCATGGATGATGTAGGGGTTCGCCGTGCTGTAGACGCCTTTTTACAGACCGATCACTATTACCCCCGACCTCATTCTCGTGATAACCATGCCAACAACTTGTGGATAGTATTTTCCCAGCGATATATTGCTACAAGCCGGAAGATTAGCGCAGGTACAGCGTGGCAGAGTCTACCTGCAAAGTTCATACAGGGAATCATGAATAGGCTTCCAAATCAAAGCAGATAGTCGGTGGTCATGGACCAGGGACATGGGATAACTTGTATTCTTCCTGAAAGTATCCAGGCATTGTGCCGTGTATGTTTATCAATTCCAACTCATCAATGGTTCAATGGAGCTTCCATCTTGGAATTATCCGGCGGCTTTACAATTCTGACTCTTTAGTATGCAAGGGAAGACCCACGGGAGATAAAAGCAAGGCAAATATGTGTTATTACGTGTCAGTCTATTCTTGTGTCGTGACAGACATAACGAAATGCAGTCTATAAAATTGCTAGAACCTTCAAAACAGGGAGTATCCAACTCCATCCCAGCCAAACGCATGATCATAGAAACAAGTCAAGAAGCCATGAACAAGACAGACCGCACTTCACGCACCTTCTGACTCTAGGGATCTTTCTCAGTATCCTGTGGTGCCTCGTGCTTTTGCTCGTGAGACTTCCGCCTGGTGATCCGCTCTTTGTGTGTCCATAGATACCATATGGTTATGGTAATGGCTGCCAAGATGATTGTGGCAACAACAAATATCCAAAACTGCTTGGAGATTCTCAGCTCCTCCGTGGTTCCATCATCGAACTTGAACAAGTTCATACCAAAAACAGACTATAATGCGCAAAGCAAAAGTTAATATTCCAAAGGCCGATTCAATTGTTTCCAACTTTGAAAGTTCAACGGCATTACTTACTGATACCAAGCTTGCAGGTAAATATATCAGCGTCAGAATAGTAACCACCTTGACCGTTGCATTGTCGTCAAAGTTTCTTGTTCCGAGCCGAAGTAACTGTTCATTAGAATACAGCATGCGATTGTTCAACTCGACCATTCGGTTGTTGAGATTCAACATTTGGCTAGTCATCGTATAGTCTAACCCTAAAGTCGTCTTCTTGCCATCAGCCAATGACACAAAAGCCAAATTAGAACGGTACAAAGCAAAACTCACGATATGCGACGTATCCCTGACTGCCTCTTTCAGAACCTCTATCCCAACAACGAGCCCCTCGAGACGTCCCTTATGGTACGCCAAGAAATTGACAAGTTTGAGATAACCATTCTGTTTGACATTTTGGCTCGCATCCAGCGCATGGCTTAATGTTTCAAGTGTTGTCAGAGTTTCCAATATTACTCCAAGTCTGTGTGTGGTAGGTAGTAGACGATCGCGGGTATCGTGAATAGCCGTCAAATTGCTGTCCCCTCCGGCGGCTAGAACATGATCAATATTTCTCATGACAAAGTCAAGAGATTTACCAGTCTGCAAATGAAGATCAGATCAGTAGAAAAAACCAAGGGTATTTAGAAGACTTACATGGTCATCCACGTCCCGGCCGAGATAGTGAATATACTCGTGCCAGTTCCTCAAACAAGATAAAGCACAAGAATGCATTGAAAACCAGGCATGGTCTGAGCTCAGTCCCTGCTGGCTCTCTGGCGCATACCTCTCGAGATCCTTTTGCATTGAGGTGTTAGCCCCGACGAGAAAGAATATCCAGAGATCTTGCAGGCCATGAGGATCATGGTGATGAAGAACAGCTATCTGTCTCATGGTCCAATGGCGAACTCCAGTTGACATTGGAAATGTGAGTCTGTAAGAAATTTCTGAAATATTGCTTAGATCGATCATAGACTTTCGTTTTGAGATCACCAACCTTGTATACCATTTTCATGATTTTGAATTTTCATCGCCCCTTCTCCTACTGAAGAGCTCATGGGTTTGTCCCCAAAGGTTGAAGTCAAGTCCCATAATTCATCGCCAATCTCATAGCAATCCATGAGAATCTGAAGAGCACACTTTGAAATTTGGAGGGGTTTGGTAGATGACTTGGAGTTGATGGAGCTGTTTGCGAAAATTCAGAGGCGGCTAGAATATGGGTAGAAGATTTCCATGTAAAATCTTACACGATTCGTAATTTAGGCATTGCCGTGCTTGAAACATGCCGTTCAAACAGACTATTCTCTGTGAACTTGAGAGTAGCAAGACTATGTGGCGTAGAATCTTTGGATAATGAGTTAACACATGCCTGAGGGTTAAGAAAACAACAGACTGACCGTCCGTCTGGTACATCCATATGCTAGCCGTATCATCAGGAGCACAAAATGTAGGATAAGTTAAGGTTGTGGTCATTGTGACAGTAGAAAATGAGTACGTCTCAAACTAGATTCAAAAGCGTGCTGCAGGAAAAAATAATGGTGGCAATTCAATCTCATTTAGATTAGTCCACACTTAAATACAACCCTCTGAAGGTATCAACATAGGCTCCCCCCCGACTCAGCCTCCAGATAGACACCACATCCCAGCACATGGGTCAATTGCGCCCGACGCAAGACCAAGCCATGTCGCGCACCATTCGGATTAGCCACAGCGCCTTGTCATATTGTAAATATTCCAAAGATCTCGAAGTAGCATACTCGAAACACCTTAGACATGTTGAAATTCTTTGTCCCATTCTACCCAGTCATCTTCGCGCATGTACCTGTTTGTTTTCAATATTAACAACCATTTCGACCGAAAGCAATCAATACCGGAATCTTACGCGATTTCCTCCTAAATCAAACGGGAATTTGTCAGAGAAAAATAATGAGATATAATTTTCACGCTTCATCAAGCTCACCTCCTTCACCTCTCGTGGCGCCTGGAAACTGATACGCCCGCCGGCCCGCTGCAGACGGTTGTTCAGTCTTTGCCCTGAACTTCAACCTGTGAAACTCGAAGGATCGATTTACTTACTACAACATCAATTTTCCGCCCAAATAATTCGAAGAGCTTGTTCTCGAGCGCTGTACGACTTATGTAACCACCTATTCCTTCTCTGATTACGGTCGAAACCAAAGGCTGTGCACTGGACCGTTTGTAACTTGAGGACATTTTGGGTATTTTTGTGATGAATGAGAGTTTTGAATCAAAATTTTCCAGCGCGATGTGAGTTTAGACATAAAGTATTTCAAGGAAACCAACACTACGGAGTACAGCAAGTCACAAAGACTGGTGAACAATCCAAAGGAGCATGGAAGGACGGAGTACTCCATAGATTCTCCGGCAAAAGAGCCGCTTCGTAATTTCCCCCAAGGCACGCCAAGGTCTTACGTATCATCTACCCTAAGCGGCTATCACAAGACGTCTTCCCTGTAAGATTTCAATTTCAAACTGGACCAGCCCCGGGGTCGCGGGGTGTGGCTGAGATCTCTAAGCTCGGATGACCTATCGTTTTGCTCTTTTGAGGCTGTAATCAAACATGGGTTCTTCTTTTTTTGCCACTAATCTATATTGGTTTGCTAACCCAACGTGGCCGATGCAGATAGGTAGATTTCATGACATGCACTTGTCTGTTATTGGCAGCTATGAAGAGAAAGACTCATCATTTCACCCGGGTTTGGACAATCTTGCCGAGTGGACGACGGTACATAAATAATATATAAGCAAATTTCCCAGATTCGTCTTAGTTGAGATAGCTGACACGTGATTGGCCTTGAAAATGCAACGAAATGCATGAGAGAGGTGAGATTACAGTCCCAATTAAAATTCTCTCTCATATTCATACTAAGACCGGGGTTGATGCGGGGAACCAGTACCCCTACAGAATTATCCGCCCAATGAATGAAGAAACGTAAAGCATCATCGGAAAATTTTTTCTAAGTAAACTCCCGGATACTTGGGAACTTGTGCTTAGGTGGTGTCCATGAATAAATGAAACGCCTTAAACAGCTATTGAAGAAGATGTGAGAACGGAGTGAAGCAAAGTACTACTCCGTTCATAATATAGCGCCTCGACCTGGCTGATTTCAATTTCGCCAGCCTTCTTTAAGCCAAGATGAAGGAAGGCTGACTTCAAAGCCTTGGCTTTGACAAATTTCCTTTTCGAATAACCACACGCATTTCCAAGGGTTGACTTGCCCTTTGGCGCGGACTTGGCGACGTCAATTACAGCTCGTGGGTGCTGACTTAGGTCTGGCTGGTTCAGTTTATTTTCAGACAAGACACGAGGTACTCCGTACAGAGTAGGCTGTGTAGGATATCTACTCTAGCGCTATACTCTTAATACACTAGCATGGACTCAAGGGCCTGCAGACGTTTCCAGCCGTGAAGCAGTCCCCACAAGTCCACATCAATCCATAGAGAGACCTCGCAAGGTCAACTCTTCACAAATATCACTCGCAAATCAACTTTTCTCTTCCATTATTGTTGTTTTCTCAACCTACAGCCCTTGCTGACGAGAAAGATTCTGATTGGAAAATCTGCAACATGGACACAAACAGGCGCCGTTCACGTCACAACACGGGGTAGTGTGCTCATCTCAAACCCATTGCAGGCAACTACTTACTTGTTTCCCAACTAGATTGGACTACCCACTCTTCAATCAGCAAACTGAAAGATTAGAGGCGGATGTCACGATTTTCCACCGAATCGCTCAGCTTACAGATGTTGTCGATCTGCCAACACTCATACGAGGCGCAAAGTTATCACGACAGCGATGGAATCAGAACACAGCCGGCCTCACTAAGACAGAAGAGATTATTGTGGGTAGAGAGATGAGAGAGATCTCGCTGCCCTGGTTACAAAATAGGAGTCTTCTCGTCACCATAATGACCACGGCCTGTGCAGCAATTACACAGTAGGTCTAGTGTGACAGCTCACATACAGGGAGCCTATTGACAATAGACACAGGGGATGGCAGCAATCTACTATCAACAGCAGTTCTCTTCTGAAATGGGAAGAGGACCTTGGTCTCAATCACGACGAGCACCGGTTGTTGATTGGACTAATCAACGCAGCTCCCTGGCTTTCGGGAAGTCTCATGTATGTTGCATATCTGAGGTTTCTGCTCATGTTCATCTAACCACGGATATAGAGGTACTTGGTTAAGCGATCCGCTCCAAGACCACTTTGGAAGACGACCCGCCCTGTTCGTAGCCGCTATATTTTGCGTCGTTCTTGTGATAGGTATTTGTATCCCATCTAACGTGTGTCTGGTGGCTGATCCAAGCTTTGATCCAGGAACTGCTCATTGCGAATCCTGGAATACACTGCTCGTGAGTCGCATACTGCTAGGCGTTGGGGTAAGTTTCACTTCCTTGATGTCTCATGTCCAATTCCCCGATCCAGTCTCACGTCCTAGCAATTAGATTGGATCAAAAGCTTCTATTGCGCCCATATTTGCCGCCGAGGCAGCCCCTGATCAGCATCGTGGCCAAGTTTTGATGTTGTGGCAACTATTCGATGCATTGTACGTTCGAGTATTGCCGGCGCTACTGGAAAGTTTAAGCTGATTTTGACTTAGGGGGATATTTCTGGGCTTTGTCTCGGTGCTGATTGTGATGGACAGCTGGAGGGTTCTTCTCGCGACCGCCACAATCCCGGCCATTGTGCTTCTGTTTCTGGTATTTATATGTCCCGAGTCGCCTCGGTATCTGATCCAGAAAAACAAGTATGCAGCTGCATATCAAAGCCTCCTCGAACTCCGCGGAACACCTGTTCAAGCTGCAAGAGATCTGTACTATATTCATTCTCAGCTGCAGACGGAGGCCATCACCAAATGGGATCCTCCGCAGACTTCCGAGGAATCATTCTCGTGGCAACGAGGGGATGGATATGCCTACCAACAATGGATAAAGAAAGGCAATTTCTTCAAGAGAATGAGGTATCTTGCCACTGATGATCGAACTCGAAGAGCATGTATAGTGGCTTTGATTGTGATGGCGTCTCAACAACTATGTGGCGTAGGCTCTGTCCTTATGCCTTCATTGGTTTGACAGTTGCTAACCCGGAATTTGACAGATCAATGTCTTAACATTCTACTCATCCTCGCTTTTTAACAAGAGCGCATTCCTCAATTCGAGCACGGTCATTAAGTGGTACAATTTCAGTAAGTCACCACAATGAACTGCTTACCAAATTTCTCTTCAACTGACGCACGTGAAGGCTTTGGACTCGCAAACTTTCTCTTTACACTGCCTGTCTTGGGATTTATAGACTCGCGAGGACGTCGACCTTTACTCCTTGTATCTTTCACAGGGATGCTTCTCAGTCTTCTTGCCATCAGTGGCTTCTTCAAGATTGCAAACGAGAGCACAAAAGGTATTCTGATAGGAGTGTTCAGCATTGTGTTCTTTCTATTCTTCTACTCAATTGGTGCCGGACCGATCCCTTTTACCTTGAGTGCAGAAGTTTTTCCTCTGTGTGTGCGCGGTAAGTTGATGAATCCCTCTATCTGCCATCAGCTTGGACTAATATGTACCAGAGGTTGGAATGAGTTTCAGCGTTATGATCAACTTCCTTGGCCTTGGGATCTTGGTTCTTTTTGTTCCTCAGTTAACGTCGGCATTCAAAGGCGAGGCAAACCTTTTGTTTTTCTTCTCGTGAGATTTCTTTCCTGTCCATATCCACGTTTGCTGCAATACTGACAGCTTGACAGGGGTCTGAACTTCCTAGGACTTGTTTTAATTTTCTTTTTGGTTGGTGTATCCTAGTCGTGAATTCTACGCTTTATGCTAATAGCGCAGGTCCCCGAAACGAGCCAAATGAAATTAGAGGCTATGAACTCGATATGTAAGTAGCTTCCAGTGAAACTGTTGAAGTTGTACCTCTCTATGAGGTCAGAAACTAATTCCCTGAACAGTTGAGAAAACGACAAAGGAACATGTTGTGAGTCATCTGGGCGAACTCTCTTGGAGGTCGTCAAGGCAAGATGAGGAAGACGATAATACTTAAGTATCAGCTCGGTGCATGACTGAGAATAATATAAACATACCATTTTAGATACGTGAACTGGGCCTTATCTATGAGTTGGGTCTCTTAAAGCTCGTGGAAATGAATCCACAGAGCAAAGGGCTCAGAAGGACCGAAACTTTCATTATACATAGTCTATCGATATCTCGGCGATGGCTGTGCTGTCCTAGCTTTCTTGAATTTTTTTCTCAGGTCTCCATCTAGAAGGACGAATGTTGGCATGGGGTAGTCCACGGGAAGTGTTACCCTCGGGTCTGCTTTCGCATTAAGGATTATGCGGACAATCGTCTCGTTCTTATGAACGAAAGCAGCTTCCAATGGGCTGGTCTCAAGGTGAGTGCCAGCATCGAACTTTCTGTTCAAGTCTGCTCCCCCCTCCAAAAGTGCGTTGAATTTCCTTCTCCACATTGGATCTATCTTTCGATTTCCGTGGACGTCTAGAAGCGCAAGTCTGAGATGGTGTAATAACGGTGTCTCATATGGTATGCCTTCAGATGCACCGGGCGGAGACTGATCGAATCTCATTATGTTGATGAATGCCTTGATGACATCCTCTTTGGCCCTGCTCCCATCTATTACTGTGTAGTGTAGGCAGTTCCAATTATTTTCTTCTGCGCAAATTGTATGATCTGCTCCTTTTGAAAGAAGTAGTGAGACCACATCAGCATGGCCGAAAAAGGCCGCTTGCATGAGTGCAGTTCTTCCGTTGCACAGTTCGTTCAAGAAAAGGGCAAATTCAGGGCTCGGTGGAGGAATAGAAGCATCGATCACAGCTTTCACAATACTCACGTTTCCTGTACGCACTGCAAGATGGAGTGGCGTGTAACCTTCGGACGACCAGGTTCGCACGTCCAGATTTCTGTGGAATCTTCGTTGATGGCTGGAAAGCGCATTGATAGCAGCAGCGTTGACCACATTGATGGCATATATTAGGGGGCGCTCGCCATTGTAAACGTCTTCAACATCTAAAGGCTCCGACAATGTATCGTGGACCTCTTCCATGCTGTTGTTCTTGATATCATGAACGAGACAGCGCAATGCTTTTCGGGGTATAAGTTAGTCAACGGAAAATATAGACTAAAGCAATCCGTATAAGTGGACTTACTACGAAGGCTTGCCGTGCTTTGTTTTCGTGGTTCCGGTCCCAGATTGATGTAAATGTTGATTTCTTGAAAACTGTGCAGTGCGCTCCGCACTTCCCGTGCTGATGGGCGCCGTTCGAAATTAATCTGGAGCATTGATCGAAGAACCTTTTGCATTTCTTCCAAGAACTCAGGGTTGTAACTTTGCCGCGACTTATTGTCAGGCTGCCCTTGCAGCTCGTCCTCAGTACTTGAGATATGAATGATAGTGCTGTATTTGTTCGGAAGTCCTTCAATCCATGACTCGATACTCGGATGTAAAACGGAAGGTTGTCCAACGTGGAAGCAGTCGTCTTTCCGCTGTTTGTCAATCTCCGCGAGACTCGCCGGATCCAGCCCCAAAGCAAAGACACGAGTAAGTATGCACCCAAATGACCAGATGTCACTTCGGAGTTGAGCCTCAACATCAGGTGCGTGGTACTCGCCCATCCTTAAAGATGGTCTGCGCCACATATGCGTATAGCCTGGGTCTTGTGTGCTGTCTTCTGATTGGCGGAGATGTGCTACTTGCGAGATACCAAAATCTGTGATTTTCCAGATGCCTGTAGATGATCCAGGTTGTTTGAAAACGAGGATGTTCCTCGGTTTGAGATCCATATGACACATTGCTTGGTCATGAAACTCTGGCCACTCACTTTCGAGATGAAGATGCTCATGCAAGAAATGAATTGCAGCTGCGAGATTTCGAGATTCGCAAATCAGGTCTTCAAGAAAGCATGAGGTAGCTTTCATACTTTCATAGCCTTGGATCAAAAATTGCTCCAAGTCCATATCCGCCCATGGCATGATGATGTTCCACTGGTTGTGAATGCTGAAGATTGCTAGATAGGGGACTATTCTTTTATGGGTGGATAGGCTTGCTCGGAGATTTTTCAAAGCCTTGACTTCCTCAACGAAATGAGCATTTGGCCTGGGAAAGGACTTTCGAGCAACGATCAGTTCAACCTAAAAGACCAGGAATCTTGTAAGCCATCTGTTCAATCTACCTTTCTAGTAGGAGACTTACTGGATGAGGTGCATCTGGTATACCGAGGTGGTCGCTCAAGTGACTCAAGACGATATGGTTGGGTGGTATCCTCTCCTTAGTGACTGTTCCAAAACCACCTTCTCGTGGTGGACAGTCCTTCTCCTGGTATAACGGGATCCGACGTTCCGGTTCATAATCCGTTTGTTCACGTCCTTTCAGCACTTCTGGGAAGTAGATCCACCTGAGCCACATGAAACGCTGCGCAAGATAATCATCGCCAAGAAAAGAGTCCACAGCCAGATCTTCCATTTTGAAATCGAGGGCATGTTTATCGCGGCGAAAGTTGGCTAGGGTATCGTCTGTTGGAAGAAACATCTCTCGGAACCTCGGCCATCTTAGCCAGTCTGAAGGGACAATAGTCGCGAGGATCGAAATCGTACGCAGAAGATTTTCCCGCACCGTGTCTATCTCGGAGGGAGTTAGACTGGGGTCATGCGACCACAGAAACTGTTCCAACTTCTCCCCAGCCCATATCTGCTGAACATCTGCGTGAAGAATGAAGGAATTCACCGGCGTCTCTTTGTTGTATCTTGCGGTGGCGAGAGCTTTGCAAATGTCTTCTAAGCTCATTTGGCCGGCATGGATCAACAGCGCCACCAACTCTGACTAAACAAAGCCAGACGGGTAATGATCCTCGGTGGTGTATCGCTTTTTCGAGTGGCGATAATGGAAGTCGTGCGCGGCGCAGATCTGAGTGGGGTGTGGAGTAAGTAAAGTGAAGAGGAAAGTCAGCAGAGCGGAGACACTTATATAGCAGAGCGGAATCAGCCTCATTTCCCGGTCGGCAAACGCCAAGCAACTGCAAGGCCGGAGCTTTGGAATAAATCATCGCGTAGCCCTATGGCTACTCAAGTAATGCGGTGTTGGGCGTTTCGAGCTATATTTTCCCATCTCGACCCCAGAGATCTTTCCAACTTGGAGAGCTTGGTGATGAAGTATGATGGAGCGGGGCCCCGCTTTTCCCCAGACTGCAGGCGAAAAAGGTTAGGAGCACCCGAAGCTTGGACTCTGCATCATCAGAAGAATCAGTACATTCATGCGCACCTTGGAAAGAGTAATGGAAATATGCAAAATTCGGGTGGATGTCGAAAGAAAATCGCATCTTTCGACAGGTGATTCGATGTCCATTCGACAAATGGTTGCGGTTCGACGGAACGGCCCGGGGTTGTACCGTGGGGTGGCGTGTAGCCTCGAGAGTAAGTAGGCTGTCTTAATTTCCCTGCCTAAGCTATAGAATGGAACAACTTTGGAATGAAAGACAAGGGGAACATTATGATCTGATTTTCTAAAAGTTCGTCTTGAACTGCCTACCTACGGAGTACCTCCTCCGTACAGTGACGTTTCAAAAGTGTGTAATCCCGGGCGCTTGTTAAACTTCAAATTCAACTTTTAGTAATCCCATAATGATGTTGGGAAATATACTCCGCGTCTTGTGAATACCTAGGTGCTTTCTAAACTACCTAAGCGCCCGGTTCTAGCGACCTATTTTTAGAAATTTTGACTGAAATATAAGTTTCAGGTGGACGTTTACCTACGGATCACGTTTCACAATGCGGACAGCGGCTACCGCCTGGAGCTCCCGAAGGTCCTACACATGATCATCAGAGCCCAGCGTCTAAAGAGATACACCCGTGGACATCTTGGTATAAAGCAATCCAGAGCATCACCCGGAATCTAATTTTTAACAGACTTTCTATCACTCTCAAGTATCGCTTCGGATATAGCCAGTTCACTTGGTGTCAGCCACATCTTTATGCCCCAAAACCGGGCGCTTGCACGATGCCGTCAAACAAAGATCGTTTATACATTGCTCTCCATGCACGTGGAGGTAAATCTACCATGGCGGGCAAGGAAGACACGTGAGTTCGTCGTGCAACGGCGACTTACGATTGGAAAACTGATTTTGAGCTAGATACCACTGGGCATTAATGGTGGGGCCGAAATGGGAATCGAAATATGGTAAAGGGGTCCGTTACCACGCAAGGGAGCACATGGAGATGGGAGTAGCCTCTCGATGGAAGTTCGAAGAGATCGATTGTTCACTTGTCGCCTCTAGCATGGTGCTTGTTCGCATCATGGTCGGGAAGGTGGAGGATGGAAACCGGCTAGTTGAAATTATACGCAACACGCCTGTTAGGGCAGGACGAAAAGGTTGGAATTGTGTATCCTGGGTAAAGGAGGCACTGGAAAGACTGGAGGCCGATCCCCAGGCGCTGGGCACGCGTGTTCTTGGGTGGGAAAAGATTCGCAACAAGGCAATGAATTATTGTTAGCAGAAGAAAGACCAGCACCGGTTTGATGGCAAGGGCGATTTCGATATTAGCAGGCCTCCAACTTGGGATTTAATAGAAGATAAAGAGACCATCGAATGAGTCAGAAGCCAGTGGATTCTGTTTCAAAATGCTCCGTAGTATTTCTGACGAATCTGTTCCATCGCCAGCTCTTCGGGTAATGGATCTAAGAACCTATCAATCTCATTGACCCAAAACGAGTTTTGCGGGTTGACCTGGTACGCAGTAGTGTATTCCCAATATGATGGATACCATCCAGCGGTTTCCCAGTCAACAATGCCAAGAATGTCATCTCCACGCGCAAGAACATTGAGGCTGCTAAGATCCCCGTGGGTAAACACCAAAGGCCAAGATTTGTTTTGAAGTTTGATAAGGTCCTGAACTTCAGGGGGGAGCCTTGAATCGAAATCCATGTCCTCGCGTAAATGCTGATGAAAGTCTTGGATAGTATCAAAGGGGCCAAATCGGTTGACGGAACCCGGAAGGCGGCAGTCATAAAACGATCCGCCATCAACAGAAGCAATCTTACAACCCTCCGGGGGCTGAATATCACGAAGTTGACGAATCTTCTCTGTCAATTGCGAAAGAAGTTTCGCTTTTGACTCCTCACTTTGATGTCCCCAGATATAACCAATCATATCTCCCTTGATTCTCTCCATCACTATATATGTCCGCCCAGAATGAGTAAATGCACATTTAACTTTAGGCACCGGGATGGATGTATGTTCCGCAACGAACTGCATGGCTGATGCCTCAGACAGATGAACGAGCCTTCCATATTTGACACATATTCGGTCAGTCAACATGAGAACTCTCCCTTTGATGAAGTTCGAATCCCCTCCACGATTTTGATCGCTAAAAGTGTCGACCACCGATACAGAACGGTGCTGTGAAATGGTTTGGACGGGCCCAAAGAGGCAACAGATGGTGACGAGGACTTTTTTTGACTAAACCACATTGTGCTTGTGTTCAACGCAAGGCAGATGTTGGAGGGAAAGATTTTGAAAAGATCGTTTCCTCCTGCACAAAGGGGTTTGCAGTTGACAGTAAACAACGGTCATCGAAAAACGGTTGGTATTAGAACCTCAAGCCTTTCATGCAAAGTCACAGGTGGTGGTGAAGTGGAGTAAACAATCCTTGATGCCGAAGGGCACCGAGTTGTGATGCCTGGGTGTCAGAGGGAGGAAAAAGTAGTCAAAATAGCGATATTGGTAGTTTTCATAATGTCAATGAAGATGTGTGAGCGTGGTAGGAAAAGAGAGCTTGCGGCTACCCCTTTCTTCGCAGACTGATTCGAGGCGGGTGGTCACATGCAGCGTAGAAGCTTTGTACGACAGGGCCCTGGCGCCCGGGGACGCAAACTGACGAAGCGCAAACAACTGGGCGATGCAGAAAAAAAGAAAAAGAAAAAGAAATGACAAGAGTGGGATTTGAACCCACGCCTACAAACGTAGATCAGGAAACTGAGAACAGTTATTGAGTTAAGGTGGACCTTAACCTGACGCCTTAGACCAACTCGGCCATCTTGCCACGAAGATGACTAATCTTGATCTTTTGTCATCTATGTCCATTCAACGACTGCTTTTGTAAGTGTTCCCTTTGTGTGCATCAGACATGATATAGATATCAGGGGTTGTATACTAGCACGGCCTAAGCCTAGAGAGCAGAATCCTTCTAATACATATAGGCAGACATGTATAGCACTTTGAGATGGGGAAGCCCCGTCCTGAGCTTCATTTTTTCATCTTTGCACATCCTCGCAATATCTATGATCTCGGGTTTCCTCAAGATTACGAAATCGAGCTTGCATTGTATGTTTAATATAAGCCTTTGGGATATTTAGCATGATGTGCACGACGTATCTCAACAACTTCGAACAGTGTCTTCCACTCGTCTCTCGCTACAAAGTAACAGGGTGGATCCCACTCATAGCGTGGATCAATCTCGGGACTCGTTAACCTTGGTTAATGAATTGTGTGTGTATTGTAAATTTTAGATGTTTTCGTAGGCAACAAAGTATTTATTAGTAGTAGTAGTAATAATCGTTTACTTTTACATTGATCTTTCGCCAAAGCGAGATGCAGTATACAGCAACTAAGTACTTTGCAATTAGTGGTTATGATGTGAATTTTGCCGTCTGATTCGGTTGATCCTAGCGAGAACAAAGTTGGAAAGAATGGAAGACTTGGATCCACGAAAGACAACTCATTACTCCGGAAGATCGAAGGGTCAAATATCTCGCAGGTCTCTTTCATCCTTAATAGGCTCATCTTCGTCCGGATCGTTATTTGTCAGTACGGCTTCCAACATTCCATTGAACATTGCTTTGTTTCCTGATTTTGCCGCTTCCCAGTCGCATAGAGGAACCCATCCGTCAGATGCGGTATCAAGAGAGCTTGACAAATCACGCTTCAGATTCTGGGCTGCCTCGAAACACTTGTACTCCTTTCGGTGTAGAGACATATCTTCTGGTGTCGGTAAGATGAATGGACACGAACCGGGCAATCCGAGCGCTTCCCAGTCTTGAGATGTTTCAATGAGCTCATGCTGAAAAGCAACGGCGCCATCTTTCCACGTTCTGTAGCAGTACTGAAAGGGTCGAAACATGCCTTCATCCATGGACTTAGGGAGTGCGAGCTTTGGTGTGAGAAACTGGGTACAGACTTCGTAGGTTTTCATGCATAGCTCGCTGTCATCTGCCCCTTCAGCACTTACGGAGGAAGCTACCCCCGTTGCGAAGTCCGGAACCTCATCTGCATACCAGAACGCCGGTTCTATGCTGCATGACTGCCAATCAATAATGCCAGTTATAACCGAGGGATCATCATGCGAAACAAATATGTCTCTCTTGTGTAGGTAGGGATGAAACAAGACCGGTACAGCTGCATCACGGACCCGACTATCCGCGGACATTGCATGTAGTACCGCACGACCAGATTCCAGAAGACTTAGATGTTTTTGAACCGAGCCTTGATAAATTGGTCGATTGGGGAACTGAGAATCCCTCGGTGGGATCCTTGAAAGACCTGCGTCGACAAGGCCGTCGGAATATGCACCTATCGTCGGCCCTATATTCGCAAGACTTAGTCCTCAATCCCCGGAATGAAGGTTAAAGCGAACTCACATGGTCCTTGATTAGAAGCTGTATGTTGATAGTACCTGGGGTTGCCACAAGCACAATACCTTGTTCCACAGTGGGGCCCAATGCAGAAGCCGCCGCCTAGGGGTAGGAGGAAGAGCCCAATTGAACAAGGTAGTAATCATGTGACTATCTTTGTACCTAAATTACAAAGGATGCAAACCATGCAAACTATGTAAGGCTCCACTTCGGGTTTCCGTCAAACCAATTCTCTCAGACTAGACTTCCTTCCCTTCCCTCCTCTTTTTCTATTGCTTCTTTAGCTTAGATCTCTTTATGTAATTGAATCATACTGTTGCGTTTTGCCAGCCAGTCACTGCAGAGTTCTCCCGCCGCTGTCGGCCACCCACCCAACTACTGACTCACCGGCGTGTGGTCAAAACACAGTCAGTTGTCGGGTGGGTGTCACCCAGGTGAGAATAGGCCGAGCGTCGCTTTTGCATTTTGCAACTCGGTTGATTAGGGTGAGTGCACAATAGAGAATGTCCAAACAGGGTGACTGGGCAATACGGAGGATTCATAGGATTCAGAGAAACGTTGTATAGTGTAAGTAGTCTCACATAAAGAAGGGACTAGAGGGGGAAAAAGTAGAGAAAGAGAAAGAGACAACAAAAGAGAGAAAGGGATCTATCCATACTCCAACTTCATTCAACTGCGCAGCATCCTCTCTATAGAGTCTGATCTCTCAAAACACTCAAAAACACCCAAAAACATATTTTCCGTCGTTAAGTATGGTAGTGGGGGGTCTGTATATAGTCATGGGATCTCAATGACCTATACATGTCCGCAGACCGCTAGTTCTACAACTCAGATATCTTCCATCTTCCAACTCCCCCAGGGTCTTCCTCTTGTAGAGCCCAAGGTTCCTTCAAAATGGAGCCTGGTGTAGACTATGCGTCGAGCCAAGCATCTATTTTCACCTGGGCAAAATATGACATCATCGTACAGACTCAATATGCGTTGTTTTTGATGTTTGATTTTGAAGTTCTGCGTATTTTACTCTGCATGTGGGTACTGGGGGTGAGGTTGATCTTGTCACTCCTTGTTAGGAGCCTAGCACACCTGGGTGCTAGGTTCATAACACCCCCGCTTTACCTGCCTACAAATGGTATCGAGCCAAGCATCTAATTTGACCTGGGCAAAATCCGACATCATCACAGAGCCTCAATATCAGTTGTTTTTGATGTTTGACCTTCGAGTCATGTGTACTTCGCTCTGCATGTAGGTGCTGAGGCCAGGTCTACACTTGTCCCCCCCCCCCCCCCCCCCCCCCCCCCCCCCCCCCCCCCCCCCCCCCACCCGCTTCGCCTGCCTAAAATGGTTGGATGATGTCTAGCAATACATTCACATACATCATTGAAATATGCTCTACTCAAAAAGTAATTAGGATATATGATTTTTCACGAGATAATCTCTCTCACCCTGGAAGAATCAGCCTGTAGCCAAAATGGCATCCAAGCAAATTCTATGCGGCTTGAGTAATGGTAGTTTTGGAATAGGATTGAACAAAACCTTTAAGCTGATCTACCTAGACTGTTAAGGGCCTGAATCAGCAATAAAAAAACGGTTGTATGGTAGAGAAGTATGTGCCTAGGTTACCTATCATCCAACAGGGTGTATTGGATCTCATTCTCTGAGGGATAATGGGGAAATTTGCAAGGTTCATGGTTCTCCAGTTCTGATGCAAATGGGAGTTTTGTTTCCATGAATTTTGCGATAGCCGTGATTTGCGAAGCGGGTCATCATCTAGAGGGCATTTGAACACATGCAGGGGGGTACGTCCTGCATACCTTTTGCCTATACTACCCTTTGACCAATAAAGAACATCAATGAATGGCGAATTGAAAATAAATACTCATAGTCGAGGTAGTTCATGAAGGGCCTGGGTGAATCAAAGAGATGAGAGAGTCACACTAATGCAGCATGATGTGTGAAAACTTGGATATCCCAAAAATTGGATTGCATCCTGCTTCGCAGTTTGCATTCCTCGAGTCATGCATTCAGTACATGGGGTTCTTGAGGTGAAAAATTCTTCTGCCAAGAAGGATGGGCAGCTTATTCTCTCACATTGGAAAGAGCTGAAATCCAACCCGCACGCGAGCTGAAGCTATAAAGATCACCTCTTCGCTCTAACTCACCGGACCATCAAGTCAACGCAATAACTTTATCGAATAAGAGTTCAACATTCAATTGTTTTATCCAAATTTTCGACTTTGAAGTTCATCATGCATTTTTCGAAGTTGATGTTTGTCATTTTGACAGCTGGTGCTACCCTGAGTCTGGCTGCACCAACTGAAAACAATAACGCTGCCGCTCAATGGAAATGCCCCCATGGATGGAAATTTTGCGGTGTATGTTTACTTTCCAAAAAACTAATCTCGATCTTTTTCTAACAATGAAAAGGAATGCAACGGAAACTCTTGCAAGGTTGCTGGATCCAATCGGTGAGCCCATCGTCTGCTTTTTTTACGAGCTAGCGAAGATAGGATTACTGACAATTATAAAGTAAATGTGCAAAGGGCACCAAGGTAACTTCACTCCAAAATTTCAGTTCTCAGGGACGGATCCTTTGCGCCAGTTGTTTCAAGCTAACAATCATGGATAGTGTACTGGCAAAGGTGGTGGTGATGGAAAAATATGTGGAACCCCATATGAGAGCGGATGGGGTGATCCGGATGGGTGGATATGCCCTGGAAAGTGATATCTCAAATGTGCTTGAGCCTTGGAATCTCGGAATATCTATGAAACCTTGGTCACGATTGAGCTGAAGTACCAAAATAGCCACAATTGTGACTACTGCACGAGCCTTTCCGCCCGGGCGTACATTTAGAGACTTGGTTCCTGATCTAAATCAACCCTGATAACTTAGAAAAAAGCTGGTTCGTGGCACGAGAAAGAGCGTAAACACGGCCCCAAGGCTGTTGAAGTTGAGGCCTTGGTGCCTTATGTTTCGACTATCCCTGTACCTGTGGACCTTGCTATTGTAGGGAGATAGTCTAGGAAATGCTCAAGTCATTCTTCAGGAAATGAAAATGCCTCTGCTGTTCCCTCATCTATATCAACCTCCATACATACCATCCTTGCCCTAGACGTTTTCCTTCCTTCGGCAGCGAGCAACAGCTTTTAATATATAGATTCAAGGATTGATTTAAGGATTTCAGAATATATAACTCATTTCTTTTCGCACTTCAAGGTTCCAAGGTTCAAAAACGAGCATATAGTCTAACAAGGGGGGGTGTGAGAATCGGGGGGTTGGGTGCCTGGGGGGTGAGGCATCCACACCTGAACCCGGGAACCCAACCCTCCCAAATTCTCCCAGTAGCTCCCTTTCTCCATTCTTTCTCTAGCTTTAGTCTCTTTAGTTGAATGGACCTTCCTTCGAAGCCCGCCGCCTCACAGGGGGTTTTTTTTTTTAAAAAAAAAAAAAAAAAAAAAAAAAACATACAACAGTGAGGATTCGCTGGTGGTCACCCACCCAACTACAGTTGGCTTCGCCATGGAATCGCCTACTGGAATCAAAAAGAGGTGCCGCGCTGCATCACACTTTCATTACTACCTCCCACCAAGATTGGAAGGTTGCTTGAATGAGTTAGACCGTTTGGCTTCCTTTGAATACAGACGAAGGCTGAGATTCACTTTCGAGGAAAATCGGAATTTCCCGTTGGGCTTGTATCGATATGTTTCAACCCAAGCAAATCGTATCCGAACGAGTATGGGACTTCACTTGAGCAGGAGGCAAACTGACGGGATACTAAAGTCCACCGGGGCAGAGCCTGTCATAGAATCAAATGTTATTTTAACCAGAAAATTTTGAAATCTCCGGTATTTGTATGTATGTGGGGGAAATGAATGCAAAGCCAACACCTGCTGTGAATCCTTTTGGCATCTCAACTGAGCTTGGTCAATATTGCCTGAAAAGGATTAGTCCAAGCATTCTGGAGGTTTTCACTTTACTGCCGGACAGATTCCGAATCTCATGACCCCAACGTGGGGGTACTAATACCCGGAGTACTTGATACCAGACCACCCCACGCTTCCCCGACTTTACCCCGGCATTTTCCATCTCCGCATCCTCACCTCACTCTGCCCGCCTTCGATCTTCCAGAGGGAAGCATTGGTTGATTTCGTCCTTCTACGTCAAAGTTTATGCGCTTTTCATGTCTCCCCCGCTTTCCACCCCTGCAAATGCTATCCTGATGGAGCAAATCAATACACGGTGTGGTTTCACCCCACGTCGGTGATCACTGCATAAAAGCAGACAGATTCAACGCAACCATCTTGACTCTTTCGACTCTCCTCGACTGTGATCTGACTTCAACCTGAGATTACCGCACAGGAACCCTGCAAAATTGAAGATCAACAATCTTTGCAAATTATGTCTGCGACGGACGAGAAAGGAAGTGTTCATTCTCATCAAATTGAGGATCTCGAGGGTGAGAAAGCCCGGTCACGAAATGGCCATTCGCCGATGATGCCAGCCTCGTTGGCCGCTCTCTCAGAAGTTGAATACTCCAAGGTCAAGCGTCGCGCATTATGGAAGCTGGACGCGCGGATCATGCCTTGCATGGTCTTGATGTACATCATGAACTACCTGGACCGCCAAAATATAGCCTCTGCAAAATTAGCCAACATTGAGCAGGATCTCAAGATGACTGATGTTCAATACCAGACCTGCATCAGCATCCTATTTGTTGGGTATAGTAAGTTGCCTAACCTCTTTCATGAGAGCACATTGGGCTCAGGCTGACCTTCTGTACTGCAGTTCTCATGCAAGTCCCTTCTAACCTCATCGTCGGAAAAATCAAGTTTCCTGGTGTCTATATTTGCGTCTCGATGGCGCTTTGGGGCGTTCTCTCAGCTTGTACCGCTGCCGTACACAATTTCTCAGGTCTGCTGGCTTCTCGCTTCTTTCTGGGATTTGTCGAGGCCGTCTTCTTTCCAGGTGCACTATTCTATCTGTCTTTGTTCTACTCCAAAAAGCAGTTTGCACTCCGAACTGCAATCCTGTATTCCGGATCGCAGCTTGGCAATGCATTTGGTGGACTTTTGGCCGTCGCGATCTTGAAATTGGACGACGTGCATGGCCTCGAGGGCTGGAGATGGGTGAGTGGTCCCGTGTTCACAACTCAAACCACAATACTCATGCACCGATGTATAGCTCTTTTTGGTTGAAGGAGTTGCCACCATTGGTTTGGCAATTATACTTGTATTCATTCTCCCCGACTCACTGAAGTCCATCAGCGGCTTCAGTAAGATCGAGCACGAATTCCTCATGTGGAACTTCGAAGAAGACCAAGGACAGCAAGACAACGCTGACGAGGTCAGCGCTCGAAAAGGCTTCATCATGGCTGTTGTGGATGTTAAGACTTGGCTGCTCATGGGGATCTTGTATAGTGTTGGTTATCCCTATGGAAGGCTCTTCATGTTCCTCACTCACGTTTTCACAGATCTATATTGCGGGCGCCGTCACCAATTTTTTCCCATCGGTTGTGGCTACACTTGGATATTCTCGAAACAAAACCTATGGACTCACTGCGGTTAGGCTCTCTGATGAGAATTTCAACCGCTCGCAATGCTGATACTAGGTTTGCAGCCACCGTATGTTCTTTGCGTGTTTGCGATGATATTTAATGGTTTCCACTCTGATAAGGTATTTGAAACCGACCCACACTCTCAGCCGCACATACTAACCGGGCGCTAGAAGCAAGAGCGCTACTGGCACATTGTATGTCCAATGGCTATCTGCATGGTTGCTAATATCATTGCGGTGGCCACGCTGAACACGGCAGCACGGTGTAAGTTAAACACTACATCCATCAAATTTCCTACAAACGAAAAGCCTCATTGACTCCGACATAGATGTCGCGATGATGTTGATGCCCGGCTCATTCTATTCAGCCGCGGTAGTTGTGTTATCTTGGGTTACTGGTAGCCTATCGCAGCCCTCTATCAAGCGAGCCTCGGCAATCGCATTGATCAATGCCATCTGCAACACCCCAAATGGTATGTTCATAAAACCTTCTCGCTTGTTGGCTTTCCGACTGATGAGAAATTTTTAGTGTGGGCATCGTATTTGTACTACTCCAGTCCACGGTATCTAGCTGCCTTTTTGGTTAACCTGGCGTCGTCCGTCTTGGCTATCATTCTGGCTACTCTGACACGCATGTACCTACAGCGACAGAATGATAAATTGGACCGCGGCTTATACATCAGCGGAAAGGGTCCAACGCCAGCTCAGGTTGCTGCTGGGTTCCGCTACGTCATCTGAGTCACGGAAGTACATATCCACAGAGATCTCATCGGCTTGAAGCCTCCAATATTAAGCAACCACGCGTGATGAAGAGTTACATTAATAGAAACTTGTTCAAGTAGCACCGAGTATCTGGGACTTAGGAAGAGTCATGGGATCGAATGATCCACGGTTGTTCAGACTTAAGTAGTACCACATCGTGATGTATCCGAGGTCCACTCCCCAGCGGATCTACCAAATAACCTTGGAAATGAACTCAGCTGATTAGCCAAAGTATGAGCATCCAACTAGGGAGTTAAAAAAATCACAAGGACTTCAGGACCTTGAGACAGCGTATTTCTATCAAATACTGCCCAGGTGGAGGACTGGGCCCCGACTTCAGGAGCCAGCAGCGGAGAACCTCGTGTTTGGATCACGTGTTCAGTGGGTCACTCAAATCCATGGGCCAAGTAACGTGATCAAACAAAGAGGGTCTGGTTCCTCCAATCAGAGACCGCTGTGACTCGGGACATGGGTCTGACATTCTGTACATACTACAAACTACTAATAGTATTTGACTTGAGCTCCATTTCTCTTCTTCCAATGCACGCGATGCTTGACAACCGAAGATTTCAGTGATCACTCCGCAACAACATCCAGACACGGGACCATCACACTTTTGTCAATTCTGATCCAGCACTTGAGCTTTTCTTGACTTGGAAAAAGGCACAGACATTCCAGATCTCTACCTTGAAGTGAAGTAAATGAACTCATGGTCAGCTGCTTCCACTGATCCAAAGCTTTTTCTCCCATTTGAAGGGAGCTGACTTGACAGAAAAGAAAAAGATTTTCCTACAACCAACCAACACCATGGCCTATGGCCCTCGCCACCCCCACGATGAGTTCACCTTGGAAGATGGTCGTTTCACGGTACATGGAATGGAACGCATCGAAGGCTCCACGCTTCGGGAAATGTTTCTTCCGAAGCTGACATCTCAAGGACGAGGGCCTTTGGAAGGGAACCCTCGTTTTGTACGTTCCCAGCTGAAGCACTATGGTGTCGACGTCGACGAAGAGAAATATTCCGGCAATGGAACAAACCTATTGAAGAGCGCCCTTCAAGCCGGAAAGTGTGATCGTGTCCCCGACTACATCGTTCAACTGGAAAAACAATTGCACTCAAAGTGGCTGAGCCAGGCAACCCCCAAACAACTTCTCCGCAACCCAGACTGGCTAATGCAGAGATATTTCTTGTCTGATGGAAAGCCCGACTCCAGTAAAACAACTTCAGTGATTCGAATAAATCTCGGTATATGCGGGGAAGGCTACTCGGACCGGTTCGTCGAAGCTGCCAATCGAGTCACCGGGTTGCACCACCAGCGCGTCATTACTGGGTTTTTTCATACATCCATTTTTGTGGGTTGGTCCAAAGCAGATGTGGAACATGCAGCCAACAAACACCACGAGGAGGAGACGGCCGCACAGAAGGCCGAAGAAGAAGCTCAAATGTCCAAGAGAACGAACAGACATGTTGACTATGTCAGTTCTCTTTCCAAGAACAAGTCCAATGTCACCCCTATCGGGTCTTACATTGTCGATAGCCCAGAGATCGAGGAGTTGTGTCCGGACACGGTGGATGATATGGGCATCGAAATACACGCCACTGATACACCTGGTGTGTTTCAAGGAGACTTCAACTTCGGGGTCGCCGAAGGGGTTATGTTTCTTTGCGTCGACAAATCTACACTCGAGGAATATTGCTCTCGCCCTGAACACAACCGTGTGGACGACTACAACTCCTCGGACGATGAGGAAACCGACGATGACGGGCCTCAGAGGAAGCCTAACCAGGGAACCAAGAGAAGTTTGCAGATTTCAAAGTCTCCACAGAAGACAAAGCAACGAAAAGCAGAGAAAGGCCAAGCTCTGAATTACTTTCTCCAGCAGAAATCCCGCGAAACAGGAGAAGGTGAGGTTGATTACCAGCCTTACGACGGCACACTCAAATTCGACGACGACAGATTGGTTAGCCTTAGTGGTGATACATCTCTGAGTATCCTGGATAAATGTTCGTTCTCCGCTCGCAAAGTTTCTGATGTGCCTCATCCATCAGGGGAGAATTGGTCCAACTTTTCAGAAAAAACCTGGAATCGAATGTGTATTGAAAGGTGGCGTTAGACGCTCTGTGGCCTTTTCTCGAGGGTGAATTTGGGGATAAGGACGAAAACCCGTGGAAGCATTTTTATGGCGGCAGAGCCACCTGTGCGCATAGGATGGTACTCTCGAGCCTTTCATTTCACATTGTTGTGTTCCTTTCACAATTGGTATCTTCCAGGATCCTCTTCTCCCTCCCATCACCGCTAGGAGATTAAGCTGAAGTATCTGGGTGATGATAGTTTCTTTCATAGTGAAGATTCAGATACGAAGCCCACCCCATGAAACCGAGAATGCTAGGTGAATTGCCAATGATAAATTCTGTATTTTAAGTCTTTGATTGAAACTTGTGAATTTGCACTTAATCATACATAATTTAGAAATGAGAGGAACTAAAAGAAACAGTCAGTCGTTGAGACTAGCATGGTGATCATAAAATAGGCATTTCAAACGCCCGCTATCATAACTTAGTGTCGGCTCTCGTTCCAAGATAGGCGGTACTTAGCAGCCGCCAGCAAGCCGCCATCTGGAGAGAAGCTCAATGAGTAAAACCCGGATGACTGGTTCGTTAGGATATGGCAAGTGAATCCTGAGATCGTCTTACAGAGGTGAATGATTGGTTTTCCATTGGAATTAGGAAGAAATGACCTGCCCAAATAGAAACATGTTCCTGGAGCATAGAATGTAATTTACAGTTTCCAACACTCATCCTTTTCGTCAGGGAACACTTTAGGTGGACGCGCATAGGCTTTGTACCAACATTCCCGTTCATGTCCAGACTGTGAGAGATCCTGGTACAAACTTGCGATTGACCCAATCTCCGCCCACATCCATCCCAAGACAGGCACTCTAAGTCCATCAACCTTATCGAAGAGGATAGAATCTTCATCCTTAATCTCGATCCTGTCCTCTGGATCTTCGCATTCGGCATTTATACTCCTCCAAATTCAGCCTGTGGGTCACACCATCGGTGTATTCAGATCTATGCCAACCTCTGTACATCTCAACATCCCATTCTCTAGTTAGAACGACAATAGGTGCAGTCTCCCTTTTTCCCTCATCATGTTGGAGCTCATTGAATTTCTTTAAACAGTCGTCATCCACGACAAGACAGGCATTCTCCTGGGCGCCATTGTGAAAGCCTGTGTCGGATCGAACTGGCTTGCCTCGGGGATCGCGGGAGTCCACGACCCACTGGGTGAATTTTTCACGGATCGTGTCATGAGAAGAGCCTTGGAGAGAGGGGTCTGAGAAGACAGGGCAAAAGAAGTAGGGAAACAGATATTCTTGTTTGGCTTGGCGCAGACTTCCGAGCGCTGTCTTGTAAAGGGTCTGCATATATGCATTCCAGAGCCCATCATCGCCATAGCTCAGACGGAAAATGGGTAGACCCCAAAAAGGTCTAGTTGCGATGCCCCCGGCAATAGAAGGATAATATTCTCATCTGTGGGACAGCTCTTCTGGAGTGAATGCCGGGAGATTTGAAGGCGGCTGAGTCGGGATAGATAATTGATTCATTTTGACATTCGAACGTTCGGAGACACCGAATGACCTTCTTTGTAGAAATGGTGATGATAACCGCGCGCAGGGGTAAGTGAAAGTTGACTTCCTCAGGAAATGAATATGCAGTGGAGCACGCATTGTTTGGGGTGCTAGACCCGAAGACGAGGAAGTTGGAACAGACCTGAACAAATACGTTGGTTACCTAGTTCCTAATATACTATTGTCAACATGCTTGCAAGTATGACGGAGAAAGACGGACCAGCAAAAGCTCGTTGATTGGTGGATGGTGATAGAAAAGCTAGCTGGAAGGGGGACCAACCTTGGAAGACTAAGTGTAAAACCTGCTGCATAAGCGGTAATCGAATTACTAGCTGGCAGTTGCCAGATCGGTCTCGAACCGTTAGAAAAAACCGCCAAACGCAAATTCCGCCGTCACACCTCTCTACCCGCCGTACACCACGCGCCTCTTTACTCACTGCGTTCAACCAGTCACCATCCACCATTGAAATCATATCCCTGTGGTACTGTACGGAGAAACCAACGCTGACTATCTCTAAATGGCTCAATGTTAGTTTGGGAAGCGGTATCAACTATGGTATTGAAGCAATGGGAAATTCAGCCAGTATCTGTTGGTATATACTATCGGCGGCCCCCTGTTTTTGTGTAACATGCATAACAGTCCATTTGATTGACCCCTCATCTGATGACTCAGCTTAAGACTTCCAATGTTTTTGAAGAGTGGCTTCTGAGCTATCTAGCTGTCATCCTATGTCCGCTTTTACTACAACAGCTGTTGCCGCATGCATGTCGCAGAATATCCAGAAGACGTATGTCGAGATGCGGAATCTGTCCCATCGTGTGAAAACTGGAGACTTTGGGGATGACTTTGCCCACAAAGCGGATGAACGTCGAAAGAATGCAGGCTCGAAATTGGCTTTACCAGATACCAGCGCAGCAGGAAACTGTGTCCGAAATGGTCCCCGTCTTCCATTTTTATTCCGTATATCCCGACGTATCCACAACCGGGACAGTTCTCCAAACACCAGGAAGAAATCTCATCGAGAGGTTGGTTTGAGCTCAGATCTAGATTTATATGACCTGACAGCAGCCGTGTGGAAACCACTCAGAACTCAAATATAGCTACAACATGTTTGCAGATTCCTATTGCCTGGAGTCGCCTCCACCGTGGGAAGAATGAGCTGCTTATCCTTGGGACCGCGGACAATTCGATCCCAAGCACTCTGTTCCAGGATGATACGACTTTACCCTGGACGTATGAGAGATTGGATACTCTACATTCGTTCAAGAGTGACAGGCTGACGGGTGGTAACACAGACACATGAATCATGACCGTGGAATTGAGTTTTCTGACTTCATGGTAT